TGGCGTGGCTGCTGTTGCACTTACTGCAACCTTTTTTGGCGCACTTATGCAATGGCCAGCTAAGTTAGGCTGCCTTGCACCAAAACTGGGCATAATTATGCTGCTCACACACACACACACACACACACACCAAATCATCGTATATACTATATGTATATGTAAGCATGCTTAGCCAGGAAGGAAGTCTGTCGCTTTGATCTGGTGCAAATGAGCTGCCAAAATCTCAAAACATTTGATGTTTACCGAATACAGAGAGAAAAGTATAAAGAAGAAAGCAAAATGTTCAATTAAGAAACCAAATTGAAGCCACGAACGACTCTGAAATTGCAACCCGCATTAGCAACAAAAGCAACTGAGCCAAAAGGGACAGTGTTGGGGCACAGGAAATATAGAAATAGGCGCAGTTGTTGCAAAGACGACTGACTAACTAGAAAATCTCTAAGCAGCCACGGTTCAGCAACATTTCTGTGTTTTCATATGAGTGTGTGTGTGTGTGTGTCTTTAAATAAATCAGCAATGGCAGCAAAGTTGGGGCGACTGCAGACAACGCATAGGCACAAAGAATAGCCGACATTGTTGTTGCTATACAGACACCCACACTGAATGCCCAGCAAGCAGACAAAACTGGAGTGCAACTATTTTTAAATATATGCAAAATATGCCATGACCAGCAACATGTTGCCAGCAACATGTCGGTTCACAGCGGCTGCTGCTGTTGCTGCTACTTCAGCGAGCAACTTTTGCGCTCAGTTGAGCAGAAAGCGCCGGCGCGTAAAGTATTGAAAAGCTGCCGGCAGCAAATACGAAAATAATACGAAATACGATTTTTAAATCGCCGCATATACTATACACGTATATGTCTAAATAGTGCGCGCGCAAATCAATGTTGCACCTGAAGGTTGCAATTGCAATGTTTCGAAACACACATAAGTGAGCAAATATTTTGGGCAACATGAGCAAAAAAATGTGGAATAAAATCTTCAAATCGAAAGCCAGCAAGCAGCAACAACAGCAATTGGCGAAAATCAATAAGCGGGGCAGCCGCCTTTATGAGGAATATCAGCAATTAAATGAATTGCTCAATGATGAAAAATCAACGACGGCATTGCCATTGCCGCACACCGCGGCACAGTCGCGTTTTTGCAGTGAAAATGAAAATGAAAATCAATGTGAAAGAAACAATCATCACGTTAATGTGTTCGAGCAGCTGCCCGAGCAAAGTTCTTTCAACTCGATGGCGTTTAGTGAGGCGCAACGGCAACAGCAACAGCAACAGTTGCCCCTGCAGCAGCAACAACTGCAACAACAGCAGCAGCAACAGCAGCAACAACAGCCTACATTGTCAACGTTTTCGCGCGTGCGAAATACGTTCTCATTGAGACGCAACAGCAACAAAAACAATGCCGCTGCCGCTGCCGTTGCCGCCAAGTCAAGTGAGTCGGCCACGCCCCCAAGCGTTCAGCTGGAAAGAGTATTGATTGTTGTCAATAAAATCGTATGCGATGCCGAAGACACGACACCAGCAGCAACAACAGCTACAATAACAACTAATAGCTCCACTAACAACTCCACAGCATGTGCTAATGCTAATCATTTGCATGCCCCATCAAGTAAATTAACAGCAAATTATTAACTAAATATTCAATTGTTTTTTTCTCACATATTAATTGCAAAAAATGTCCATTTCCATTTGTTCGTAATTACGGTGCTTTCTTTTATTTAGCCAGCGAGAAAGCGCACCTGGGTTGTGGACTTTATTTCAATTGTTAAGGTTTTGACAAAATGTTATTTATAAAATTTAAATCGATTTGAAAATACTATAGAAGAGATGAAATCCACATTTATTTTCGAGCTGTAGTTTAAATATATTATTTTTAAATGATTCTTAAATTCTTCGAAACTCTCCGCATTGATTGTTTGTGGACCTTTGATAGTCTTATCAGTGGCAACAAAATTTGTCCCATTTTTAGCAATCACAAACAGCTTTACTGTAGATTGAGAAAAGGCGAATTTTTAACGCAATTTAGCACATTCCGCTCATTAACTACTACCTTTGAGAACTATATACATGCCATTCATAAAAAACAAACTAGACTGTCCAGTCTGTGTCAAACGTTAGAGTTCAAAAGCGTTAGTCTGTAAAGCAGCGCCCAGAGAACAAAGTAGCGGAAACTATCTCATATAACAAGGCAGCCACAAAAGACACCTCGCATATGTATAGTATGTATGCCTCATATATTTTACATATGTACATAAATTTATGTGCGTGCTTCCGACTTAAGTGGCTTATATCGTCTTGCCCCACGACCGACAACAAGTTGAGACAATCGAGAAACTCAATGAACTTCTGCACTTCTACACTGCGGGAAGAGCCAGACAGCTTAGGGCTGAAAACTACTCACCAGAGAATCTAAATATATATACATCTAGAAATTAGCCATTTACTTCATTGCTTTCAAATCCTTATAGAAAAAAAATGTTTTTAGAAAATCAGTTCAATATTACATAAAAAAACCATGTCTTAAAAACGAAATGTGAGACGACTCTCCCAAAAACAGAAATCATAAGATATGGGTGGGAAATATTCATTTTGTAACGATAATCAATGAAGCACATAAATTAGGATTCTTTATGGAAAGTGTTTTGAATTTTTAAAATATATATTCAACGATGCATAAATTTAAATTTAAAATGCATAATTTTAGTTTATTAATCAGTTCAAACTTCTAACAAACATTTAATTCTAGAATAGCTATCTGGACTTTAATAACAAATTTTAAAAATACTATAATAATATAATTTATTTTATTTTTATGAAGTGAAAAGGGCCATCATTTATTTTGTTTTACAAGTGTATACTAGTTAAATAGATATTGATATTATTAGAAGAATTGTCTTCACTCTTCTTTTTGTTTCGATCCCTTATTGGAATACACTGAAGTTCTTTTATCTTTGTGTCTCGTTTGGAAATAAGATATGGAAAAAAAGGCACAGATATTCATAGAGAGAGCATGGTTTACCTTTTGCCCTTTTGAACTTTTCATAAGTACTTCCTCGTCAGAGCTGGCGTGCATGATTTTTTAATTCAATTGCATGGCTAGGCCGTAGATCTCTTTTGATGTAATTCTTTAAGATGAAGTGGAAGAAGCCATCCCCGCATATACTATGTAGTGGGCGTGTGTCTTATCTTGAGTATGGCAATGCATTAGCATTATTATAGACGGGGCCATTTGGCAATACTGACTATATCTGCTCATTGCTCAGTCAGCCACCCACTTCTCATCAAATTACACGGCAACTGTGCAGATGTAACGCATGGAACTGCATTGATTTGAATTGAAATGAAACGGGTTTGAGAGCTACGGTCCCATGATGATGTGGAGATTTGCAACATCTTGCGTGCCTTTGATTGATGTAATCTTGAAGTGTGCTAGAGGCATTATAATTGGACTGTTTCTGACAGATATACATATAGCAACGGAACGCGCCTCTTGCCATTTCGACATGAGCACACATTCTATTTATTTAAATTCTGAACGCCCACGCAAGCCGAACATTTCCGCTTAGTTTAATTGTAATTCTATTGTAATTATGTATGCATGATGTCGCCGCTTAACTCGCTCCGTTCAGAGCAATGCTTAAGAAGTCAAGTGCCCGGTAGCGAACCAGCGGCTGGCCTTTGAAACACCTGCAATCTCAGATACAACTTGTATCTTTAAGATACGCAAACGCCCACCTGCTGCATGGCCAGCATGAACATGAACAAAGTAAAAAACAAAATCAAGCCAACAACCAACAACAGCATGGTGGGGACTAGCTGCCAAATTTAGAAAATTCAACATTTGATCAAGCCATATCGTAACTGGCAGATAAATAACAATTTATAGGCCGATCACACATGCACACACGCACACGTACACACGTTCCCCAAAAACAGGCATTCAAATAATAACCATAAATTATTGGCCCACTTCTCTATTGTTTGCCAGCGGTTGTGACAAATAGAATTTGAGAATTTATGTAACGGATGAGGATTTGGTTGACGTGACAAATGGGCTGGAAATGCGATTTCTTTCACTTTTCCACTTGTCAGACAATACGCCATTCGGTTTGCTGGGAACTATGTGGAGTCTCTTCTCGAAACATACATATATGTATTAAGTACTTAAACATTTTGGCGTGGCGCCATGTGAAGACTTTTTGCTTTATTTTTCTGCACTACATTTGCAATCGCACTTCCTTCAACATCTCCACTCGTACTTTCTAAGCCACAACTTGAACGTTGAATACTATTTGGCAGCGCATTCGGGCCTTTCTAAAAACATGTAACACGCTTAGGGCTCAAACATTTGACACACTTCGAAATTAGAAATTGCTGATCCACAAAATTCGCAGAGCATTCGACGCAAACTTCTAATGGCTACTGTATGTTTATTATCAGATGTGGTTACACACATTTGTGCAGATAGCAAAGGGGGTCATGAAAATTCAACCAATAAGACACTCGAAAGTTGTGAAAACATCCCAGCATTGTGGGCCTTTTCGGCCGATTATGGCCTATTTAGAAGGCAGTTTTCAAAAACTGGGATTGCTTTATTAATTGAGTAGCACAGTTTTGTAAACTTTTCAAAAACTTACTCATTTGTCATCTATCGCCATAAACTGATCAAAGCAACTCCAATGAAATGTCAAAACATTTCGGATACGAAAACAACACACGCAAGTTCAGGGCATACCCGTAGCTATACGAGTATTATCAGGGAAATGCTAGTGCCGAAACCCTTGAGACTATTCAGTGACTGCTATTTAGAGGGCCGTTCCAGTTTCCTTTACAGTTTAAGTAAAGTTCTCACCATCTAGTTATATGTTTATTTTTTGTTTTGTTTGATAAATACAAAAAAAATTCCCTGACGCTAACATTTAGTAGAAACTACAAACATTGGAAAAGTGTTTCAACTAACTGATCCGGTCCGCATTTTCATATATTTTCATATACGCAGTACCAAACACCACGGAATCCGACACAATTGAACAACGCGATCCCGAAGCGGAGGCTGCGAACGCAGCGCCGCCACCACCACTAACCAAAGGCCCTCCGGTTCCAGAACATGGTCAGAGCAGCTTCAGTGAACTAACGCCATGTCCGAACTGCAGTCGCACCTTTAACCTGAATGCGTTGCGCAAACACGTGCCCATCTGCGAGAAGACCTCGAAGAAGCGCAACGTCTTTGATTCGTCACGTCAGCGTCGCGAGGGCACCACCCTAGCCACCTATGTGCTTCCCAAGAACTTTGGCCTACCCAATGCAGAAAAGGCAGCCGGTGTGCACTCACCGACAGCAATAACTCGCGCTCCAGAGCCGTCCCATTCACCAACTCGGGTAAGTGCAGTCGGAACCTTCTTTCGTTTGTAGTCCTGAATCCATCCTTCTTCACTCTGGTTCATTCTTTTGCTTGCTTCCAGTCTAACGACTCACCAATGCCAGTCCGTCGCAAGTCGACAGGCAACACCGAGCTCGTACGCGCCACAGTACGGGCCTCCCTTCGTAAAGCAGCCACAACTGGGGAGCCCTCCGCACCCGCTGCACCCGTTGCACCCGCTGCGCCCGCTGCTCCCTCAGCGGCCCCCACTCCAAAAAGTAGCTTTGTGCGTGATCGAATGAGGTCGTCGGAGCGCTCAGTGGCGTTATCGAAACGCCACAAAGATGTCGCTTGCGAACGATGTCCGCATTGCGAACGCACCTTCAATGCCAAAGCCTTCGACAGACATGTGGAGTGGTGCAAGGAAAAGGCCATACAGGCCACCATTAAGCTGACCGGCACCACCGAAACAAATAAGGCCAAGGAGCGTCTGGAAGCACGAAAACAGTACCGACCGCCGAACCTAAAGTAAGCTTTGAATTACCAATCGGGCACACAAGTAGAACAATTTCGATTTTGGAATGACACTATAAAACTCAACTTCTAGACAGACACTCCCGTTTCCTATTCTGTTGTGTGATTTATTTGTTTGTGCGTTCAATTTTCCTTCATTGTTGGTTCTAGGACTAAACGATCTATTAACCGTGACAAGTACTCAAACGCTCAAGACGATCTACTGGACGCTGGAGATATGGTTGCTAGCAAGGATCACAGTCTGATGTCTCTTTCGTCGCTGACGTCATCCGTGCACAGCGATAAGTGAGTAATCGGGGGTCCTAACACGACTTATTATCAGCCTAACCTTGTGCCTAGTGTATGAGTCAAACTGTTGCTGTCGTTGTCGATTAACCAAAGTAGTATATTTGACACCGTCGAGTAGTCGAACGTTTTGTGCGCCCACGTAGACCGTAGTGTTGACCACAGATTACCCAATCAAAATACCAACGCATCCCTATTTCAACACTCAGCCAGCCGCACAACATAACGTCCAAGATACCACGTTCGGATGCTGCGCACGGCTCCAAGAAAGCCATATCGCAAAACCCCGTCAATGTGCAAAAGGATCTACCGGAAACGTCAGGAGTGCGTCTCACACGTCGCGTTGTCCTACAGAAACAACGAGAGACATGTGAACAGGTCGATGCAGCCGTAAGACGTGCTCGTAGCGCTTCCAGAACAGAAGCCATGCAACTGGCGACCTTAGACTGTGCGGAGGCGGCTCATCTTCAGCCGGTAAAGAGGCGTGGCAACAAACCCAAAACCAATCGCGAGAAAGTCGATGCGGCGGAGAAGAAATTAAATTTGCCCCCTCTACAGGCCGTCCGATTCGATCAGCTAAATGAACTAATCAAGAGAAAAGGTATTTGCAATCTATTGTAGGGGGGTAGAAAGTAGTTTGTGATCTGGGTAGCTAAGCTTTTAGAACGTTTTCCGACTGTCCGTTGGGTAATAGAACCTGCATTAATGCACTATGGTGGAGTTCAGCCAGGCATAAAGCCTTATTAGTTGTAGCCTGTGCGTTCAGCTGAGCATTAAAAATAAGCTAGAGGGGAATAATACATATAGTACGTATAGCATTACAATTCTACAGCAGCGCAACACCCAAATGAACTAATTATTATTTTCTGTTCAATGTGCGATTAATGCAAGTTGGCGGCTAGCTCGAAACTAATGTTCTGGTCTGGTAGTGGTGCTGCGGTTATGCGCGAGTTATTTCTGCATCTCAAATGTGCTGCTATTTTCAAATGATACAATGATGTTAATGAACTCTTATTCAAAGGGTGTTCATAGTTATACTATCCAGAACTAGAGGGGATTTATTGATAATGAGCTCTTAATAAAAGGGTCTTCATAGTTGTACTTTTCAAATCTAGAGGGGATTTATTCACTTGTAAGGGGAGGGTTGTAGCTAACCTTCAAGTATTCCAAAATGACTTTGTTACTCCTTTTTAATTGTTAACCCCTACCTCACATAACGCACGCAGCCGAAACAGCGGTTTGCAACATAAGAATGGACGAAAAGTACAAGAATATTCTGCTGTCGGAGAAAATACCCAAGTCATCCACATCACTGGTGCGCCAGGCACGACGTCGCATACGTACTCGTGAGAACCCAAGCATCGAGATGGCCAATGTATTGACGACTTCGGAGCAAGAAATGCAAACATCGGCCTTAGCGCCGTACATGGCCGACTCTAATGGCTGTGTGGAGAGCCGTCGCGAATCCGCAAAGACTTCGAGCAGGGACGTCAATCTACCGCTTATTCATGCCGTTCAAAGCGCTGTGTACCAAGGCTTCGATGAAGAAATCCAAATCAAAATGGAGGCCACCACCAGCACGACCGCCATATGCCGCAACAAGAAGCGCTCAATAATGGGAGCTGACGTGTCGAGTGCCGAAGCAATGCGAGCAATAAATATGTCCATACCACAATCTCTGATGCCATCCATGGACTCGTGTAAAACAAATCAAGCCAAGCAGGCAAACATGAAAATGCTGGAGTACTACGAAAATGAGGAAGACTTGGATTCACCGTGTGACATTGAATACTATGATGATGACGAAGTGCTGGGCCGCAAGGCTAAGCTCTTAGAGCGCGCTCTAACTAGTCCCGAAGAAGACGATGATGAGAGCGATGGAGAACATATACCTCAACTGCGCAAGCATGCGAACAGCGATACTAACATAAGCCGACGTCTAGTGGTGCTGGAGGAGGATGAGAACGGTGTAATGTACATCAAACCGCCCCCAAAATTGCGTTCGCGGACGAGTTTGAACTTGAAAAGGTTTGTAGACTACGATTTTTCAGCTACAAACGACAATTGACAACCGGCAATCGACGAGTACACTCATCCACAAGGAAAGGGGGGATGGTCTAAGGTTATACTAAATAGAAATTTTTTACACTTTCTTTTCTTCTCTTTTCCTTGTTTTCCTTTCCACATCCTTTCATTCCACTTCATTGCTTTCGACTAACCCTCATTCTATCTTCCACATGCCGCCCTATCCATCCCCTCGACTTTGCTTTTATCTGCTCCTCACAGCGGTCTTAACAGCAACGAAAAGTACGATCCCTTTATATCTGCTAAGCGCCAGCTTGAGGAGCTCTGTTCACCTACACTATTTGACGACGATGTGTTGAGCACAACACCCACAACGCCACTCGCTATGTCTACGTCTTTGACGACACCCCACACAACCAGCAGTTCCCATGTTAAGCCCATTACGCCTTCCACACCTAAACAGCCCGTATCCAATTTTCGTAGAACCTCGTCTTTACGCGGCCCACGTCGCACTCCTCTCCTCCCACCTCGTCCACTGTTTTCCAACTATCGCCCCACCATTCAGCGAGGTCTCTCCGATGAGGGCCCCATCTCAAGCAACTTTTTGAAGCCCGAGGAGTACGATGAGATGCCGGTACGAGCCGCCTGCGGCAACGACTTCCACAGCCCTCGTGTGGTTCGTCGCGATACGAGCGCCTCGAACCGCAAGCAGCAGCTTAAGACACATCAAGGGGAGGACCAGAAGCCGGAATCGCAACAGCGAAATGTAGCCAAGACGGACTCACTGGCCGTATTTCTTAAATACGAACATGAGCTGGAACAACTAAATGCCAAGGCAGCGGAGGCGGCGGAGGCAGCAAGTCAACTGAACAGCAAGGAGCTCAAAGATAAGAGCAATATTCTGAGTAAACAGAATTCGGCCAAAAGCATCAAGCTGGAGGCACTAACAACACCGACTTCAACCTCCAGTCAGCAGCCATTGCCTGTGCTGACACCCACGACACCAAAGGAAAATAATGAGAATCAGGCCTACAATTATAGTACCCCACTACGTTTGGAGCCCATCAATAGCAAGCCCAGCACTCCCGCTCTAAGCAAACCTACAACTCCACAGCAGCAACATCAGTTGCCGTTGCTCTCAGCGGCAACACAACAGCAGCAGCAACAGCTGACGACTGTCAAGCTAAACAGTATCTTCGGGGCTTCCAGTCGTCTCGAGCGCAAGCTAAGCAACAGTGGCAGTGACTATATTGATCCGAAGCTGATAAATCCATGTGATAATCTGAATATGCAATCGAATGCCAGCGATGACTGCTCTACTCAATCATCCAATGAGTCTACTGTGACGCCGCAGCGCACAAAACTGCCTCCAGCGACGAACACGTCCCTTTCACAAAGTAGCTCCCAATCCACCATTACTCAGGTCTGCATCGAAAAGCGCAATTCCGCTGAAGGTCGCAATCTACTTAAGCGCAAGATGCGACTTGGCCGCAATCAGTTCCTCTACGATGCCTCCCCCGAAGATGAGGCCGACTGTTCCTCTTGCTGCTCTGCAGACGACGAAGCTAATCGTTCTTCCATGGAATATGACGAGCAATGCTGGAAACAGACATCCGTTAAGCCAGAAAAACCGCAGCTAATAAACAACCTAAATGCGGGAGGGGTCTCGCCCCTGATGCCAATAATGCCTACATTCGATGATTTCGACTTTGAGGAATTTCTCTCGTCATTTGAAAATGACGACGAGGAGCAATTTCCACTGTTCAAAGATTGTCGAGAGTTTCTTCTGAATCGCACGACGAGCAGACAACGCTCGTTGCCCAAAGCGACTTCGACACCGAACAATCAACAACACCAACAACACACATTTAACACAAATACCCCCAGAATTTTGACAACCGGCATTGGCCGCAAGCTGAAAGACATGACACCCTCACATCTGCTCTTCAATATACCATCTACTAAAGCCACCACCCCTACGTCCTACAGATCCGATTCAACAGTATCGAGCAGCTGTGGCTCTGGGTCCTACAAATCGACTCAAGGTAGTGGGGACGAGAAACTGCGACGTGAGCGTTCCAACGCGTCGAGCTGTAACTCCAACGAGAACAGAAATGGTAAAAACAATTCGGATGTTGGTAACCAAAAGAAGGAAATATTCATCAGCATTGAGACTGAACCGAACGCCCAAGGCCACTCGCCCATTTCTCCGGACTCACTACGCCAAATGGTGGGCAATGCACAAACTCCGATTGAAATGGTCGAGATCGATAACGGCAATGAGCCGGAGCATTCGAAATTCAGCAAAATCAGCGATACCGACGATGCCGATGGTGAGATCGATGATAACATGGGCGCCGGCCAGACCAGGATGGCGCCATCATCGATCCCAGCAACGGAATCGTATCAGCAGGAATCACCACATGACGATCTACCGAATGTGCAGTTCAACAACGCAAAGAATCTGATACACCAAATGCAGAAGGAATTTCGACAGTTAGGTGAGGATGCGAGCGCCTCCATGCGCAAGGCTATGATGATACGCAGCTCAGCCACCGGAGAAGGGTATGATATGGCGCCGGAGCAGCAGGAACAGCAGCAGCAACATCAGCAGCAGCAGGCACCAACGAAATCAATGTTGCCACAGCAACAGCAGCAGCAACAATACCACCACCAGCAGCACCAGCAGCAGACAAAGGCTCAATCGCCCCTGACACCGTCTGGAGACTCTGACGAACTGAGCAGCTTGGATGGCTATCCCATATCTTCATCACAATCGTCGCGACGTGGAGCTAGCTCCAAGTTGAGCTCAGACTCGGCCTATGGCAGGTCAGTACACACTAAGTATAAGGCTAAAAACAATAATAACAGCTTAGGCTGTGGACTTGTTTGTTGATAGATCAGCATCTCCTCGTTTAAGCCAAGGAAACACATTGCTAGAAAATCCCTCTAGAGATGCAGCTATCGAAATACAAGTTTCTGATTCGTCCGTTAATGCACCGAAGATTAATCAAACGCATCTGAAAATCAGAAAATCTTTGTTTTCATCGAAATTGAAATGCATTTTTAAATCTCTTTGATCTTTCAAATAACTTGACAGAGATGTTGCCTTTCGTTGAGTGAATTAAGTTAAAATACAATTGACCATAATTTATAATTTCTCGATAAATTCAATTTTGACTAAGCGTCCGTCTCTTATTGCTGGTCCATCTCAATTGATACATTCTTATCTGTTATCGCTTACTATCGATTATTGTTCACTGCTTATTAGGCACAAAGTAGAGGTGGAGAAACATCGATGTTCGCGGACATCGATGTTTTTAAAGCAAAACATCGATATAACATCGATAGTTCAAAATAAAAAATTAATAAGACACCAACGTATACGTCTGATTAAAATTATTTTATTCCATTTCTGAGATCAAAATTTAAAAAAAAAATAAAAAAGTATTAAGAACATTTGTCTAAAAATAGGATTTATAATTATATTATTTAAAATATCGAAATCACCTTCCAATATAAGAGAGGATCACATTTCTCCGGTTCATTTAAATTTTCTAGATGTTGTCTCAAGATGATAATGGCGTCTGCTTGAGAAAATCGAACTTTAACTTCCATAGAGATGTAAGCGAGAAACATCGATAGTCGCCAGAAACAATCGATGTTTTAAACAAAATTAAAAACATCGATGCATCAATAGTATCATCGACGTTTCTCCACCTCTAGCACAAAGCTATTCGATCACTCTTTGGTCATTGCTTAAGTATTAGCGGTTAGTGATTACTGGGTGTTAAGCAGACTGCCGATACATTCCTACAATTTCAAATGACGTTTTTATTTTTGAGGTTCTCCCTCATTAAATTGTGTTTCTTTTTAACAGCAGTCACTCCCCCTACAGCCTATCCCGACAGCGTTCCAGCGAATTGTCCGGAACCCCCCGTTCACAGGGCAGCAATAGCGCGGGTGGCGGTGCTGGCTCTCAATGTATGCGGCCACACACAGCCAGTGGTGTAGTTGGCAACAATGCCACTAACAACAGCAACAACATGGCCGCCACCATGATGGATGCCTCAACACAAGCTCACAGTGGTTATGGCACACTAAAGATGAGACAGCGACTTTTTGGAGGTAGCGATCTAGGCAACGTCGACGGGCACAGCGAGACGTCGAGCAGCGGATCGGAAAACTGTTTGTCCGTAGCAGGGCAACAGACTAACTACAACCAGCAACAACCGATGCAACAGCAACAGCAAATTCAACAACAACTGCATCAGCAACAACAGCAAATGCATCAGCAGCAACAGCAACTACATCAACAGCAGCAACAGTTGCTGATGCAGCCGATGCAACAACCACAAGCAGTATATGGCAGCAGCAGCAACAATAACTACGTGTTAACCGAAATGAATGCGAGTAGCATGAACAACAATAACGGTATGCATATGGTAGTAACACCAACAACATCGCAGCATTCACTGCTGAGCAGTGCATCGAATACATCGATGAGCTCAAGCATGAAAATGTCGAAATTTTGTCATGAATGTGGCGCCAAATTTATTTTAGAGCAGGCAAAATTCTGCATGGATTGTGGTGTTAGGCGTATGATCCTTTAGACTAGTATATATAATCTGTGTTATATTGTTGGTGGTGCACAAACACATACTCTCGTAGAATCGCATTTGAGCACCTTCTAACCGGAGCATGGTTGTTGCTGCGGCTGTCATGTAGCACGACCACTGTTATACCAAATGTAGTTGTTATAGAATTTACAGGAAAGTTAATATATTTTAATACAAGCATTAAACAAAAAAACAAACAAACAACGTAAATATAAAATATGGAAACTAGTTGGGCAAACTTACGCAATATATCGATAACTCATGCGAACAAATTTATTAGCAGCAATTCAACTTTGCTTCTTATACAAAATTCAAATAGTAAGCAACGTAACAGAATAAACAATTAACCAAATTGTTGATTAACAAAGACTGAACGAATTTAAACGACAACGTTGCAAACAAATGAATTACATCAATTTTAAATCTAACAGACGATATCTTACATTAAAAAGGTCCATTCTATTTTTTAAAGATTTTTACTAATTTTAGTCACTGATTTAATGTAATTTCTTTTATATTTATAATTTAACCGAAATTCTTAACATGATCGAAACATTTTTAACAATCCAATAAAAGAAATAAAATTGAATTCAAGTTTTTTCTTAAACAAATATAAATTAAATTTCAGCATAAGATTAACAGCGTCCATATACTCGTAGGTATCCGATTTAACAGGTTTTAACTTAAATATGTCTTGTTTTTCTTTCTTTTTTCGAAACAGATACATCAGCATTATAATAATCCTCATTTTTTAAAAAAATATATATAATTAAAAATTATGTACGTTTCTTTATAACTTTAGTCTTAGATGAAAGAAGGCATGTTATGTTTAGTAATGTGTTCTTAAGCTATAAATGTATAATGTTTTAAAAAATGTTCTTATTTCTTATTCTCATTTTATTTTTATGGTTCAGTGTGTATTTAAACGAATTAGAAAAGAAATGTAAGGTATTAGCTGATCTTTCAAAGCATGGTCTTAAGCAATTTAACAAATAATATAAAAAATTCACAAATCAACATTCAGGAACTTTCAGTTACAAATTATTAAGAACATGCATAAACATATAACAATAATGGTAACGCTTGATAATGTTTTGTAATGACCTACATAGACGCCAAGTTGAGCCAATTGAGAAACATACCTATAGATTACTTCGAATCCACAATCTGCAATATTTTCCTGGTGCTGTTGGGTGCTACAGCACATGCTTTTAAAAAGGGTGTGCTAATGATGATCTTTTCCGTAGTAGTAGTTTCTATATTACTATCAGTACTACTTACGGTGCCGCTACTGATGCTGCTGCTGCTACTGCACTCTGAGCTGCTGTCATCCTCCGCTGCGCCCATTGAACCTGAACCTGAAAGTAGTTTTAGATGTGGTATTTTATTTGATTCAACACCTGTCAGCCGCATGATGCACCTTTCTCGATAGTTGTCACGGTCACTGGAATATCGTCTGGCATTTTTGCGCACCATGGATGTTCTTTTAGTTCGGGTTCCTCCTCATTGTCATCAAATTCCGATTCGCTTTCATCTTCTACATCGCTCAATTCCTCGTAGTTTAATAAACGCTTTTGCCACAAATCAACATCCTTTTTTTTGTATAGATAGTTTCCATGCTTTTTACACTCATTAATAATGAATTTAAAGTCTCGATGATGACGTAGGGTCACAGGATTTCCAATTATGATAAGCAATGACTTTGCACGTGACAACATCACATTAAGGCGCCTTGGATTGCGCAAAAATCCCAGATTGAAGAACGATCTTACCAACGAAACTAGAATGATGGGCTTCTCACGGCCCTGATAGGCCTCCACACAGCCAACTTCAATGTCATGGTAGCCCAATTTTATCATCGATTCTTTAAGCAGCCGCACCTGAGCGGCATAAGGTGCGATAATGCCAATATCCTTCTGCTGCACACATGCGCCTTTGATGCCATTTAAGAACAGTCGCTGCACATACCACTTAAGCACCTTCACCTCCAGCGTATTGATCGTGCTGGTTGAGTGTTGCTCGCGCTCTGTCACTCCATGTGTTGCCTGAAATATTATTGGAAAGTCTCCATTCTGTAGCAACGACCATTTAGCTGCCATATTGACATCGGCTGTGGATAGAGTATAGAATCAAATTGTTATACTTATGTTAGAAATATACATAACACCACAAAAGAATAGCATTTCATGCAGAAGAGAAAACTCATAAAATGTTAAAGAAATGCATTTACCGTGTGTGCTACATTTGAAGAATGTGTTTATTCCCATTTACTTACCCGGCTGGGCATCCGCTAAGAGTTCATTGTTGTAGTAAAGCTCATTATAAAGACGTACGATCTGTGGATGGGACCGATAGTTGCGACGTAGCCGCGTTTGAATCGTGTGATCATAGTTTCCATTCCCGTCTAGAGCATAACAGGGACTGCGGAGTAGACGTTCCATTAACGAGTTGCCGAGACCTAAGGAGGCAGCACGGTCACTCTTAATGACGGCGCCCAGTTGCTTGTGGTCTCCAGACAATATAACATGGCAGTCCGCCTGCTGCTTTATCCCCATAATACCAATCAGCGATTCCGGCTCTGTAGAAGCACCAGCCTCGTCGACGAACACGTGGGTAAAGAAATTAAATTTACCCAAATTATCGGTGATTAGCCGGCCGACTGTACACAGTGTGGCCACAATAATGCCGTACTGGCGCAAATCGTCCACATCTATGGTTTCAAATGTTTTACCCGGGCAGTTGGAGTGCTTTCGCAGCAACGGATTTACGGACTTCAGTCCCTTGCCGTAACTTGACCGCGAGAAAAGACGTATTAGCTGATGTGTGGGCTTCACATCCATCGTTACCAAGCGCGATTCCATCGAACGTTTTGCTATGTGCGCCCTAAGCCTTACATTGACAGCAAAGAACTCACATATCAGTAATGCGATTGTGTCACAGGCTGAATTCGAACCGGCAGTTACAAGAATGCGGCTTCGAGGCTGTTGAAGGCGCAATTGTAGAATGGCCTCGACAATGGTGGTCGTCTTACCGGTGCCTATAAGCCAGTACGTTAATAAATAAACTATCATAATGAAATGATGCAACAGCTTCACCTGGTGGTCCGAACACAATATAAGGTGCCATAGCATTTGGTCCAGTCACGATTTGTTGCACGGCTTGTAGCTGCTCTGAATTTGAGGCAATACTTCCATTGAATAGATCAATTGTAACAGCACGGTTGGATGCTGAAAGCAACGGTTTCAACTTTTGACCGGGAAAGAGGTAAAGGCGCAGCTCGGGCCATTCATCCAACAGCTCCACAGCTCGATACATGTAACGCAGGGGCAAGCGACGGGAGCGTATTATCACATCAAAATATTGACCCAACTGACAGTCTCTTAACCCAGAGCCACGTTTGAATTTAATTTGAATAAGTGTGCGCGAAACCTTTTCTACAATGGCCACATGACGACACATTGGATCGGTGGATTTGAGGTGTTCATGAGGATGTGGAAACAGCGTCAAAAGCACATCAGAGAGTGGTGGGGAGGCCAACAAACTAGCCTTGGGTATAATAACTACCTCGTCCATATTGGGTGTCAGCACATCCTCGGCATTGATATGCGAGTTACGCAACTGCAATGTATTTTTAATAAAAACACGCATAAATATATATAAGAAAGTTGAAACATCACTGTTTTATAGGCATGCACATACTATATGTACATATACATACATATGTGTATGTGTGCATAGATGGGCATATTTACTGGAAAATTAAACTGAAACTTCGAGGTTCGGACAAGCTTGACGTCTGTTTGCATTAGCTGTGTATACAAGTACATGGTGGACAAATCCTCGATGTTTAGTAATGTGCGCTGCACAGCCGCAAAATTGTTGCAGTCCAGCTGCTGATCTTGTAGATATTTTGCTATAACCTCATTATTGTTAGACAAGCTTTTGCTGGTAAAATTTTTCCACAGGGCTTTCCTCATTTCTAGGGAGGGCTCGTACTGTGGAAGACTGCACATTATGGAAAGTAATCTGGAAAATTTGCATACATCAAAAAAATAAACTATATACTGCGGGATAATTGTATGCGGAAACTACTTTTCTTGTTGCGCCTCCTCCTCGTCCACCATTGTGGCTTCATCTAGTTTATTATTGGGATCGGACAAGTCCATGATTTTATGAATCTATAAACTTAACAATGACTGAATCTAAGAGTCTTCAACACAAATACAAATTAACACGCTGGTCAAGCTATCGCCGTTTAGTAGTTTTACAAAACTTGGGGATGCACTAGATAGACAAACACAAAATAGACGACACCAGTTCGCTGTAAAACACAATTATTTGTGTTTTCCAAATAAGAAATTGAAAGCAACAAAGAGATAAACTACCGTTAGAAACGCGTGATGCTGCGCTGCTTGGCAGCACTGTTAAGTGGCAGCACTGCGACGGCAAGCAGTGCAATTACGTTTTGTGGGCAAATTTAGCGCTTTTCTTTATTTATTTACCTCCGTAAACAAATGTAGTCGTAAGCAAATAACAATGAATTCACCGACGTTTCTGAAAGCAACCGAAAATAGAAGTCGGTCGCTAAATATTGTGCATATGCTGCAAAATCGCGAATCGGTTTTCAAACATAAAAAGAAAAGTACACCGTGGCATTTTTACAGGAGCATCACTCCAAATCTCACTGTTCAATATGTTGATATCCCGTCTATTTACTTGCGCAAATTTACTCCAGACGGCAGCAAACTAATCGGCTTCTCCCACGATCAACATTCATTGCTTGTGTACAATTACAAGGGCATCGCGGCGGCTGGAGAAGTCCTCAGTGAAAGTGGCGTGGGCAATAAGGAATGGATATCTAATGATATGCTTCGTAAGAAACTCTTTGATCAACTGTTCCACATTAAATTCGTATTGAACATATGTCAAGACAATTTTGCACGTTATCATCTGCATCGGGAATTCAGCGTGTTCCTGGAAAACGGGCGTTACGTCTTAATCGCTGCGATGTTACCATATGCAGCCCACGCGCTGCCACCCTCCGACTATTTGCGTTACCCCGATATCTATGACAGAGTTGTTCCTTACACGTATCTCTTCAGTGTTGTGGACCTGAAGCTCGGAATAATATCTGATCAAGTGATCTTACCACACGATGCCATCACCATGTCACACAATCATGGGGTTTCTGTGTATGGCAATACCATTGCGATCCTATCAAGGCTGTATCAATGCGTCCATATATTCGAGCTTGTCAATGGGGTCTTGGTTAGACAGGAGCAAATTGGCCCCAGGCCGCGTGGTCATATGAGCAATATTGATGAAGACATTGGCCCCATAAATGTTAACAGCAAATTGGCCATAACGCATATAAAACAAAGAGTCCTCAGTTTTCTTTACAAGCAATTCGAATGTGACGACATGATGACGAGGGAGCAAAAGTGCGTAAATTATCAGAAATTTTACAAGAATTTTAGTTTTGTGAGTAGTGCATGGTCACTCTTAAAATATAGTCAATTAATGTACTCCTTTCTGGCCCACAGATAGAGTTCATGGTGATGGAAAAAATGCAGCTTATCGACAATGAGTTTATGTTATTGCGGTATGAGGAACGTCCAGGAGTTAATGATATAATGGAATCTATGACACCACGCCGTTTATTCGTGTTCTATTCAATCTCCAGCGAAAACGTTGTAGGCGTATATCAGGAAGAATCTGCAAAGTTTCTTAATATTGTATTGAAATATAACGATACATTTTGCAACGTGCGGTCCTTTCAAACAGGCGCCGGACCCTTATCGTCCACAAACCAAATCGTACGGAAAACTATTCAAAGCCTTGCAAAATCACCTGCACTTTTGCATGAGGCAGTAATCCGCTTTAATCAGTCCGTACCTATCAGCAGCCAGAGTTTTACAACGACACCGTATTTAAACTGTAATCTATTCTGCTATGATGAAAAAGCGGTTTCACCGATGGAACGACCAAAAATCTGCTCAACGTCACCTATTCAGTTCCTTGACAAAGCCAGCGGCTTGATTGCGTTTCGCCTGAACTCACAGGCGCGTATGCCTGTTGATTTGAGTGCTCCTCGTGAACTATGTGCCTTCATCTTCCATCCATACGAGCCCCTAGTGATCAGCATACAAAAATGTATGCATCGCTACACATTCAACGTACATATTTACAATCAAAGTACGATCGTCAAACAATATTAATATGGAACCGAAATGTGATTTTTTGTACCTCGATGCAAATGGGAACAACATTAGTTTAGACCATAAATAGCATGGCATGTTTTTAATTTTACTATATAATTATAAGTGTTTGCAATCAACAGTTCTATGCTATTTACTAATAAAAGAGTATATTTATATATTTTATTCTGTATTTCATTGATACTTTCTGTGTACATTTTTTTGTTTCCATTTTTGGGGCTTTTTTAAATTTAATTTAAATGCCCTACCAGTTCACCGCATTGTAAAAATTCAATTGCTTTACAACACTGTCCCCCAACGTTTACAGCACTACCTAATTCAATCGAAATCGTGTGTGTTTTTGTTTATGCGAAGATAAAATGGAAGCCGGCGCCAACGAAGACGTGCTTATTGAAATCGAGGAAATCGATAGCAATGATGTACCTGAAAACGAACTGGAGCAATTTCAGGAAACAGAGCCCTTACAGGTTTTAGAATTTATTGTTAGCGAAGGCGACAACGACGCCCTCAAACGACAGGCGGCTGAGGAAGGAGCTCTAATTAGACGATATGTGCAGGGAGAAGGAGAATTTCCAGAGTTTTGTACCAAACTGGAGCCAGGAGATGAAGATGATGAGGATATTGAAGAGGTGCAGAGCGAAGCGGCGACAATGGTCGAGGAAGATAATAGAATTTGTGGAGATGACAATGATGATGATTTTGAGCAGCGGCATCCTGTGGCTTCCACAAGCACTGCTGCAGCTGAAAAGCGTGCAGCGAGGCAACAAAGTACCTCCCCACAGAAAGACCATACCGAACAGCCCTCTGGAATTGGTGAATCCAGCGGAAATTTTGGGCGCCGCAGCGCACTCAGCCCAACACTCCTTGGTCTTATGGGAGAGGCCAACTTATCCTTTGCTTACGGTCGCTACGATACAGCAGAGAAAATATGCATGGAGATTATACGTCAGAATCCATTGGCAAGTGAACCATTCTATACTCTGGCCGAGATCTACGAGAATCGCGACGATGTAAAATTCTTACAATTCTCTACGATAGCGGCACATCTAAATCCGCAAGATCGCGACCTGTGGATACGTATCTCAGATATGCTGGTCCAGCAGGGGCAGCTGTCCCGTGCCCGCATATATTACACCAAGGCCATCAAAGTGCTCCATAAGGATTACTTGCTGCGTTTGCGCAAGGCCCAGCTGCTAGAACGCATGGGCGAGGGACACACCGCGATGTTTACATATCTAAAAATGTTGCCATTAATGCCACCAAGCGAGTGGGCCCTTTGTCTGTCAACGGCTCGAAATGTTGCGAGTTTTTTTCATCTTCAGCAAAAGCATGCCTTGGCACTAGAGGCCATGAATGGAGCGTATAGCGTTTGCGGTTCACGTTTTTCCCTTGGTGATCTTAACATCTTTTTGGAGCTTCTCATTCTCAACAAGCAATACAAAAAAGTGTTGCAATGTCTACGAGAGCACACAGATCTAGACCTGGAGGCAGGAGATAATCTGGAGGTCATTCACTTCTGCAAAATACCAAATGATTATTTACCCGATTTACGCGCTAAGCTGTGCGTTAGCTTAATACACATGCGTGCGCACCATTTGCTCGGATACATCGTTCAAAACGTACACACGCACATAACGTTGACGGTAGACCGTGTGGAGCTGTACATGGACATTACAGAGGCATTGATGCAGGAGCATAAATATGCCGAGGCTATTTCACTAATGCGGCCCATTACGGACGACGATACCTTTGAGTGTCCGGCTTTTGTTTGGCTGCGACAGGCCGAGTGTCTGCGCCAGCTTAATCGAACTAACGAGGCTATTCAATGCTACGAACGTGTTGTTCAGCTTGCACCATTTTGCTATGAAGCCAAGTTTACGCTGTCCGCGCTGCTTAAGCAGCAGGGAAAGCACGAGGAGGCTGTAAAGGCACTAGAGCAGCCAGGCGAGGGCGAGAATGAAGGTCAGCCGTTGCACGCCCGCCTGCTTTACGAACGCTGCGTGATGCTGCAGCAAATTGGACGCATCGAGGAGTTCCTTGAGGTCGGCTACGTCCTGCTCGGTCGGCACTCGATCAAGCTCAGGAATCGCGAGGAGCTGGTAGCTGCCTCAAATAGTGGCAACGCGTACAACACGGAAGGCCTAAAAGCCATTATACAAATGCGTAATATGGCAGAAAGTGCAACAGGAGGCGTGGAGCGAGAAGTTCAGGTATGTCTGCTGAAAATATAGTAAACTATTCATGATTTTTACACACATACTACTTGCAGGAGACATTAAAGAGTCAAAATGCAGCCGCCGCCAATGAGAACTCGGATTTGACCATTAAAATGGAGATCGATCTCTTTCTTGAGCTCGTTCGCATTGGTCATGAGCATGGCATGCATAGTGCGGTTGAACGCATTGCGTTTGCAATGGTGACGACAAAGCGTTTTCTTAGCTATCACCAAGAAGTCGAGCGCGTAATGATCTTAGCTTGCTATTTCAACAATGACTGTTCCATTGCCTTCTCCTATTTGCGAGAGCTCATATCTAAGCACGTGGGCAACATAAATCATTGGAATTTGCTTTCACTGCTTGTGCAACGTGGCGAGGATATGCGTTACTTCCGTTACGCGCGCCGCTTTGCCCAGCGTAATCCACTGGCCATGCAACAGAATCGCATCTTTCTGGGACACTATCATCTTAACTGCAGCTCCTATAAATACGCTTTAAACATCTACGTTCCCATGTTGCATGAGCAGCCGCAAGCAGTTGTAGCCCTTTGCATAGCTGTTGTCTTTAACCAACTGGCGCTACAAAAGAAAGTACTACGGAAAACAGCAGCAGTAGCGCAGTCGATTGCCTTTGCCCATCGCTATGCGGAGCTGCGCAATGGGGGCAATACTACATCGTGTACGCAGCAAGAAATTTACTATAACATTGGCCGCATCTATCATCAGGCGAATCTATTGAATCTCGCAATGGACTACTATGAACGGGCCCTGGCCGTGCAGCATCCGCTGCTGGAAGAGCATAAGTCAACACTGGGACTCCAACATGAGATTGCCTTTAATTTGCATCTAATTTACCGGGCCAATGGAAACAAGCAGAAGGCTCGACAGTATCTGATGCGATATTGTGTTGTTTAACTAACGACTATTGTTATATACTATATGTAGCAAAGCACTATTTGAGGAGGCATTTGACTGAATCGCTATAACTTACCTCACTAAGTGAATAATATCTAACCCAAATATAAAATAAACCCGTGCAGCCTAGGGACTCGGAGGGTCTAAATACCAGACTTGGTCAATGTGGGCTCAAAATATTGTGGCACAAACCTAATACATGTAGCCTTTTTACCCTTCATGTACATATGAAAAAGTTGAATGTTTTCAGACTACAAAAATATCTAACCTGTTATAAGAGTAGAAGAAAAGTTTTAAGTTAAGTTTTCGTGAATAAACAAATAAGTGTCCGATTAGTAGTATGGAAAACTGTTTAATACATCTAAGTTATGCAACATGAGATAAAGTAAAACAAACTAGTGTTATTGACGCCTCTGACCACACATGGCTGTGAGACGGGGCATAGCTAGCCGAAGGGCAAATAATATTCCCCCAACCGGGTCGGAGGCGTTAATTAGATATTATTGTAATTTGATTAGATTTCTCCTTCTTAGGCTTTTCTAGCTTATAGGATGCTTTTAAAAAATTTTATGTACTATTTTCTATGTCGACAGTCAATGTTTGTTGACATAAAAAAATAAATTTGTTTTAATATTAAAACGTATTAGACTGTATTAAAAAATATATACTGGTAGACATCGCAAGCGTCAAGAAAACCGAAGGAGGTGCAGGTTTTCGTAATCGTAAGTAAATACCTATTTATAATTCGATCGCAGATCAATATGTATGTATTTATGCCTCAATTGGCCAAAGTATAATTTGTTAAATAACTATTTAGTAATCAGATTACAAACATTTTTTAAACAATGATATGCATTTGCATTTAGGAGTATCAAGATTTCAAAGCTGAGATTCAAATTTCGTTTTTTACACAAATAATTTTAATTAATTTTCTTTGGTACGCATTGAAAAAAAAAAATTAGAGAGCTCCTGCAATGATCTCAATTAATACATGCCAGGCTATTTCTCATTAAGGTCAACGTCATCGAAAAGACTCATGAGCTCCCGCTCCTTGCGCTTGATGCGCTCCTTAATGTTGGTTATCGACTCTGACTTGGGCACCTCGCTTGCAAAGAAATCATCCATGGACTTGAAGACATTGCTGGCATGACTACACAATTAGAGAAAATACAAATATACATATGGACATATGAAATCATGCAGTTTTCAAGTCGCTTACCTTGCCTCGTAACTGCCATAGGTGAGGACAGGCTTCTTAACTTGACGCTTGGTCACACAATTCCGCTCCATAAACTCTTTGAGTTCGGTCAAGCGAATCTCGTCCTGTTGCTCATGCGGTGCAAATTTACGTAACGACTGCTTCTCGAGCTTGGTCTTTATATCCCGGCGCCCCTTCTCGATCTGATCAACCAGATTCTGAGAAGGAACCATCAACTTAATATTTCCCACAAGCAAATCATGATTGAGAATCTCAGCCTCGTTCGTCTGCACGCCAGTCTCAAGCAGCTTAGCGAGGTCTGTTTCCTCTGTTGCCGTCTCCTCCTGCTGCTTATCAGCTCCACGTGCATCGCCAATTGGCTCTCCCGGCGACTTTGCTCTATCCCCTTGTGGCGGCTTGTCCTTTTTCAAAAGCGCGCCACCTCCAGCAGCCCTTGCCTGCGGCTGAGGCCATAGCCGTGCCCGTGCTGCCTGCTTAGCCATCTGGCTCAGTACCTTCTCCTTTTTTTCACTGCCTATGTTAGGGCCCGTGCTCGTTCTCACCGCCGGCGGTGTGCGTTTGCGCTCCACTTCCACTGGAATCTCCCATTTCAGTGCTTTAGTTTTGTTACCCGACTTATCGTGTTTGATCATGATGGCGGCCACTGTAGCGGACGCCTTGTCACGCTGTTCCTTGTCCGATTGCCTGTTCCCGGCCGCGCGCAGGGATGAGGAAATGGTGGGCTGCTGCAGGCGTGGCATGCGTGAAGATACTGCGCCAGCGCCACTTCCATTGTTGTTGGTATTTCCACGTGATTTCCAGTCAACGGTGCCACCATCACCACCCGCACCACCATGAGCAGCAGCACCTCCTAGGCGACGGCGTGCTCCGGTACTGTGTGACGATTGCGGCGTCGCCAACTTGGCGAAGCGTGCCTCTGTCGTTGCGCGTCGTTGCGGCGTTGGACCCTGTGGACGTCGCTGCTGCCCAGTTGCGGTTGTAGGACCACCAGCTGGTTGGCCGCCACCGCTGCTAAGGCGACCCGTTCTGGCTCTGCTTGCAGCGCTCATTTTGGGAATTTTTATATCAATATAAAGGCGCACAATTTTTACCAAATTTTCCAAGTCACGAAATCTACAGTTCAAATTTGTGGTTCTGTTTGTGTTCGTCTCTACGATTCGTTTTGCTCGATATACAGTAATTTTGTTGCTTTTAACTCTAGGAGACTTAATTTTATTTTCGACAGATTCTAAAGCAGTGATCAATAATGTGAGAGATAAGAATGTGTAAGTTATTCAAGCACCGAATTTTAATTAATTATTTCCAAAGGTAAAACTGTAAATTTTGGGGTACAGCTCAAATTTAAAATATATATGTATGTATGTATAAAAAAAATGCAATCGGTGCGAATAAAAGTAAATGGGCAACACTAGGATTACACAAAAGCCTCAGTACGTTTGTTTAAATTCAATTCGATAGTTTGTACACCGCCTTCTACGATACTAAATAAATACATGCGTAAATATGTTTATTTATTCTTGATCTACACCGAAGGAAGTTGTGGAATAGATATTTACTTATCCATTTTGGCCTGGCTTTGCTTACTTCGTTTTCGGAATTGTTACGAAAATATGATAATAGACAAAAACAAAAGAATAACAAGAGAGAACGCTACAGTCAAGAAGCCCGACAGTGTAATACCCTGTACCACTAACCATACAACATATAAAATGAAATTCGCACACAGAGAGCACGAATGCGACAGCTCCCATTCGGCAAATACCCGAAAAGCTATGGGAGCTATTTGAAATTCTGTAGCGGGGGAAGGGGGGAAAATTCCAAAAAATAAAATAAACTCGTTCTTTCTCGGACCTAGGAGAATCTGGATGCCAACTTTGGTTATTCTAGCTTTTATAGTTTCTGAGATCCTTGCGTTCATCCAGACGGACGGACAGACAGACAGACGGACGGACAGACAGACGGAAATGTCTAGATCGATTTCTCTCATCATGCTGATTCAGAATATATATACTTTATGGGGTCGGAGATGCTTCCTTCTGCATGTTACATACTTTGCACGAACCTAATATACCCTCCCTTTTTACCCTACGGGTACAGGGTATAAAAAAAAAACATACACCCACTAAAAACCTAAACAAAACTAAAATTGATTTAAGAAAAATATTTAAGCAATCGTACATCAAACGTAACTGCTATTTAAGGATAACCACAAGGAAGTTAGAGGACTAGGTAAAATATACAAATACAGGTTTATTTAGCTTCGTAAGTGTAGACAGTATTGACGAAATTTTATAGTGTGAGAAGGGAAGAAAAAACATAAAATATAAAAGTTTGGTCTGCAGTTTCCGAAATCCAGGCGTTCATCCACACAGAGGGAAAAACAAACATGGCTATATCGATTTGTATCGGCATGCTGATCTCGATTATGTGAACTTAATGCTTCCCAGTCGTACATATTTTTATGCATTTAAACCGAACTAGTATAACCTTTTAGCATATACTGACCTCTAAAACCTTAAAATCTTATTACTATATGTATCAATTTTCATTTCATTTGAGTGATTAATCAAATATAACATATGGAGTTTTTACATTTTACAGAAAATGATCCGAACGACAGTATTATAAATAAACTATTATCCGGCTTATAACTTTTGAAACAAAATAATAGCTCGTTTTATTAGCAATGTACATAGCATCCTAGAAAATATTGAATGAAAAACGTATGTGTATTTGTGAGGACTCTTTTTATTGATAACAATTGATACACTTTATTAAGTAAGATGGCTTGTTTTTTATGGTTAGGAATAAAGTTTTCCGTTAACAAAAACCACGCTCATATCAAAATTATTACTACGATGTAAGAAAATGAAGCACTTTAGTGATATGTTTTTTAATTTCTCGTCATTTATATGGCATACGTGTATGTACATCTTTACAAAGACACAAATGTATCATGTGGGGATAAGTTTATTTTATCTTCCCAATTCATTTCCAAAAATGCACACATCGAGTCAAATTTGGGAAATATCCCTACTACTCTATTCAGTATGATACAAAAATGATTTGAATCCAAACGCTATTATGAAACAACCAGAATTTTTTAATTAAACGAACATTTCATTTTTACAAAATCATGAAATGACGTTTAAATCTTATTTACGCATCCTCTCATACCTACTGAGGACTAGGCACACTAATCTATGTGTGCAGTACTTTAATTTTTCTTTACCCAATTGAAGTTAAGAAAATAATTTTGCTATTTAGAAAAAACTGCAATGCTCTTCAAATTGCAGCGCTCTGAACAGCAAAGTCAAAAAGAGGATTTAGTATGGGCTAATATGTTTAGACCATTAAAAACCCTCTTAGTTCACATATGCAAATTAAACTCCTCTTGCAGCTTACATCATAACACAACGATTCTTATTTTTGCCCTGGGAAGAACCTCCGTTACTTCCGGAAGGGTTCGATCCAGAGGTGTATGAGTTAGAGCTTCTCCTCCAGCCATTATCGAGGGGGGGATGATGGATTTCGTTCGGACGGGTACTCTCGAAGCGATTAACGTCGGTCGGCACGTAACGGTAACGGCTAGAAGAGTCTACACCTGCGGTTACAATACTTCTGGTGTTGGCGCTGGAGATCAGTTCCGGGCGTGTGGGTGACAATACTGTGTGTGGAATGGGCCGATAAATAATTGAATCATTTGAAGGCCGATAGATTCCAGATCCTTGCACACTACTGTATGTTGTTGTTCCAGACGTGCTATTATTTAATGCAGAACTAGTTGCTGTGCTAGCATTGCTGAAGCCCAAGGGATTTCCATTTACAATAGTAGAGGCTTTCTTAAATCCTGTAACAGAAGGCTTGGTAGCTCCAGGAATCAAGACAGGTCCATTAATTGCATTGTTTATGGAGCTAACAGGAGTATAACTTATACTTCCATTTTGCATTCCACTGGAAGTGGATTTTTGGGTCTTATTGCTTTTATTGCAATCACTTTTCAAATCGCTTGGTACTTTGGGTAATTCATCAAATAGTTGATCAATCTCCGATTTCGTGTTTTCGTTGTTCTTTGGGTTGCATTGTAACAACTGCTGCTTATTATAGGAATAACCCTTTAGTGGTTTAAACGATTGCGTACGTGAAGTTTCTGAAAATTAACATTGAAATCTAGATTAAATTTTTAATATTAAATTCTTGATAATAGAGCTAAAGGCTTCAATTTCTTATCTCCAACACATTTCTTTGTTTAACAATTCCCATTTCTACTGTCAAGTCTGTGTTTTAAAAGGAAAACTTATTAATTAAAAATGCGGGACAGCCCCAAAACCTATAAAACGGTGAAGTGTTCGAAATCGATATAATCATGAGATCGACATTTGCACTGCAACACTGCAACAAAACTTTTAACGGAATAGCAGTACAGTGTAGCTATGATTGTTTGTAAGATCTAAACCTTAAAAATTCCGAAGGTATGGCAATTCAACTGATTTATACGAATACCATTTCTATACGGCGTTGGCTATTAGGACAGGCATGGAGATAAGGAGAGAAACTTCATGATTGAAAATTATTATTATTAATAAATTCTGCACAATTGTACCAGGACAAAATAATGAACTGAAATTTTTACAACACTTCTGTAACTGCGAGCTCAAATGTTACAAGATTTATAAGATTATGGTCCGAAAGTTGCTATCCAAAAAAATTTAGGAAACGAAACACGCCATATCGCATTCCCATCCGGAAAATTTGAATTCTATGCTCAAAGGCAAGTTCTAAGTGGAAATGGGCTTGATTACTTGACCAAAATTGTATCTTGTTAAACCGGCATCAGTTCTTATACTAAATATTCTTCCATACGCATGCATACATGCATCTGTTCTGAATGTTCTTATTTCTACGATTTGTGTTATTACTTTTCTTCACCGATTGTCCCAACACAACAGCGCTGTCCTCGGTCCCTTTGCTGGACTTGTTGTTTGATGCGGGCTTCGGTGTCGGCCACTTGCCAATCTGTAGGTTTTTAATTCGCCCCTCGATGCTAATCTCATTGTCGTTATCATCCTTAAAGTAGGGAGATCCAATTAGGGTCCTGTTCTTACGACACTTTTCGATGATATAGAGAAAATCTTTGTTTTGGCTTAGAGTTCGCGGATTGCCAATCAATATAAGCAAGGACATCGGCCGCGAAAGCAAAACATTTAGCCGCTGTAATTGCAAGACAAATTTTATATATGTATGTATGTGTATATAATTATCCATAATCGGTAAGTGATTTGTAACTCACGCGAGTATTGTCTAGAAATCCCAATCCGGGCGTAAATGACCGCACAAACGACACAATAATAATCTGCTTTTCTTTACCCTGGAATAGCTCAACGGAGCCGCAATCAATCTGTTGCCAGTTGCGCATGTTCAGCTGCTCCTGAATGCGCTGATACTGGCTCTTGTAGGGTGAGATGATGCCAATGTCTGTTTGCGAAATCTTTTCGCCATTAATGCCAAAATACATGAGGTCCTTGACATAGTCCATTACAGCATCAATTTCCTTGTTGTTGCACATACTGAAAAGCACAAACATGTTCAGCATAAGGACATACTATATATAAGTGCGAGAACTCACCTCATCGAGCATTTAGACACCGTGCCGAACACTGAATGAAAAAGTATGGGAAACTCTGAGTTGGGGTTATAAAACCACTCCTGTACCAAGCACACGTTCTCTGCACGCGAGTAAAATATAGTTGGTTTTTTTTTTTTTTTAATTTTGACTACACATAAGACTGCAGCAATACTCACTGGATGGTGCATGCGCCATTAGCTCATTATCGTAATACAGATAATTGTAGAGCGCCACAATCTCCGGATGCGAACGAAAATTGCGTCGAAGACGCGTCTGTAGAGTCACATTATAGGTTCCATCTGGAGCAACCTGATAACACTCCCGCTGCAGCAGACGCTCCATTAGCGATAGCGACAGGCCCCATTCATTTGCACGGTGCGATTGCAGCACCGGGCCCAGTTGCTTGTGATCTCCAGAAAGTATGATATTTGTGTTCGACGAAATGGTGCATGTAATGCCCATAAGCACCTCTGATTCCGTGGAGGCAGCAGCCTCATCCACGAAAACATGCGTGAACACACTCTGACCGTTGTCTGAAATGGCAAAGCCTCCTGTAGACAGCTTGCCGGCCAAACTCAGCGTGCAGACCACAATGCGATACTCGTGGATGGTCTGCACATCCGGGTAAAAGTGCAAAGCATACATGTTGGAGTGTTCTAACAGTAAGTCGTCGATATTGTCGATGCGTCGATCACAAGTGACCGAGAAGATGCGAGTGAGCGGGTGTGGCGCTGTATCTGGCATCTTCTCAATGATGCGCAACAGGCGTAGAGCTACTTCATCACAAGCAGTATTGGAGCCGGCCAGTACTAGAATGTGCGTCTCGGGACGACGAACAAACAGCTGATATATAGCCTCACAAACGGTGGCTGTTTTACCGGTGCCTGGTGGGCCGAAGATAATATAGGGTCCTGGCAGCTTTTCAGACAATGCGATTTGCTGTACAGCCTGTAGCTGCTCCGGATTTGAGGCAATCAATGGGTTAGCCAACTGAAGTTTAGCTTCCAACGGTTTAGTCTCCGTTCTTGGCAATTCGGGATAGAGTAAACGTTTAGCATGGGTATGATTAATGGTTTCGAGTGCCTGCAGTGCCCTATACTGATAGCGCATAATAGATCGCAGGGGCCGAAAGATGAGTGTAAAACGTTCATTTTCGGGTAGCTTCCTCTCGCACGTGATGTTTACACGCTGCCCAAACACACCCACCACACGAGCGAAGTAGACGCGTGGCTCATGCTTTGTCTTATCTACTGGTCCAAAGCGTTGATCCAAGTTGCGGGCCCAGTCTATAATGGCCCTAAAGTCCATCAGAGCAATGTCCAAAACAACATTATTGTTTTCGAGAACTTGGCGTATGTTTGATCCCCCGGCGCCGCCGCTGCCGTTGGTGACACGCTCATTGATGATCAGCACATCGTCGGAAGGACAGAGAACATCTTCGAGACTAGCGTTTCGTCCATAAGTGTTAATCCTTACCGAGAGATCTCTACCAAATTGATGCAGCTCTACGTTACTCTGCTTTAATGACACATAGTGCTGTATTTGTTCGACGTCCTCAACCTGCAAAAGCGTTTTCAGCGCGCCACTCATGTTTTCATAGCTAAGCTTGCGCCCACTCTCATAATAACTACGGAAATGCTTATCATAAGCGGCCAAGCCGTTCTGTGCATCCGCATTTTTAAGGGCCTTGATCACCTCGGTTGGTGGTCGAGCACGGTCCAGTTTAATTTTCGCCTTAAAAGTCTTCTTGTTTGATAACCGATAAGGGTTTACTGCAAATGCCGGCTTCGGTAAAACGTCTGTGCGCTGCAATGCAATAAAAGAGCGGTTATGAAGCAAATTCCGTACTATAGTATGTATAAATCTACTATATGTACATATATGTACATACCATAAAGTGATGCTGCTCCACATAATGCTGTTTGGCAACACCATCCACAGTTTGGGAGAAGCCAATGACGATGGGCTGTTCGCGCAAAATCATGAAAACGTGTGAATCCACAAAGAACTGCAGTTTTCCATTTTCCGGCACTGGCATCGGCATACGGCCATTGTAGACGTAATAAAACTGACGGGACTGCACAATAATGATTTTTTCAACGATCAGACTGGCCAGCTTTGTGCTCAATGTAAAACCAAAGAAGTGACTGTCTACACAGGTTTGATAAGACAATTGCAGCATTGGCGTGGAACTGCAAAAAAAGTGGCAGTAAAATAGAATTGTTATCCAACTATAAACATTTGCACTTGCAACTCTTACAATTTCTCCATTTTCTCCAGTGACTGAAACTCCGACTCGTCCCCGTGATACTCAATATGTGCCTCATATTGCTCAATAGTATTAAAATTGCATTGGCAAATATAACAGCTCATGGAGTCAAGCACGAAATCTTCTTTTCGTTCTTGGAGTTTTGTCTTCTGATACATCAACTGCACTGCCTCCGCATTCTCGTCTACAACATTTTCTTCAAATACAAATTGATATTATTAATATATTGTATCATTATACAATGCAACAGCCCACAATTACCTTCCAAGATCGGAACGCCATTGGCCACATCGTCCTCAGAAGTTTCTGATAACTCCGAAGTTACTCCACTGACGATCGCTTCATCTCTTTGCTTGTGCTTCTCATCAATCTCATTGCACTTTTCTTTGCGAAATTCCATTAGGGAGAAGTCCTTTATGCGATAATTGGAATCTCCACGCGGCGTGTTCATCAAAAAGTTGGTTTTATGCAATAATGAGCCGATCTTTGTACAAAAACAGACACCAGACAATCGCAATTAGTTAAAGATAAATATTTATTTCTCCTTCCATTTCACTGAATATTTCGTTGTCGGTTTTTATATTTTAAGCAAATAAATTGAATTGCTTGCCAGTTATCTGACACCTGCTAAGGCATATAAATATAGTATACATATACATGTGCTCTACATAGGCTCTTTTGTTATCAGCGAAAAGTATTTCATTACAGTACTATCACTATATTTATGCCCAAGTATGTATGTATGCACTATTATTTATTTAATACGGGAATTCACATGAGCACAATTGGTCGACAAAAGGGCGTACGCACAAATACCATGGACAAAATTGAATTGAATGCATTTGTAGCTATACATTATAATACCCGAAGTAGGCACTGCAAAGTGTTACCCAGAGGTGTTAATAAATATATATATATATATATATATATATATATATATTCCACGAAGTCAAAATTCAATTATAATAATTTTATTTTTTTAAATACCGTATGTATGTACATATATTTTGAAGGAAATCTTTTCCACGAAATGTGATTATTCAAATAGCTAAGTTAAATAGCGTAACTTTCCAAGCTGCGAACTGAGGGTTTTTTCAACTTGCAAAAATAAGTACATATGTATATATGTATATGTATGGATATGTATATTCATACTATATAATATTTAAAGTAAAACATACATATGTATGTAAGTACCAAAATAATATGTATATTATTTTGTTTTATATGTTTTTATTTTCTATGGCTGTTGCTGAATTATTACATTATATTCTTGGATTTTAGTCGGATACATTTTTATTGTTTACAAATTGAAAGAAGATCTTCAGCACCCGGAAACCCGTAAGCACATAATCAGTGTGCATTGGAATGAGTTTCAACGACTTAATAGTCATATGATTTCACATTGTAAACGTACAGACTTCTTGTGTAACTACCAAAACATTATTTTTACAGCAGCAGAAATCCAATTTAAGCCCCCCCCCCAATAGCCTGTTTATACTCTGTACTAAACAGTTACCGCGCAGATCATACAGTAGATTGTATCATATAGTGATTATGAAAACGATATTATTTAAAATGGGATTGGGTAAAAAACTATATGGATATAAGAACATCGAATTAATTATATTGAAATAGGTTTATTTCTAGCTGACGCTAATGGTGACAATAGATTAGTAACCGTGGAATAAAGTGAACGATTAGGTAAAAGAGATACAATTTTATAATAGACCATCTGTTCCACTTCACTAAACAACAAACGGGGACTGGATGTGTTCAAAATGTAACGGAATGTGCGCGGAAGTTTTTTCAGTTTTAATAAATTTATACCAAAAGTTATTTTTTATTTATAGCTTTCTGTTATATGACTGTATGTTGTACAAAGGTATAAAAACTGATCGATGGTAAAGTAAAAATTATAATATATTCGTTAATGTAAGCATTAACATAAACATCATGTAAATGTAAGCAAAATTAATATATTTCTGCTTCTGGCGACTCAATTGTTACTAAAACCATTTGATTTATACATTTGGGTAAAATAAAACCATTTGTTGTTATTATGAATATTTATACACGTACGAAATAATTACAAAGCTGTGCTTTACACTCAACCATGCACATTCACTTAAAACCGCAGATTAAAAAATAAACGAGTTTAACTATTGTTCATTGTTCAAGCGCGAATGTGTGTGTGTGTGTGTGTGCGGGAATCACATATTGACATACAAATATGCACATACAGTATGTGTGACGGCTTCTGCCAAAGCCAACAACTAACAATTGGCAAAACCCGAAGCGGCAAATGACTAATCCACTTGGTTTAGGCGAGGCAGACAAAGGGTACGGTAGATGAAAATAAAACTGTGAGACGGACTAACTGATAATAACAGCGACGAACTGAACTGCACAACAATTTCAATGAGAAGTAGACAGAAAGAAATGCTCGATAACAGCTAGCATAATATGCACACATACATACATATGTACATATGTATGTATGCATGTTCATATGTTTATTTGTACAATTTTGCAAGTGCATATCTGTTACTTACATTTATTCTTCGTCCATTGTCATTTAGCTTGACACGTAACCCGGCATGATCTGGAGCGGAATTAATATAGTTTTCGAAGATACGATTTAACTTTCCTTTATCCACCAACCAACCAGATCGCGCATTTATAACCTGAGTATCGCTAATCTCTAGCAGAAATGTGCCAATTATTTCACGCTCTGTGGGTGGATATTTTGATTGAACGATAGCTTATCAGCACAAAGGTGATCGTCTCGAGATAATATTAGGTGGAATAGGACAAAAGACTTACCCCATGGTATGGGTGGTTTCAATGCATTGCGCGTTGGTGCGCCTTGTTGCGTTCCGTTTTTGGGCGGTGAGGACGATGATGTTTGCTCTGGCGAGAGTGTTGTTACTTGCTTGCCAACAATGTTTTTGGCCGCTGCGGCTTTTTTCTTCTGGTTCTTGCTCTTTGTCATATTGCTTGCTTTTTATTTAATTAACTTTTCTCTTTGGCAATTTAGCGAAACAGCCACTAAAAACCCTACACAAACAATTTGTGGAACAAAACAAAGGGTACACGATACAAGTTCTAAATTGTAATCAACTGTGATTTTCGCTATTAGCTAACGCGGTGACGAACAATAACACTGCACAATACACTACGAACCTGCACTGCAATTATCGGCAGATCGTACGAATACAATTTTTTTTTGCTACTGGAAACGCGACCGGCACAGTCAGACCACACACACGAACTTTTCAACGATCACTGATGCGCGCGGCGAAAGTGCCAGCGTCTTTATATGTACATATGCAATGCGCTCTTTCCTGCGAGTAACGGACTCTGCAAAATTCTAAGAAGAGCGCATGTGCGAAATTTTTTGAGTGTATTTAAGAAAAGTTTTTAATGCAGAGAATGTTGATTGCCAGTTTGCTCACACACTCACCTGCCCAGCGTTCGAAAAGTTAAAATTTGAAGATCGTTAGTTCACAAGTAGCACTGCAAATTTGTAATGGTTCAGCTTGTGTAACCGTTAAATACATGAACTGTATTCTGTATATGTATGTATGTTTATGTATATCTTTAGGTATATGTACATATGTATGTATTGTATATACAACAAAGGAAAATTATCAAATGTGTAGATTGTAGGTTGAAATATAGAGAGCAGATAGGCTGACGAGATACAAACATTTGTACATATACATATATGTATGTATGTGAGTACAAATTCTGTGAACATTTTAAATGGGAAAGTACCGATTTATGTTTATTCAAAGGCACATACATACATATGTACATGCATTTGTAGGTGGGTCTTGCTGACTGCAAACAGGTTTCCGCCGTTCATAAATGAAAATAACAGGTGGTCTGGTATAATTTGTGTTTGGGCAAATGCTTCCCAACACTGAACGAATATTGCGTCTGTTTAAAATTACGGTTTAATTATTCTCGAAAAGCAAATACATAAAATCTTTTAAACATAAAACCTTAACATAATTGAATCTCATTTTTTCGCCAATTTTAGTTTCTCCGAGCCAAATATGACGCCCTTATCGGCCAGTTTCCGTTTCATGGCAAATGGATTAACAGAATTAAGTGGCGTGCGTTGCTCTGGTACTTCATTGGTCGACTGTAATTCCGATTCACCAAATATATTCTCCTGCGTATCTAGCGGCAGCGGCTCGGGAGTTGAAGGCCGAGCCACCGCCTTGAAGAGATTGGGCGAGTTGGAGAAGCGTTTTAGAGTGTTACGCTTAGAGCCGCTCAGCTCCATTGCTTTGGGTGCCAATTTTGTAGTTGTGGCATTTAGAGATGTGGGCGTGGCTGGTATCACAATGGTGGCCGATATACCATTGACACCTAGTAGTTGTTGTTGCTTACGTGCCTCCTGAACCGCTTCTAGTTGCGGAACTAACTCACATAGTCTATCCGACAGATGAATGCGTCCCAGCTTGGAGGCATATTTGACGGCCAGCTGCAGCAGCTCGGTGCACGCAATGGACTCGATCAACTCTTTAGCGCGGGTCTCGCACTCGCTGCGACACGCCAGTGCAAAAAGTTTGATAGCCGCTTCCTTTTGCAACTTTTCGGCGCCTTCGATATCCATAATGCTAGCACGTACGAGGAGATCCTCCTGCTCCGATTTCTCGACCTCAATGTCGCATAATGGCAGTTGCAAGCGCAGCTCCTGCAGCATGGGCCGCGGATTGGTCATAGGGTAGGACGTTCCACGACATAGAACCGCCTGAATAATCTGACTTCGCTCGGACACTGAAATGATGAAATAATTGTGAGACACGCTCATAGCCTGTTTCATCATATCGCAAATGGGGAACCAGGCGTTGCTTTGCTGACGGTAGAGTTGTACCAAGCCCATGTTATCGCCAAATACGGGCGAACCACAATCACTATAGCCCAACCAGGTGACCTGCCGACCTGGAGTGAGTGGCACCGGTAACTGCTGGACGCGCAAACTCAAGCCGTTCACATTGATTAGCATAGCTGCCAGATGCTGTTGTGTTTGGCTAGGTGAAGCACTATGGTAAATTACGATCAAGCTATTCTCATGTCCGGCCAGCGCCAGCACTGGCCCGGGAATGCTCAATACCTCGCGTTGAGTACCCATGACGCTGAAGAGACGAAGAAAATGGGAGCTTGTTGCAACCGCAATCAATTTGTTTGTTGCCAGCAGTGCCTCTACAGACTCACAGTCGGGCAGATTTAGCGACCACTCCTTGTTGCCGGCAGCAGCTAAAGCTATCACCACCAGTTTACTGGAATCTGTGGAAGCCAGAGCAAGAGCGCTGCGACTTAAGCTAGCTAGATTGTGTTGATTATAGTTGCTGATATGAAGTGCATGATGGACACTGGCGTCATGAAACTCGACGTCTATGGCACCATCTCCAGATGGATCTGTGTGGGCAGTTACAATGCCAACATCGTTCCATGCTAAGTAGCGGTGCTCCAAATCACTGGGAGTCGAACTGGGCTGAAAGGCTACTTGTTGCTTAAACAATTTGGGCATGGATGCTAAACCCACTTGAGCGACGCTCGAAGCCAACGAACACTTGGAGTGCTCATCGTCTGGATCATGGAGGGCAGCCCCATCTTTTATGGAATAGGATGTGGCGTTGTTCATGACCTTGCGTTTTAACTGTTCAAGACTAACGCCATCACCATCGTCATCGGCCGCCTCAGTTGCTTCATTGTCGTTTGTGAATTCCATATCCCCAAACAGATCTTCTGCTGCAGTTTCCCCATCATCGACATTGTCTTCCGTCAGTTCCTCGCCCATAAATAAAGTGCCTAGTTGACCTGTGGCATCGCAAAAGGCCAACTCATCTTCGTTTGCAGCATTCCACGCGAGGCACGATATTGCGTTGCAGTCGCTGGGCGGAGCCTCCACTTTTAATGCCTTGCGGCGATGTACATCAAATATGCTCAATTCTCCACCAGTAGTGCCTGCGGCTAAGCGCTGGCCGTTCGGCGAAAACTGACAGCAACTGTAGTTGCTAGAAACGCGTTCGTCTTGCAGCTTGTAGGCTACTTCCCAGCTGGACGTGTTCAGCACCACAATCTCCTTGTCCAAAGCATAAGCCAACTGTTCGCCGCGCAGAGGTTCAAAGCTGGGCGTTCCATACAAGATGGCACTCTCAAAGCTATTGACGTGAGGCAGGCCTTCAATATTCTTCAATTCTACACCGCTTTCAACGTTCCATACCTTAAGGCAGCCGTCGCCGCCGACAGATGCCAACATTTGGCGCTCGGGATACAAATCCAGGGCCAGCACAGGTCCAGTATGCCCCTGAAGAATAACTTCCTCGCCCGTGTTTTCCCCGCGTATCACTTTAATGGTCGTATCCTCACTGCCTGCAGCCGTGTATTCACCACAAACGCGTAGACATGTGGCCGGAGCAGTAAAACGTATCAAAATACCATCATTTTCCATGTCAGGAAAGGTGTATGCCTGGACTGTATTGCGATCAGTGGATGCCAGCACCCGAGAGCCCGTGTAGGCAATGCACATGACAAACTCGCCCAGGCAATTCGAGCTAGGATCATCGTCACAAACATCAGTCCAACGGCGAATGTCGCCGTCAGAGCCGCAAGTTATGATGTACTCGCCCTTGGGCGTGTACAAAAGATTTGTGTATCCATTGGTGTGGGCATACCGCAACGAGCTACGTAAAAAGCTCATTTTCCCGTTTATGGAGAGTACAATCTATAGTTTCAACAATTATCTCTTTCAGCCGTGGTCTTTGCTTCTTTCCTTTCGCGTCAAAATACGGTTAGTGCTGGACAATCATGGGCTGCAGTCCAACAGTGCTATACAACGTCACAACAATATCAAAATATTTATGTAAAACAGCTGTTCAGCTGCTTATTTGGGTAGAGCATATGTAATAGAAACATTTTGTAATATGTTAAAAACTTATAGTAAATGGGCTATTAACAAATGCCGCACCTATGTAACGCGACCATCGCACATGAACATCTTCGACAGAAACGCTAAACGTTTACAAAAGGAACGCGCTGCTCTTAGGTAAAATGCTTGTGATTTTCTTAAATGTGAATTTATAGTTTGTGTTCCTATGTTTCAGTCCAGATGTTGAACTGTATGACTATTTAAAGGACGAGGTGGGCTTTCGGTTGGCCGACCGCGTTTTTGACATTAAAAGAGAGTTCAAGACAGCTGCCAACATTGGTTGTCATCGTGGCTATATCTCCAAGCACATATTAGCCGAGTGCGTGCAGCACCTAACGTTGACCGATTCGAGCGCAAGCATGTTGGAGCAAGCTCAGGGCACACCAGGCCTACAAATGCGGAAAGTTGTGTTGGATGAGGAAGAGCTGGATGTGGGTAAACAAAACAGATGTTTTATGGGAATCACCAACTCTTAAGGCATACTCCTTTATAGTTTGAAGACAATTCACTGGACCTAGTTATCTCAAGCTTAAGCCTACACTGGGTCAACGATTTGCCAGGTTGCTTTGCCAAGATTAAACAAAGTTTAAAGCCGGACGGTGTTTTTATTGCCTCACTTTTTGGGGGAGATACTTTGTTCGAGCTGCGATCTTCACTACAGCTTGCGGAGTTGGAACGTAAAGGCGGCATTGCGCCCCATGTATCACCATTCACACAAATACGCGACATTGGCTCGCTGTTAAACCGCGCTGGGTTCACTATGCTGACTATTGATACAGATGAGATGGTCATTGGCTATCCGAGCATGTTCGAGCTGCTGTGGGATCTCAAGGGCATGGCTGAGAACAACGCGGCCTTTAACAGGCCAGCACACATAAGTCGCGAAACTTTGCTGGCTGCGAGCGCCATTTATCAGGAACTATATGCTAAACCAAATGAAAAGGGTGTACCAGCCACATTTCAAATAATCTACTTTGTGGGCTGGAAGCCGGGACCAAATCAACCTCAACCATTGGAGCGTGGGACCGGCGAAGTGTCACTAAAGGATTTGGGAAAGGTTATTGAGGGTGTTGGCAAAGTAAAAACAGAAAATTAAGGAACCATGATTCCATATATCAACATGAGGGCTTTAGCTTAACTTGCAATTTCTGTTTTTATTTAACTTATTTATAAAATAGAATCTTCATTTGAAAGAGACAAAAATTAAAGTCATTAAAAAAAATGGTGTTTGAAAAATTGGACATTTCTTGGGTCGACTTCTAATTTCAACTTTGGTAAAAACAATTTTCCATTTCACGCACGAGACAAAGTAAATGATTAATTTCACTTAAGCCTAACAAACTAATTTTGTAGGTGTAGTTGCATATGTCTGTCAGTAAGTATACGTATTTATATTTAGTTTTTATGTTTAATTTCTTATTAATAACGTTTTTACTTCTCGTTTACAATTCTTGGACGTAATTTTTTAACGTTGCTTTGTATTTTCCTCCATACGTATATACAAGAACAATTTACAACAATTTTTATACATAAATATAAATATTTGTAATTTTATATGCGTTTAATTGTTTATAACTATATAGGGTTTGTTTGTATTAAATACATGTTGCTCTTGCTTCAATATTGTTCATCTGTAACTTTATTTGCGTTTATTTGTATGCTATATTTAGAGTTCGATTGCTTTTTCAAATGGTTCCACATTCATGTATTTTCATGTGCAAAAATTAGGGCTGAAATTCAACTGCAGACAAAATCCATCAGCCGCACCAGTAACAAATTGCAACTAATCGAAAGAATGCGTACATCGATGTCAATGATTCGGTTGGGACTCTATGCTCTTTTTATTAGAATTAGCACTGGCATATAAGTAATCTGTAGTTAGTTTCTCTCAAATAATAGTAAATTAATGCTGCTAAATATTGATGGGAATTACTGATTAAAATTTTTTTAAATATATAGGTTCAAAGTTTAGTCCCGCAGGTTTTCAATGTTTTTCAGCGAAGGAAATGTTGAAGCAATCGTTTCAAATATTATGTTTAATCAAAATATAATTTGGTGACTCCGTATTGAAATAAACTTAAAATTTGTTTTGGCATGACGAAATTAATGGCAAGTTTAAGCTTAAAAATTGTGGCATTTTTGTTTTCGTCTTCAGAAAGTAGAGGCAAGAAAAGCAAGAAAAAGTGAAAATTTAAACTAAGTACATGTGCAGAAATATTAATTATCCGCATTGGTAACGGCAACAATTGGCATGGGTTTGGTTGCTATTGTCGCCGCTTTTGACAATCATCCAAGCGCCAACGGGGAGCGCGGGGGTACCGGGGGCGGTGTTGCAGATGTGGCTTGTGCTGTGGTAGCTGTGGTTGCTGCCGCTGCCAAAGGCGGCGGCAATTGACGTCAAGTGCCGAGCAACAGCTCGCGTTGTGGCGTGTTCTGCAGCATGTTAGCAGTTTTCAGGTGTATGCTGGAAGTAATCACAATTATTGGCAAAAATGAATCAATTTTATATTATATAGACTCACTTATTGTCCTCCAGCGACATCGTCTCCGATGATCCGTGCGAGGCAACTGAAGTACCTGCAAGCGAACTTCGTATTGAGTGCGAATCCTCGGGTACAGTAAGCGTAACTAATTTGTTTTATTTTATGTTTAAAATTGTTTAATTTATTCATTTTTGGTATGTCCACCAATAAAGGCATTTACAAATACGCCGATCCAATGCGATACCATATAATAACGTAGCCAATATTGCAAAAATCGATTTTTGTTTTTAATTTGCAGAAAAATAAACAGAATTTTATTTTGGAATTTTGTTTAAATTATAGAATTTTTGTTAAATGTAATTTTGTATGGCGGTATTAGTATTTAATTGTTTTTGTGTGCGTGTGTGTTTGTGAGGTGCAAATATAATGTATAATAATATTAATTTTACTATATTCTGAAAGAATTGTTTTATTTATTTTCAATCAATTTTTAGTTTTAAGATTTAAACTCGATTGGCATGCAATTTTTGTTGCTTTCCTATAACTTGGCCTTAAACTACAAAACAAACATACAAAAATGGTTCAGTACAAATTATAATGGTTTATTGTTTGCACAGACATACGAGTACATACAATTTAATTAATTAGCCTTACTTCAAATTTAATTTGGCTTCAACATTACTAAGTGTTTCAGTTCGAAATAAAAGCAAATTATAAATGCAAAGAGACAGCAACTTAAACTAACAGAATACATACAAAGTAGCATATACTTAGCAAAGTTGTACGAGGAGTGTATGGTAGGTAGTAAGATATATACGTACTATATATAGCTATGCATTATCTGTTTATAAATAAATTTCAGGCAAACAGCAAGGCCTTACCCAGCTGTTCAGTTACAAATATGGAAAAATTGGGTAGCGCTTGAAGTTGGTTTGTAGTACTATCTATAATCGACGTAGTATATAATGGGGAATATTGGCTTAGGAATTATCAGTTTAGACATGAAATACATATTTTGGCATATAAAAATGGAAAGTACATGAGAGTGCACGTAAATACATAATATCAATTTACTGAGATAAAGTTCAAGGTAGTTAAAAACAAAATAAATAAATTACACAAATCGCAATTTTGGCTAGAAAAACATTTCGGAACACGCTCTATTGGAGCACTTCAAGTTAATTTGGCCAACTTAGTCTAAACAAAAAAGCGATTCAAATCGGTTTCCATATTGAATATTAATAAGGTACAATTTTGCTTAGAAACATAATTCATTATAATGTTAACATTAATGTAACAATTAATTCAGCTAACCTACTCCAGAGTTTGCATCCTTTTATACCTCTTTTAAGCCAATGTTTGGTTATGTTTGACAAAAATAAAAATAATTGTTTTTTCATTCAGCTACTAACATAAGCGCATAGTTTATATGTGCAAACCTTTTAATTGTACATTTGTGTGTTAGTTATTTTTCTTTTGCTACAAAATGAAAATCAGAAAAAAACGAATCTTTTTCTGTACAAAAAGGTATACATGTTTTCGGCATAAATGAAAAATCAGGATCGAAATGATTGATTTTGCCTAACAATACCAAATACAAAAACAAATTTTAAAGCCGAGTATTCTCCTCGCTAAGTGCATCTTCATCATCGTCGTTATTAGCATGGTTGTTAGGTTGTTTGCCCGTGACATCGGAACTGCAGTTCTGCACAATCCTTATGATGTGCGTATTGTTTTCGTGCTGCAATTGCAGCTTCTGACTCTGGAGCGCTTCGAGCGCTACATCCAGTCGATTTCGACTGTCACTATCGCCTCCAAAGGAATGACGCATAAGGCCATTCTGCAGGCTGTGTTCGTTGTAGATGGCGAATGAGGGTGGCTGAGACTGCTGAGAAAGCTGTGACTGCTGCTGCTGATAGTTGAGATTATGGACGCTTTGGCTGCGGCTGCGGCTTGTCTGGTTATTTATATCAAAATTTGTCACAACAAAACCATTGCTATATAGCGAATAGCTGCTTATGGCCGGCGATGTGGCTAAGCTAGTGATACTCTGATAAGTTTTCATTGAATATGCATCACCTACAAACAATAAGATGACAAGGTAAGTGGCATTCTTATATAAGTTAGAATTGAGAAACCAAATGCCGTTCTCTGCAGGAAGTTTAAGCAGTTGTTTTTGCTGGGCACATAACACAGCGCACACGATGTTATATGGTCGCAGTTAGACAATATGAATTAAAGGAGCACATATTACAAATGGTGTTCATGAGTTGAATGGTATTCGGCGCACGCCACATATTCACATTTGTATATAGTATGGTGTATACACATTGGTTTTAATAAGCATGACATAAGTTTATTTACCTAAATATTTGTTAAGCCGCCTCGTACCAAATGTCATTACTAATCCATAGAGGGTTTGAACTTTCTGGCACCGTTTTAAAATTTAAAAGACTATGCAACTATTTGAGACCCAGTTTAACCTTTTGTAAATAATGATCATTTTAAGAATATGATAACAAAATAAAAACCAAAAATATATATTAAAGATGTATGGGCAAAATGGGCAATTACAATAACATTACCATTTTTCTTTAAAGTTTATGCCTCACGAAATATATATTTAAAGCAATATATTAATTACACTGGTGCTGCATAATATCAAAGATATTGCTATAAAGCTGCTTTATTTTAGTAAGATCAGGTGAGTTTTAGTTCCTTAAATATCTGCACCTCATTACCTGCACCCGCATCATTCAAATGCCTACAACTATTTGAACCATATAGCCGACCAAGGGAGCCAAATAACAATATTTTATGCTCTTTATGTATACAAAATTTAAAAAGTGCCAAGGAAATAAATACTGCATATCAAGACACATGCAACAATTAGCGGTTAAAGTTCAATTAGGCCGTAATTAAAAATCCAAGGAAAAACAAACAAGGGGCACTTTAAAGTTTAAACAAAGCGACAAATGGACAAAAGGTCAAACAAAACATCATACAAGAGCATATATGTATGTAGTTTGTAAGTGTACGTGTGTGTGTTGTATTGAATACAGAAGGCTGGTCTTGACGTCGTCATCATCGCTTGCCTGATATCAACATCAATCGATGAACAATAAAACAACAGCAGCAGAACATGAGCAGCATCACAAACTTGCTCTTCAACTAAAAACAATAGCTGGATGGCTTGCTCGTACATACAGAACATATTCACAGTGTACGTACGTACATATGCTTTTCTTTAAGTATGTAAAAACCATGGGCCACAACTTATACAACAAAATTTAATACATTAAAACATATATACATACATATATATATACAATTGATATATAAGGATACATTAAAGTAACTTTGTACATAAACATTTTAGCTTGACTTAAAGCTTTTCCAAAAAATTGTTTGCACAAAATAATAATAAATTTCAATAACAAATCGCACCAATACACTAGAATTTAGATAACTTTGTGCTATTGACTGAATACATTGTAAATATTGAAATTTTCGAACTTGCACCGCACAATTGGGGGGAAGAATTTATGTAATACATTAATTAATGTCGTAAGGATGCTAATAAAAAAGTTATATAGTGTTTGTTAGATTAGTTATAATATTTTAGTACCGTACGCAATAGCAAGCATTAGATGTGATAAGTGAATGTTTTTTATAAATATTTGGAAAGTGTGTGCCAATAAAAAGAACACAAAAGCGACTGAAAGGTGAGCATATGTGTTGTGAAAACTATATAAACTTACCCGTAGCACACTCTGAAGTCTCATAGGACACAGTTGATTGTACTTCAATTGCGTTTTGTTCTTGTCTGTGGATTCAAATATAAAAAATGAACAAGAAATGCATAAATGTTTGTAGTGAGAAAACACCCACCTTGATATCACATCTGTTATGACTTGCTTTTCCGTATCGGTATAATCATTGCGTCTGCGTCCAATTTTCTTCTCCAAATCCGCCTCCACAAAATGTCCCAGCGTACGCGTTGGAAATTCGTTGACCTTAGCCGGTGGCGGTGCATCCAGTTTCAAATCTTTCAGCTTCTTCATTACACGTTCCAGTGCTTGTATAGCATCATCGTCGTTGTAACCGAAATTTTTATGCAATTTCACTTGCAAATATTCAATAATAGCGTCCATATCTTTCAGACGCAGCAATTCATCTTTGTGCAAATACAAAATGGTCACCGCCATGGCCACAATAACGCGATCACCGTCCAATAAAAATATGTCCCACACACGTAAACTTAAGCTGAAAGGCACCTGCGAGTATGTATGTGTTTATAATACAATTGGCATTAAGTTAGATTGATTATAGATATCTATATATAAGACTGAGTTCTACATACGCGTTCGACGAAGACCACAAAAAACCATTTAATGGCATAGAGTAGCGCATCCACATTATGTTTGATGAAATGCTTGTGCAGTTTACGCATAATCTTCGACAATATGCGATCGTGATGATCAATGAAACGCGTCAGTTTAGGAAAACCCTCGATGAAGAGCCCATGCATTCCGTACTTCTTGTCTGTGATCAGCGTATTAAGCGCCCAAAAGGCCTCCTCCTCCTGCATATAGAGTAACAGCACACCCGCCACACAAGCCATACCCTGACAGTATCCCAGTTCCGAATTGAAAATGCTGTAGGCATTGAGCACATTGAAGAGCGAGCACTGCTTGACACTATAGCGCTCTCGATAAGCTAGATTATCACGGAACTGGCGGTTAACATCTGCATCTATTTGACGCGTCTCCGTCGAGTACTTTTTGGCGAGTAATAACATACGGCTGTAAACACCCTCATTCTGAGCCATAGATTCTTCGACATGCAGTAACCTTTTCCAAGCAGGCCAACGTATTCGATCAGGTATACCTTTATATACGCGCTTATGCAATTTTTCCGGATGCGGTGGCCAGTGAGCAATCATTTTCATCCACTTTTTATCGCGCTCCAATTCGATTTTGGTGCGTTGCACTTCCTGTGAATCGCGCGTGGATGGTAGGCGGGAGTCGTGCATGAAGCCATATCTGTGGAATGCACAGGGATATGCATAAATGTATGATACAATAATAAATTTTAACAGGCACGCTTTCGTGCTGTCATATTTATTTTTTAATTATTCAAGATACCCGTTTTTAGGTGGCAGCAGAAGTCGGTGATTTTAATTCTTGGCTTTAGCACCCAGATATGATATCCATATATAAAATATTTCTATTTACATCTTTATTTGGGTAACACTTACTTGTCTGTTATGTGATAGATTTCGAATGTGGGATTTTCCCACGAGTCCACTACATTGCTGGGATCCAGGCCCAGTTCGTAGCGCTTGAAAATGTCCTCGCGTTCATCGTCGGCGCGTTTGACAAGTGCATGCTGCTGTTCATCATCGTGGGCAGCGGCTGTCATTGTGGGCGTGTTGGACCGCCAGGTTTTGTGAAAGGGTTGCAAATTTAATTATGCTTTTTGTACAGATGTTCTATGCTGAATGTTTTTTTATTATTATAATTTTTCGTTAAGTGCTTGTTTGGCAAGAATGTTAAGTGGGAGGAGCGGCTGCTTGGCTCGCTCGGCGATAGCGCGAAACTGTTGATAACAAGAAAATAACAGTAATAACATCAACATTATTTACATATGTATCAAAATACAATAGCCCATACACAGTCATACACATACATACATATGTATATGTGTACATACATACATACATATGTATGAATAAATATGTTCGCATACCAGTTAAAGGCGAGACAAAAGTCTATTTCTATATAAGCTTAAAATGCACGTTTAAGATTTCACTGCACAATAAGATGGTAACATTTGTGCGTCAAGCTATTTAAATAAAAAAAATGTCATATAAGAAAGGAATAAGCATTTTTAGCTCAATTAGTTTGAATTTGTATTCGTTTGTAAGCACTTGTTTATTTGTTTGTGTGTGTACTGTGTGCTTCTTGCTAAATATGCAGCAACAACAAATAACGGGCCAGACACAAGCGTCGCCGAAATGACGTGATATCAATAATATTTAAAGTGTGTAGCGTCCAGAGTTCAGCATCACAACGCAAAAACGCCCCCACTTTTTTGTCCACGACCGTGGCCGAGCTATTATTTTTGTTGCTAATCGTTCAATTTGTGACACATCCACATCTGTGACGTTTTCGTGGCACTGCAATGCGATGTTTGTTTTATTATTTATTGTATAGTGTATTGCTCTTCAGTTTATCATGTTGCATACACAGACACACACCACTTCCTGCTTGCTGCGATTTGTTGTATTTTTGTCAACATACACACACAGACAGATATATATATTCAAGTATATATGGTATATATAATACATATCCCAAAAGACGTGCGTTTTGTTCTTGTTAGCTTTCACTGTGACAATAATTTCATCTTTGCTTATACACTGTGCACAAACACATTCCATGTTAGGTATTTTATGTACCATTGAATTTTGTTGTAATTTATTTACAAATACGGCACGAAATGCATTTGAGAATGACTTTATTCAATATTTTTCACTACTCAGCTGGCAAATTTCGTGTTGAGAGCGAAGCTGATTTACTTTCTGTGCGTCCATTTGCGTTCCGGCAGCACTAAATGGCGGTGCCAGTTCGTCGTATTCTCCTAAGCGACTCTAATCGCTATCGATAACATTCAATGCATTTTCTTAGTAATCGAATGACCGTAACCGACTTACACTCGCCTTCAGCAGTTTTGAACGAATATTATTTGTGGCATTTCATCGGCCTGGCAACTCAAGCAAAATTAGGTGATTCTGCTTTTTCACGAAACCAGCCACGGATTTAATTGTGCTACAATAAAATTTACCAAGAGTGCACAAATACGCCTGAGATTTTTCAACAAATTGCTTGTTTCAACGCTAAACAGTGTGGCGCACTGCTCAGCACAGGAAATACAATGCGTGTATAACAATTCCATTGAATAAAACGCAACTAAAACCCTGCTAAGTGCGTAGCAAATTACATTTCGACTACACTCGTCGCGAGAAAGGCAGCAGCCGCAGCGAGCAAGCAGAAGACAATGTAGCTGTGTAGTTTTCGTGCAATTAACAAGTATTTTCGTTAGGCATTCTTGCACCTTTTCAACTTAAAGTAAGTGTGTTTATTAGCTTACACAGTATATGTATGTTTATTTAAATAGGTACATTTTCAAAGGGTTACTTTAGATATTCTACTACGATATATGTACCTGCAAGCATACATACATATCGTTCTATGTTTGTTGCTGCGCTGATATAAACGCAAATGCAAGTTCTAAAGCAGTTTCTAAAATACTTTTTTATGGTAGTATTCTTGTGTATTGCTAATACAATTCTAAAAAGTCTTGTTATTATTCTAATTCGCAGAACGACTAAGGATAAGACAAAAGGTTATATTGTTTGGACGAGCACAGGTCATTGCAATTGATATTTGTACTTGTGTGTGTGCGTGAGAGAGAACGGACCAATCAACAACAATGGTTTCAACGCGCCAAATGTGTGGCAGTGCAGGTGCGGCAGGATCTAACGATGCTGTTGCTGCTGCTTCCTCTTCAAGCGCCGGCGGCAGCTCTAACGCAATTGCTGCCCCATCGCAATCCCAGGAGGAATTAGCCATGCCCACGCGCACTTCCGTAGTACGGCGTACTACGCATTACAATCAACAACAACAGCAGTCTTTACTCTCAAATACGCCCGTTAGCCTGGCCTTCTCAGCTAGCGTGGTAACACGCCATCATTTGTATAATAGAGAACAAGCCAATTGCAATCAAGCTGCTCCTGCTGAATCTACTTTTAGGCTCATGGACTTGCCGCCAGAAATTATCATCAAAATATTTTCAAATTTGGAGTATAAGAAAATAAGCAACATGAGATTGGTAAGTTATCATAACACCAACCCCCTCCTCCGTGTAGCACCGATGCACGTCTGCCCATTGGGCGCTCGGTTATTAAATCAATAAAAACCAATTTTGTGAGGCAAATTCTATAGTATGGGGAAATTTGTAGAGTGTTAGTGGACTGTTGGCTGGTTATTCAACCAACTACCTGAATGCATTTCCCATTTTTGATGTTCTTCTATAGCTATTTTGTTTGCCGTTGCGCTTAAGTTCCAAAGCACAGTTTTCTTTCTTGTTTTTGTCATGCATTTGATTTTACGTTTCCCTGATTGTGTTTGTGTGTGTATACAATGGCGTAGGTAGCAGCAACAGCAACGACGCATACAACATGTTTTGGCATGACAGCTAATGTAACCTGATATAATTTAATGGCAGCCACAACAACAACCATGACAGCAGCCGCAATGAAGCTGTATGAAGCTGCATACGGGTCCATATTCCCCACCTTCATTATCATTATCCCTATATATGTATATATATTTATATATCAATAAGACAACTTTTATTTTAGTAAAATCGACTGAAATTCGAACCAAACGTTGATTTATTTGCCTCTGTTCTCTGCAGGTCTCCCATCGCGTAAACGATATTTGTATGAACATTTTGAACTCGTCCTTCTCCCGTCTGATCAATACTACATATAATCGCTTTCATGCCATCAAAGCGAATATGCCACGCCGCGAGTCGGCGCGTCGCAATCATCCGCTGGCCTGTGAGTGCGACATAATTGAGACATGCTACATGCGCCTCTCGCTACTGCAAATGTCCATGGGCAAACATATCGAGCGCGGCCATTGTTGCTTCTTTCCCGGCGCCGTAAGTAGTCATTTAAAATAAAGAGTTATTGAAGCTAATCCTAGTTTACCGTTTCGTCCGCAGATACTTGACGAAGTACACTCAATTCTAAATTATATTAGTATTACACCACGGCTGCAACGTCCCTATCGGGTCACCGATGAGCTATTTGATCTTTCTACCATGGCCATGGAGTACTTCAAGGATCGCATCGAACCAACGCTCCCGGGGCTGGCGTATTTCAATAAAGGGTTCTATCAATTACCCACAACAAAAATTCGACGTAAGTTTCAAATTTCTAATATTGTCACTAAAATATTTATTACAACAAATTTCACCTTTCGACAGCAACACTTGCCATAAGTTCAGATCTCGCGGATAGCGCTAAAAATTCACCACCTCAGAATCACATGGTCCTGCGCAAGGGTATACGCAAAATCAAACAGGGCATGAAGATCTACAATAATCAGCTGTCAGTGCTCCGCACCGAGCTGCGAACTTGCAAACGCAAGGCAGCCGAACAAAGCAAGCAATTAGCCGAGCAACAGAATCTCCTCGCTGAGCAGCAGAAACAAACGCTCGAGTATGCCAATCGTCTGGACGAGAACGACAAAAAGAATGAGGAAATCGCTCGCAAGTTTTCTACATTATTACAGGTATGTTTGCTCATCCGAAAAAAACGATGGCAATGCATTTTTGAAATCAATGCTAACGCATAAGACTGGGCCCTTGAATCTTGTATAAATTATTTACTTTAGCTTAAACAACTGACGGCTTATTTTAAAATAGATTCAGTCTTCCTTGTAAAAAACTACAACCCAAACCCAAACATATTGGAAATTATTCATAATTGTTATAAATGTCAATCATAAAAGACTCTTACTTTTACTTCGATATAAATTGATCACTCTTATTTGTTTCAGGAGCTCAACAAGTGCAAGACAGAGCTCCAATATTGGCGATCCAAGAGTCCCGCCATACCGTCGGTTTGCACTTCCTGCAATCAGAAGGTGGCGCCTGTGCTGCCCCCAGAGGATTTTCAGGCGCTCATTAACCAGGGCATCGATCCGGAGCACATAATCATAAATGATGACACTGATGCCGAAAGCGATGTAAGCGCCAGCGAGCTGCCATTAGCGCTTGAAAAGGAATTTGTGTTTCCGGACGAATCTACCACGGCCAAGCTGCTGGCGGTTAACACGGCCACCAAGAACCTGAAGCGCAAAATTCAAACGGATACTGAAACTGTTGCAACGTCCAATGCAATGACGCCATCCACTTCGAAAGCTGCAGCGGCCGCCGCCGCTTCCGCATCCACCTCGACCGCTGTAAATGTAACGCAACCAACGGACAGCGGTTACTCAACAAAACTATTTTACGGCAATCATCAGCGCGGCGGCGTTATTGTCAGTCCAGTTTCTATGCTAAAGGCGACGAATAATGTGTTGCCAACGCAAGCACTGGGTTATGGTGTCGAATCGGTGGCATGTAATGAGCAAATAGGTGGCGGTGGCGGCCAAAATGCCGAGCACGACGATTCGAAGAAAGCACGTAGAGTACAAAAGGCCAACAGATGTGTAAATACGCATGGCAAACGCAGTAAATAAGGATTATACATATACAATTTACATATTTTGTAATACTTATTTACACGAGGCAAACACACACGTCCAAATATAGACGTGTGTTCGAGCTTTGATTTTAATTGTAGTGTTAAAAATGAGAAATCAAATTAAATATATCTTATGTGCATTAGGCATTATAAATATCATTATTATTATTATTATTACTATTATTACCTATGTATGTATTGTCATATTACAAACAGTGATTTGTTCTCTCAGTTTTGCAGCAGAGACACCACAAACACAAGGCAGTTACATTAAACAAGCCACAATTACACACACACACGGATATGGTTGCCAGGATGAACATACATACGCGCATACACAAGAAAATATTGGCGATGCGTATAGAAACAAGATAATAATTTAATTTGTCAAAATTTTTATAAGTTCAAATGAAACAAGAATCATTAAAAACGCAATAGCAAGCGTTAGAAACTTGAATTAATCAAGAAATATTTTAAATAAAATTTCAAAGCCTACAAAATTGAAATCGACTCACTTATTTTATTAACCTTTAACCAGCCAATAAGCCAGAGCCCGAACATTTGGCAGCCCATTTGTTTACTGACTGCCTGACAAGGGACTAAAAATAGCTAAAGTTGAGATCTCCTATAACGGATTCCAAAGGCAATCGGAGATTCTTTATTTAGAAATTCAAATCGCTGCTGTTTCATAAATCATTATTTAAATAACAGATAATGGGGAAAAAATTGCTAACATGCACAATGAATAGCGGATTTTCAAAATATATTATTAGTATACTTAGTTCGCTATCAAATCTTTAAAAAAATTGTGTTTTAAATTATATTAAATTTTTTGTATAACTTAAGAAATAATACAATAATACTTGAGTTGAGAAACAATTTTGAGCAAAATCCAGCAGAATTTGATTCCAACTGGCTGGATTATATCTATCATATTGATTCCAATATCCCATGGACGTATGTACGTATGTACATATTTTGATAGATTCAACGCTGATCAAACATAAATTTACTTTAACGAACGATTCATACAAATATTAATCGCCCTGGAAAACTACAAATGGGGAAATTCATTTTTGAAAAAGTTTCGAAAGCCTTAAAGCGATGCTACACTGTATAGCACATAACTAAGAGTATATACAAATGTACATAGATAGATAGATATGTATAAACATAAGCAGACCCATAAGGCACGCGTCCAATTTACGCATGCAATTAGGACTGTTCTAAAGAGATAAATACTGATGTGGCCGCTTCACAGCCAGTCGGCAACGAGATGGCGATGCTTATTTATAATTGCGGCTCCAACTACTCTGCCAGTAGTCATCGCCGGCATTTGGCTGTGAGTACAACTCTCGCGCCTCGTTCCTCGGTCTGCTTTGTTTGGCCGCCCTGACAAAGACGAATCGGACACGTAACTATCCGCTGGCATAAGTAGCCGTGAAAATGCAAGAATTTAGTGAGAAAGTGCAAAGTGCCTATGAGGAGAAGCTGGGCAGGTGCGTACGTAATACATACGAGTACATACCATGTAAATATACACATTCATAAGTATACACATTACAATAAGAAAAGTCCAAAAATAATTACTTAGTGTGTATTCCGCATTATAAGCAGACATTTGGTGGCTAGTATAAATATTGAAGCCGGCGAGACGTTACTGGAGGAGGCACCGCTGCTGGTGGCACCCCACTGGGAATGTGGCCAACTTAAATGTGCCCAATGTCTTCAGGAATCGTACATCATATGCAAGTAAGGGATTTACCTAACCTATGTTTCGTTATGACACTTGTCCCATAAATTTTCATGAAATTAAGCAAAGCTGCCTCCGACCTACATTAAATTAACATATTCATGATCTCTTTTGAAACCAAAAATGAGAATATCATAGAGTTGAATTTTAAAATCTCTATTAAAGCTCAGTTATTATGTAGAACCAAAGGATGCATCTGAGTTTTGAAATTTATTTAAATTTAGTAAATCTTCTTGTTTCTTCCATCTTCTCTTAATATCACGTAGGGCTGCCTATAATGTATTTGCATTTTACACCATTTTCAACGTTTTTATAAATTAAATATACAAAACTTTAAAAGTTTTTCATCCTTGCATTTTCTAGGAGGTGTCAAGTTTATCCCTTGTGCATGGATTGCGACGAACACGACGATTTTGAATGTAAGTTCTTTAGCACTGGCGCAGGTTGTGCTATTAACAAGGATCTACTGGTCAAAAACTATGGGGTTTGTGCACTGCTTAAGCTGCTGCTGCTTCTGGAGAATCCGGAGACTCGTGCCAACTGCCAAACGCTCATAGAGAAGCCCATCAAATTGGAGGACTATCGCCACAACGACGGCGGCATGTGGCAGGAGCACGAAGAGCAACTGGTTAAGCCAATAATGTCCAGCGGCTTGCCAGAGGCAATAAAGTTCCAAGAAGTCACATCGGATCTGATACATGCCTATTGTATACGTATCGATAGCCACGCCTTTGAGGTGACCGCACGCGATGGGGATACGTTAAAGGGTGTTTATATATGCGGTGCCAGTTTGCCTCATCACTGCGTGCCCAATACGGTGTTGGCCCTGGACGAGCAATTCAACATGAAGCTCTACGCCGCCGTACCGCTCAAAGCCGGCGACATTATTTACAACTCGTACACAAATCCATTGATGGGCACCACTCAGCGGCAACATCAGCTACGGCTGAGTCGGCATCAGGAGTGCAGCTGCTCCCGTTGTCTGGATCCCACCGAGCTGGGCACCCACATGAGCAGCATGAAGTGCAGGCAATGTCCTGGTGGCTATGCAATCTGTGATTTGAGCGGCAGTGGCGATTGGGTTTGTGAGGGCTGTGGGGCAGTTCTGCCCGCCGCCGAGGTTCACGAGCTACTGGCTGAAGTAGGTGCCGCCTTGGTAGAAGTACAAGGAGAATTGCCTGTCTTTGAGGCTTTGCTGGCACAATACAAACCTCTACTGCATCCGAATCACTTCCTCTTGCTGGACATCAAACAAAACATAGCAAGTATTTTGCGTGCAGCCATACTGATGAATTCCCTGGCAGAACCTTGCAAGAAGCTGCTGGAGCGACGTGTTCAGTTGTGTGGCGACTTACTGCCAGTCACCCGCGCCGTGGTGCCAGGCATTTCTAAATTGTATGCCATCGCCTTGTTTGAGTTTCTACTGGCCTCTGTAGATCTAAGTGAGATGCAATTCGCCGAAAGCGATGTGACCAAGCAGGAATATGTAGTAAGTGGGACTATATTATACAAATGCATTAAATATTAATACACTTCTTTGCTGTGACAGGCGCAACTAACTCGCTTACGAGCTATTGGTAAAGAGGCATTGGATTTATTGCGTCTTGAGCCGGAAAATTCAGCAGAAGGCTATCTAGTGGAGCGCATTGGCATGGAGCTTGAGCGCATAGAATCGGATTTAATGAAATACGGACGGCTTTAAAAACATATTTATATGTATATAAAAAACAGGAAAAGAAAAACTAAAATTTGAGCAGTAAAAATTGTGGATAAAAATAATATTAAATTCATGTTAAAACAAGGTTTAAATTAAATGCAATATTTTTTTTTCGTTTTAAAATCGCAAATATTTTCTTTCTTGTAATTTAAAAGGCACTTCCGGTTTATTTTCGATACCAGCCGTTAAACTACTTATGGGAAAGTATCGATAGTACACTAAAAACTGTCGATAGCACTCACTAATAATGCCATCCGTATTTTCTCAGCGCGACCGTCGCACTGATTGCTATATTTTGCCAGAGCATTTGCATACATATACGTTTTAAAAGCGGAAACAAAAAATTCGCCGGATAATCTTTGGATCGAATTAAGCCATTAGAGCCTAGACCGATGTAGTTGCTTCGATTGCAAAACATTTACCGGCACACGCTAAAGCGCAGTTATTTGTTTACGAGTTTCTTAATCAGCTGTCGCTTTTAAACAATTCAAGAGTGGACAACGCCAACTGAATCACAGCTACCACAGCTATTACCAACCCCCAAAACACCAAGAGCAACAACGTTAACTGCAAAAGCCAAATTGTTCAGTCGCGCTCTCAGTGCTTTCAATTGCTGTCGCTTGCAACCGACTTCTTAATAAACGTGTAATTGTTAGCTTTGTCAGTCACTCCGAATAAAACAAATCGTGTGGCACAGAATGCAGCTTAAGTGATGAGATCGTCTCTTACAACGATTCCCCCTTGCAACCTATGGCCATGACGTTACAACGCCAAGCCTGTTAATTTTACGCATATCTGGATCTACATTTGTGTTATTATTTAAGAACGCACATAGAATTTCGTTGCATTCCCACAGCAAGCATCTGAATTAAATTTTCTAGCATGGCTTTGGCAAGTGCAGCAGGAGTGCTCCTTAAGCCACAAACGCCGCTCCAGCAATTGCTGGAGGACATCAATTTTCAGCGCACTAAAGAAATGCGCCAGCTTTTAAAAGATGGTATGTATCCCGATGTTATATATATTTAATTTCACGTATTTATATTTCGTGACTCGAAAAATATTTTGTCTTTAAAAATTGTCTATATTTGCACATTATCGATTTGTCGAGGACCAGGCGGTTCCCATTGCCACCACCCTTGTAAACGAGCGTCTTTGTATGTGTATCCGTGTCTGTATCGCTCCACATTCATTTACCCTATGACTGTGAATAATGACGTTGTCCTCTACGTCACCGCTTACTTATATACAAACATACATACATACATATGTACATACATACATACATACATACATATTTCTTGCCTTTTATATGTATGAATGAATGGGGCTTCGTGTATAAGTGTAATTCCGTCTAGACTTGCTGTCCAGACAAAATTATGGCTAAGGGATTTCCCAACAGCTTTTGTAATTCTAAAGCTAAAGAATAATCAAATTAAAAAGAAAATAAAATCCTCATTGTTTTGTGAATTACAAATTACAAATATTTTGTTCAATAACTTCAACTTAAATTGAAGCTTCAAGATACGTACGTATACTATATACTTGTACATACTTGTTTTACTATTAATAACTAGAAGGTGGTTTTTTTGAAGGGACTTATATTTTCGAATTAGTCATGGCCACCAGAATAATATGTTAACTTAAACAATACTTGCTATTACAGATGGCGGCTTTGTAGTTCTACAGGGTACTACCTATTGGACAGATCTCTTTGTGCGTCACTTCCTATTTCAAACAGAGCCGGTACACAGCATAGACTCTGATGACTTGCTGTTTTTCGTTCGCAAGAAACATGTGAAAAGCTCTTCTCGACATATGCCAAAATATGAGGTGAGTAAGCCACATTATTGTACGCGCTGGCACCGTCCCTCAATCTGTTTGCACTCCATTTTCAGACTGAAGTTGAAGTATTTCGCAAAGATTCACGCAAACTACCTATTGGCGATCCCGATGTTGATTGGGAGGAGACAGTCTACCTAAATATGGTCATACATCAGTTTGATTACACTCTGACGCTGGCCATTTGCACACGAACTTCGCCCAAGGAGTTGCAGGTGCTGCGCCGGCATTCGCAGCGCGTCTACGCCAGCCCAAGTCGTCGAAAAATGGACTCCAAGGGCGAGGGTGAAGAGATAACATACCCGCACATATGTTTCATGGTCGATAACTTCGATGAGGTGCGATGGTTGTAAGGAAACAAATTAAATTAGTCACTAAATTTGTAATTTTTGATTAGGTATTCAGCGACATTTTGGTTCGTGATGGCGAGATGGTGTGTGTTGAACTCGTGGCAAATGACAAGGACGGCGCTGTCCAGGGTGTGATCTTTCTAGGCTCAATACGTTACGATGCTTTGAAGAAAGTTTACGATGCTAGAGTAAGTTTAATAAACAATTAAATTGTATTATTTGTAATTAATGCAATTCCTGACATTGTAGCAATCTAGTCTCAGCTCAAAAGTGGCGCAGCGCATGTCATTTGGTCTGTTCAGCAGCGGCGCTGGCGTCCAAACCCGTTGCGAATTTGTCCGCATGAAGGGACCTCAGGGTAAGGGCCATGCTGAAATGGCCGTGACAAAACCTAAAGGCTCCGGTGTGGAGACACCTACTAGTGAGCCTGGCTTTTGTGCGACCGACATGTGGGATGAATGGGAGGAGGAAAACGATGATTATTGTACTTACCGCCATCAGCGCCGACTCAGCGATCCTAGTGCCAATCTCAACAATTTTTCTCGGTATGGCTGGCGTACAAAAAATGCACAGGACGTTGTTGGCGGCGGAAGCAGCGCAGGCGCTAAGGCTCGTTCGGAGAACGAGGGCCTTGATTCGCTAGCCAGCGAAGTTTCCGAAATAGAGGCGGGTGATCTCAGGGATGGTAAGCAAAGTAGTTTTAACATCTATGCACATATATTTAAATTTTCTGCTTTTGTACGCATTGCTGAGTTATCGTATCTATTGAATAACTCAGCTATTTTGTTTGCATGCATTCATATTTCAAATATAAATACGTTTTATTTATAATAGTTAATAATTTGTAGTTTTCTAATTTGTGCTTTCTATTTGCCTGTTGTGCTAACCTTACATATTTTATATTGATTTATGATTGAGTAATTGTTGTGATTCCTTCCATTTTCTTTTTTCATAAAGACCTTGAATTCAAATTTACACATTTATATATATTTTAAATACTAAACAAATATATATAAATATATAACTTTGCCGAGAAAGCAGGACAATACACCAAACTAAATTTCGTTCTTACTTTGCTTTTTAGTTATTTATTGTAATTAAGTCCCGAAATCATTCTTCAACAAAGGATAAATAAATTCATTAATGCATTTCCAGTTCCCAAGTAAAATAGGCCTTATTGCAGCTTATATAAAGAAAAATTCCACAGAAACTGATTTCACTTACAAGTCCGAACAGATCAGCCTATTTATCTATGTATTTCTTGTTGAACCTGTTTCGTACATTACATTTCCGATCATATCATAACAATCTTCAGCATATGTGTCATCTTGACAAGATGTAAAATCTTCAATAAGTATGATATGTATTATAAAACTTTGGATCATTACACTTGAAAATTAAGTGTAAGTTTAAGTCAATCTTACGAAGAAATTTAAGAGTTATGTTTACCATAGATTGCGTCTCTCCATATTATAAATGATATTTGTGTGTAGTAATAGCAGACTTGTATGCTTATTGATGATTGTAGGTGCACACAATTCCCCTTCCTCTCATATATGTATATTTTTGACATTCGTTTCACTTCATATGTATTATTATTATTATTATTATTATTATTTGCCAATTATATTAAGTTGCTTGGCCATTTGGTTCGAGTATGTGTTGTGTGGTATATGCTTTTAAACGCAAACCGATCTATATTTACTTGTAGATCAACAACGTCCTGCTTTCTCGGCCTCCACGGCAAAACTGCACCCAAATCCAAATTGTGAATCGCTCAAACAAGGCGCACAAGATCAGGCTCAAGGCGGCTGTGCCGGCACAGAATCGACTGCACCTTTAAGCGCAACCGCCGAAGTTTCGGCCAATGAAGTGGCCACTGGCAAGAACGTCAGCGAAGGCAGCACAGGCTGTGGCAATTGTTTCGGGGGCAAGAAATGTAAACGTTGGGTTTCAGCGGTCAGCGCTGACACTCCCGAAATGTCCGAGGTATATTGCCCAAGTTGTGAGGATGCTGCCAACGAGACACCGGCCTGCCTTAACAAAATGCCCGATAAGCAAGCTAAGACGAAGGCCAAGACCATACTCAGTGTAGAGAGTGAGTTGGTGGTCAGTAAGCGCGGAAGCTTGCGTTTTAGTGACAGCAAAAAGAAGAGCGGGAACATTACGAGAAGCGCCTCGTTGAGTGCCGCAGATCGGAGAGCTAATGGAGCGGCAGCTGCAGCAGCGGCAAAAAAAGCGCCGATCTACCGAACGCGCCCAGGGCCGGTCAATGAAAAAATGCGCAAAGAGAAGGAAAAAGTGTTGGACAGAGATAAGGATAAGGAGAATGATAAAAGAAGTTCGAATCAGAAGTCTACAACAACCAGTAGTCTGTTGGCAAGGGTGTCGCCAAAGCGTCTGCGAGGCGGTAAACATGTCTCCACAGACAAAGAAAAGGATAGAGATAATTCAAAGGCGGCAGTCAAACTAAAGGGCAACTCGGGTAGCACCACCACCACAAAAAACAACAACAACGAAAAGGCAAGGAGTGCCGCTAAGGGGTTAGCACCCGTAGCCAAACAAGAAGAATATGAAATTGCCGACGATGCGACCTCACTAAATGGCAGTGAAGCGGACGGTGGCGTTGGAGATGGCATTAATGCCAAAATTGCTATACTCAGTGAGAGTGAGTGTAAGCTAATGATCAGCGTACGTGGACGCGAAGAGTTGCCCGTCGTGGAGCAACATACAGTTACGCCAACGCCGCCGTCGGCCCTACGTTTTGAAAAGTGTTTACTTGTACCTGTGAAATCAGAAAGCCATCCATTACAGTTAGAAATTGGAGACCCGACACCGTCTCAGTCACCGTCATCGTTGCCAGCTGACAACGCAGCGAACGATAATGAACCCGATGAGGAGGCTGCTGCGGCGCCATCAGAGCTAACGCCCATGTTGCTAAATGATGAGCAGAACGATGCTAATGGCAATCATAATCATCATCAGGCAGATGATGGCAGTTCAACATTGCCACGTACCACCTCCAAACGCAACAATGCCGCCTCCCAGCAGTCGTTTTTGAACAAGGCAATGCATCTGGTGCCTAAGCGACGTACGCCAGATGGCACAAACATATATTATTGGTGTGATCTTCCCAAGAAAGCGCTCAAAGGTTGTTGCATTAGCCCAGTCCTAAGCATTTATTATCTATCATCCACATATTTCCCTCTATATCTTCATATATTAATTTCTACGAACACTTATTTAGTAATTTGCTTACTTTTTGCTTTCAGAACTCGATGATGGCGCCTATAATCCACTCTGGACAAGTCGTGGTTTTACACAATCTTTTCATTTCTGGAAGGAGAATCGTCGCCAACAATCCACACCGCTCAACGCATTCCTGACCTATGTCACACTGCCCTGGTGGAGTATTGCGAAAGGTTTGCTAAATATAAAATAACAACATAGATAAACGGTGTAACTATTTTTATTGCAGACCTCTTGGACCATCGGGAAACGCCAATTTTGACATTTTAGTACTGAATCCCATGTGCAAACTTTATGATTTAATCATTTATTTGTATTCCTTTTATGATTGTGATTTGCTTTGATGCTTTTTTGTATTGGTGTATTATTATTTAAATATTAATCAAATGCTAACCGTGTGATCAGTTCCAAAAGTATCTCATGTATAGCTCTTGTCAGTGTAATTTAATTTTTATTTGTAAATGGTCGTAACTATTATATTACGCCTGTTGTGAATTCAGTTTTTTGTTACACACATTTTTTAATATATTCAAATATAAATAAATCTCTAAACTGTATTATATTTTAAGCAATTGTATCTATGAACGATGTATACATACATTTGTGTTTATTTTCACTGTTATATGTAAAGCTCGATCCTCGCGAGTATGCTAACAATTTCCTACACAAACTAAATAGATTATGAGTATATTAAAGATCTGAGCCAACTAACAAATTTGTATGATGTACTATAGAACCCTAAATACTATAATTTGTATATGAATTTTGAAACATATGGAGTTATAGGTAAACTTAATAAACTGTTATAATCATATGACAATGTATGTATGTAATAATATTTATAATTTGTAAATTATATGCGAAATTTATACTGGATGTATTTAATAGCAAAGGATCTTATCTAACAGACAGTGAGAAAAGCAAAATAATAAATGCTTGCGACAAACAATAAATGTTTTACCTCATTGCGACTGTTGAAAATAGAATATGAAATCGTTTTCTACACAAAATAACAAAATATATTTAAAACGACAGTCCCATTCGAATCTCACAACTAACTTATCAGTGATTTATTTGAACTCGTAGGTCAGCAGCACAGGCAGAAAAATAAGCATATCTATGTATATACCTATACATTCACATGTGTATAAGTACTTCCAGAAGCAACAGCTGCTGAGTTTGATTAGAAATGTAAATCCTGTCCAGCAAGGATTCCTCTTCTTCTAAGTATGTATGGGAATGTATAATTCGAAGTATTAGATGCATTTACTCTGTGCACAAAGTATAATTTTGATCAGCGTACGCATAAACATATGTATGTACAGAGACCGTATGTACTTATACTGTCAAAGTACATATGTATGTACTACAAAAACAGTACATGTGAGGAGCTTGAGCAACGATTCCGTTGCAGACCCAGACTCAGTCTGATTCCGAGCGTTGTTTGAATCGTTTGTCTTTTGTGGTGGCTCTGTCCTATGCCCAGGGGCATCGATAACTGTCAAGTGATAACGCGCGAGCATAGCTGATCTGCATAATATTACAAAAGCGTAATAAAACAATAAAGAACAAGATGAGGCATACATTTCCATTGTTTGCCTGCATCGCCATCGTTGTTGCCAGCGCGTTTACAATTAATACCGCCTCGGCCTGTCCCCGGGCCCCAACACATCTGCCCCATGGACGTCGCACGCGCGGCGATAATGGATACAAATTAATTGTAGCTGAGGGGCCCAACGGTTATGTGCCCGGAAAGACATATAATTGTAAGTCAAGTTGCTGCTGCTCTTGGACACTTCAATCTTCATTGACTTTATAAGAGAAAGGGCAAAACGTATGTACATATGGGGTGTACAGCTTTTGTTTATTAACTTTCAATATTATCAACGCAGTGCACACATAGTTGAATTTATTTTTTTTTTTTTGCATGAACTGCATTTTCTTCAGTTGTCAAAACTGATGCTGAACTTAACTCTGTTTTAATATAATAAGTTGATAACACGTTAGGAAATTGTAATACAGTACAGAAATGGTTTAAGAAACTAAATAACTATAAAAATTCTTCTTGTTTATTTCTATAACTTAAAAGAGGATACCTTTAAAAACGAAAAAGTTTTTGGAACAAAACTCATCATTTGAAGATATTTTTTTGCAAAGAAACATACATATATGTATGTAGATATCTATGGGTCATGCATACATATATATGTATGCACACATAGATTTAGAGCGTAACATACGCCAATATGCTTAACAAATATATTGACACCCAAATCAACTATTTTATTTAGTTGGCACTCTCTAACACTTTGACGCTCTGCGAACCGAGCTGATACTTATCATATAGTATCGCATTTTTATTAAAAAACAAGTAGAGAAGATAAAGTCGGGAGTGCCGACTTCAAATTTGATGTCCCTAGGACTTATGGTCTCCGAGATATAGGCGATTAAACGAACGACCTTACGGAAAAACATAGTAAGGAGGAAGGGAAATCAAAAAAATGAAACGAACCCGTATAGCGTACATACGTAAAGCATCTTTGTGCAAAATTTGGTGTCTCTAGCTCTTATAGTCTCTGAGATCCAGGTGTTCATACGGACGGACAGACATAGATCGATTCGTCTTGTCTTGCTGATCAAGAATAAATACATATATACTTTATGGGGTCTGTCTGTTACATTTTTCACCTCCATCACCCCCAATTATACATTTCATGTACGGAGTATAACCAACTTTAGCCAACAACTTTAAAGTAATTTTGGATTAGAATTCCAAACAGATTTTAAAGATCTTGGTGATCATGTACACAGGCGGACATCAATATTTAATTACTTTAACAAAAATAGAGTGGCACCAATTACTTATTGCTGCGTGGTGTAGTACACTTTTTAGTGTGGTTCATATAATTACCGCATTTTTTAAATGTTTTGGCACAGTTGGAGCATTGTATTGCCCCAATATGTGTTTCACGATGATCGGCATATTTATCGACAGTAACAAAGTGTTTTGGACAGAATTCGCAATAGAAGCGATGACGTACAATAGGCAAAAAAACAAATAACTTAAAGTAATACTCAAAGGAAGCTGATAATTTGGTTTTGTTACATAATTTCTCTTCTGCGCTTTGCGAAAACCACATGTTGATAAGATTGCATATGCGTTTAGTTTCAGCAACGCCAAATGTTGTTCCAAGAGCATCGTTGATTTCTTTCGTAAGGAGAGTTGCCTTTTCCTCTACCAAGGAATTTATGGCAGCGATCGCACCTTTGAAATTCCAAATGATTTCATATTTAGCCATAACTTTGGCAAATTTTTTAGAAATGTCACGCAGTTTATCCTGCTCATCCAATTCCATATTGTCCTCATAGTTTGGCATTGCGATTGTAGCCAGCTGAAAGTTGCCAATCATAAGGTTTATTTACATTAATTACTTCAGTGCTACTTACCCCCACAGCTTTTAATAGATCCATATCATCGGGTAGGCTTGCAATGGGATCCTAAAAAATGAAAGGTTCTTAATAAGCTCTTATGGTAATTATTCTTAGAGAGCAATTTACTTTATCATCTGTAGGTCGTGTTGGGGTCGTTGAGTTTACACACTTTTCGACACTCTTAGAAATTTTAGCTATTCTCCCTGAAGAGCGTCTAACAGTTACTGTCCTTGACGACTTAGGCGTTTTAGGCTGCTCCTGTTTCTGTAATGTGAATTAGTTTTGCGAGACAATGGATGTTATACGTGAATATTACTTACAACTTGGCTTAACAGATCTTCATATGCGGAGACCTCGCTTTTTTGATCCTCGTTAGCGTCAGTTGACTTACACAGACCCTCTGATTTTATTTCCTCGGACTTTAAAACCTGCTAAAATTAAATGTTGGAAGATTGCATTTGAACAACAGAGATAATAATTTAATGCGTAAGAAAAGTTGTCTTACCTGTGGTAAATCAATAACTGTTTCTGATAATGCAGTATCCAATAAGCTTGAGTCAATATTACTTTCAACCTTTATTCTCTTTGTCAAAGTCTCGGCATTACTTGTACTTTGTTTTCGTTTCTGCCTCGGTGTCTTCGTGGCCGTTTTTGGTTTTTCTGAAATCTGTGCACATTCATTTTCTTTATTTCTCTTATCGTATGTTGCAACATTTTTTCTGATTTCTGACTTGGGTATGATGTGCTTTTGGAGAGCGATGGCAGACGTCTGTAATATTGGCCTAGATTTTACATTCTGAATACTTTCTTGGGAAATGTTCTTAGTCTTGACTTCACGTCCAAGCTGATTAGCATCTGACAAACTCTTAATTGCTTTTTCTAAAATATTTTTATGCAACGACTTATCAATTGGTGGTAAAATTTCAACATGGCTTATGTGCACTTTGTTGCGATTTTTTTTTACATCTTCCGTATGCAGTGTTTTAAGTATGCGATTCTTTATTTGATTCATACGCTGTTGCATTTCTCGTTTGCCCGACGACCGTTGAATTGTATGGCTTTTCACATTTCGCCACGAATCAATCTTTGCACCACTTGTTTTATCAATGGATGATATGAGATGTTGGGTATATTTTTCAACTACCCCATTGCTTTGCGAGTTATTTATCTGTGACTTCAGTTTCTCTACAGTGGGAGAATATTGCATGTTATTTAAAAATTTTGATTCATGCGATAATTTATTATTTAAATCGGTTTGAAATGGTAAATGTAATTCTTTAGACATAGTTTTTTCACTAATAACACATTTGGTTTTTACGCGAGATTTCTGTTCCTTTACGTATAAAGCTTGATTTAGATTAGGTTCAATTTGTTTGGCGTTAAGTGGCAGCAGCTCTAAAGTTTCCCGGACAGCTGGTTCGGTTGCCTTGGACTCAATATTCGATGCTATATTTAGTTCAACCGTATTATTTGAAATTTCATTCTGTAGCTGTTCCTCAAAGTTATTGGTGTCTTCAAATAACATGGCTTCTACTTCGGCTAAAATATCTCGTTTGTTTTCACGATCAGCTGTGAGTGTATCGTCGTTTTCAGCAGGCATGCCGGAATCTCCACTGCAGCTACTGTCGGCTTGGGACTGTGCATCCGTGTCCTGAGTGGGAGTTCCTGCCAGGAGTTCCTCTACGCTGTAGACATTGTGTTCCTTTGTAAAATGTAGCACATCGCAGTGAACCGACTGTAAGTGACGCAAAAATTCCGGCAGATTTGTAGCAAACATGTCTCTGCAAAAATGACAAAACAATGCGAAAACATTGTCCTTGGGTGAAACTACTACGTCGCCGCACTTTTCCAAATGTACGCTGTCTTCCCCGGTTAGCATGTCCAGAAAAGTAGGCATTTTACTTTTAAGAAAATCTTTGTGCAATTTCAAGCCGAAATATTTTAAAACAAAGCGCAATAATCGCGGCGTCCACCCTGTAGTGCTGGTAAATTGTAAATTGTTCATTGACATACATACACTTTTGTGTAGAGCCATCAATCGATAAGTATCGAGCACAATTAACGAGTATCGATTGAGTAGTTACCAATCAACTTAAAGAGTCGTTATATATTTGAATCTTCCTACTAAGTAATTTTTAATAGGCGGTTTTTTTACTGCTGTTTGTATCAGTCATTTATTCCAAAATATTCTTTAATATTGGCAGTACTGTTACTTGGTTCACGCACACACACCAAAATCCAGCACTTTACCCACTTCAGCATCGCAGCAGAGGCGCATTCTGGTTCTCGACGCCCACAGGCAGCTAGTCCACGGCGCGTAGGTCGGTTCCAGCTCTTTAGCGACTCCCTCACCAAGTTCAACGATCGTTGCGTGAATACAGTTTCGGAAGCAGATGATTTGCCCAAAACTGAGGTGCAAGTTATGTGGGTGGCGCCTGAGACCGGATCCGGCTGCGTAGCGCTCTCAGCTATGATATACGAGGGCCCACGAGCATGGTTTTCTGACGATGGCCAACTTACCCAAGTGATATGTGAACGTAAGCCTGATGCGGTTGCGGCACAGAAGGAATGCTGTGCCTGTGATGAAGCAAAGTACAGCGTGGGTTGCTTAAATTTATATAAAATCGAATCTATCTAATCACACTCACAGTTTGTTTTTGAAGGTATCTGGTCAAATGAGACGCATCCAAAAGACTATCCTTTTGCAATTTGGCTAACGCATTTCTCTGATGTGATTGGCGCTTCACATGAATCGAACTTTTCGTTTTGGGGAGAGCATCATATAGCTACTGATGGCTTCCGTTCGTTGGCAGAATGGGGATCGCCTGCAGCTCTTGAAACTGAGCTACGTGCGTATGGTCCCAAGTTACGCACACTAATCAAAGCCGCGGGCCTTTGGTATCCCAATGTTAATCAAAACACTTCATCAAAGTTTCGAGTGGACCGCAAGCATCCTAAGGTATCATTAGTCTCCATGTTTGGCCCTTCACCTGACTGGGTGGTAGGAATCAGTGGAGTAGATTTATGCACGGCAGACTGCAGCTGGAAGGACTCGTTAGATTTCGATTTGTATCCCTGGGATGCCGGTACCGATAGTGGAATTACATACATGGTAAACAGCGTTGTTTGTTTTGTGCACATACATATACATATGTATGTATTTTCAAAATACTTTTCTTTAGTCTCCCAATGCTGAGACACAGCCACGTGAGCGTATGTACCGCATTACTACCATGTATCCAGAGGATCCACGTGCGCCTTTCTACGATCCACAGAACCGCGAGATGACCCCATTGGCTAAGCTTCACATACGACGCGAGAAGATTGTATCTCGCAGCTGTGATGACGATTTTCTACAGGCCCTGCAATTAGAGGTTTCTGACGACACTGATGAACAGGACACACGTGGTAAGTGTGTTAACAGGTATATGTATGTATATGTATACATACATATGTATGTATATGTATGTATATCAGGCATGATATAGTAAGGTGAAAAACTTAAAAACACTGAATCGGTTATTAATTTATTTTGCTTACTGCAATCCTGGTACTAGCCGAGTGCCGCGTTAGTGATTACACCGCATGGAGTCCTTGCTCCGTTACTTGTGGCAAGGGAATACGCATGCGTACTCGTTATTATCACAATCCCCAGTCAGCAGAGGTAGCCAACTGCAATCGTCAGCTCGTGTCCAAGGAAATGTGCGTGGCCCCTGTTCCGGAATGTAGCGACACCGCTCAGGAAAAAGATGATGATGAGGGTGAAAATCTGGCTAACGCGCAATCGTTGGTCACCGCTGATGGTGAAGGTGCTGGTATTTGTAAAACATCACCATGGAGCGTGTGGTCCGAGTGCTCCGCCAGCTGTGGTATTGGCATTACAATGCGCACGCGAACCTTTGTGAATCATCTGGGACGGAAACGCTGTCCTCACATTACGATTGTGGAGAAGAATAAGTGCATGCGACCGGAATGTACCTACGAACAGGTGGAATTGCCAGATCCCATCTGCCCCACTACTCAGTGGAGTGACTGGAGTCCTTGCACATCGACCTGTGGTCGCGGGGTAACAATACGCACGCGCTTGTTACTACTGGAGGATGGACCAGAGAAGGAGAACTGCACTAAGCGCATGGAGCTGCACCAGCAGAAGGAGTGTAAAAATCCACAGGACTGTCACATCAATATGGAAATGGCCAAGGATATTTGCGCGCAACGCTACGATGCGGGACCATGTCGAGGAAGCTACATGCGCTATGCCTACAATTCAGCTTCGGGACGCTGTGATTCCTTTAGCTATGGTGGCTGTCGTGGCAACCGCAATAACTTTTTAACTGAAAACGATTGCATGCGCACATGCAGTATGACTAGGATAGGTTTTGGTAAGTATTGCCACATATGTACATAAGTATGTATGCATATATATGTATGTATATACATTTGTCGTTATACAAAGGAAAAAGTTAACGAAATGCTATATTTAACAGAACCAACAGCCACATCGACGGGACCGACTGACAATTCATCTTCGTTGCCTAAAGACTGCGTTATGTCCGAGTGGTCCAACTGGTCAGCGTGCAGTGTAAGCTGTGGTGTTGGGTACTCTGAGGGACATCGGTATGTTATCAGCGAGCCACAAAATGGTGGCCAGCCCTGCCCAAAGCGCACAGTCAAGCATCGTCGTTGTACAATGCCACCCTGCTAACCTTTTTTAAAATTTTATCTATATCTTCAAAATTAAAAAAAAGAAATTATTTCTACAATTGAAATAACTAAAGGGGGAAACAATTTAAGTCGGAACATAGTACGAAGACCTAGACTGTAAGATCTGTAAAGTACATTATCCACTATAACACGAAAGCAAAAATAAATACCAACGACAAATGTTATAACACGCAGATTTATTTGAATATTTTATCTTATTTCTATTGAATAAACATGTATTTATGTTGGTAATAAAATATATTGATATCCTTCATCTTGCATTCAAATACTTTCTCGCATCTTTCATTATTTTTAACAAAGCAAACAACAAAAACAAGTATAGTGTGTATCCAATTATTTCATCTGGTTAACTCATTTAACGCTATAACATAAATGACATTTCCTTAAAGGAACCAATCCTCTCCTTCGTCTGTTGAAAGGTCATCGAATTCATTATCATCATTGAACAATTCTTCATAAATTTCCCTCATGAGTAGCCTGTTAAATCTGTTGTTATAATCATCATCATCATCGTCGGGATCAAAGCCAATGTCGAATAAATAAGGATCATGAACAAATTCTAAATCGTCATCGGAGTCGAGGACGAAACCTGCGCGATGAAACCCTTCAGCATGTATATGAAACATACTGCTAAGACAGTCTTCGACTGTGTAATCGGGCTCAGAAGGTTTAAAACATATGTCTAAAATTTTCTTTGCATCCGAGTACTTAGGTTCCTGTGAATTCATAGATATGGAGTAAACAAAATAACATATAAGTGTGTGGACATTTGATTGCAATTACTCACTTGAAGCAAGAATTCGCTAATTTCGGTCTGATATGCATACAGTTTGATAGGCAGCTGGCGTTGGCTATCCTTGTTCTTGATTTGCAGGCCTACTTTCTCGATTACCTCGTCGACGAGCTTTTTGGTTATTTTCTTGCAACCCTCCACATTTAAAACGCGCAACTCAGGACAGGCAATTATCAGACGCATAATAACGCTGTCACTTGCATTGGAACTGTTCATTATGTTGAGGTGCTGCAGTTTTTTTAGTTGGCTAAATTTCTGTAATTCGTCGGCAATTATTGAGTTAAACGGTAAGATGAGGGTCCGCAATGCTGTTAATTTTGCGATGTTGGCCGCCATATCATTTGTGTTTAAGCTGCGACAGCCACGCATTTCTAAATGCTCGAGCTGGTCCGCTTTGTGCTCAATTAGCTGTGAAAATAACAGGCTTCGGAACTCTGTTACCGTTGGCCAGAAGTGAATAATAAGCTTCTTTAGGCTAGGAAACTTGGCAATAAGATCATATTTGCCCGAGCAGTGGCTCATTGTGAAGTCCTCCAACGCTTTGCAACCAGTCACCATTGATTTAAACGCATTTGTGTTCAATTCTATCTGCCTAACATCTAGACTTTTAAGATGCGGCAGCGCATTGCATAGCCTGGCTAGATGCATGGGTTCAATCCTCTCACAGCCCGAGAGCTTCACAGACTCAATAGAAGCTGGCAAGCAATTTAGATTCGATCCTTTCAGTTCCTCGTTATCGGAAAGATCTAGGACTTTTAAACATTTTAGATTCTTTAACGGTAGTACATTTTTAATGTCGCAGCCGCACATCTTTAAGCTCTCCAAATGGGTAAGTTTTCTAAACATCTTATACAAATTCTCTGTGGTTAGCTCGGTGGAGTACATGTTCAGTACTTTTAAGTTGCGGCAGTGCTGGCTAATTAAGTCCAACATACGTTCGCGATTTTGTTCGGGCATGACGCCCTCAAGCTTCTGCACGTGACTTCCCGACTGAGAAAAGAAGTCGCGCATGTCCCACGCTGTCATACCATCAAAGTTTGAAAAATCCACAGATTTGTGCACTACACAAGACATGGCATTATAGACAGCATTGAAACGCACGCAAGTGCGCGCAAATCGAACCTGGTCGACCAGCGACAAGTATCTGAGCACATATTCCATGCAATAGTCGTTGAGCCTGAAAATCTGCGTTGGTTCCTCACCATTTGAATTAGGCAACACTGCTATTGGTCGACGCTGCATGTTGGGATGATATGCTTGCGGCTGATGCCAGCTATCACTGGCACGGGCAAACAAATTCAGTCCGTTTATATTGTGCCTACGCCGCAATGCTCTGTAAAGACGAACACTGCATTATAAGCTGATCGAGGAAATGCAAATTTCAACTTACTTCGCTGCATCGCGTGCTAGGGCGAAAAGAACAAACCCTGTTTGTGTTTTTGGACCTGGCTTACGGCCAGGTTGTGAAAATGACTGATGCTTACTGAAAATTTGAACACGAATAACGCGCCCGTAGCGTCTGAAATAGTTGAATATCTGGGGCTGTGCCAGCTGCAATAAAAAGGAGGAGTTCAAAACAAAAGCGTTCGACGCCGCCTGGTGTTGTTACCTCTGGAGAAATTTTGTAGAGATAAAGCTGCTGCACCGGAATGTGGTCCTCGGTGTATGCAAGGCCCTTCATAAAGTAGTAATTTTGATTGCCTGCAATTTTGTGTATGTACATGCAATATGTATGTATGTATGTATATAAGTGGTACATAAAAATGCAGTAACGATACGCAATTGTACGTTAACTTACGTGTATTATGTATAAAATGTTCCATTTTTATGATTCTTCACGGTCGTACCGCGCTGTTGATATATGGCAAACGGTATGTAAAATATATATTACGAACGCTTACTGTTAAAGTTTTACACAATGCCATACCAAATTGGTATTACCAAGCGCCAAATTCTGCAATGGCAAGCGATTGCAAAAAAAACACTCGTCTTTAACTATTCATTACTCGATACCGATATGCTTGTAAAAGCTAGGGCTGGGGAAAACGATTTGATTGCTAAACACAGGCTGGCAGCTCGTACGGGTACGTGCTTCAACAATTCGGACTACTTATATTTTGAAAAATTAAAAACCGAAACCGTTATTTGTTGCATTTTAAACCGTGTTATTTGTTGATAAACCATGAGCTTATTACCAAGGGTTTCATATAGTAATTAACATTTAGATCATATCCGTTGGATATTTCAAATAAGTTGAGCTGCTAGCTGATAAGCCCAGTGAGTGAATGAATGCACTGATAAGCTCATTCAACAATTATAGGGGACAAAAACTCACATCAGCTGTTTGGCGCGGGCAGTAACTCTTACCGCTTACAGCGAATAGATTGCATATTTTTCGAAACTGTTGAATTAAAAGGGTTTATAATGCTATTCATCAAAAGATTTCATAGCTCAATTCAACGCATTGCCCACATTGTCAGAGCAAACAAGCCTGGTGATGAGCTTAGTGTACAGGTGAGAAGGTGGCAGAATTTTGAAATCTTTGAAAGTGCATTTTTAATGTCTTACATTCAGGGCTGGATTAAAAACATTCGGCGGTTAAAGAACAATATATTCCTGGACATCAACGATGGCTCCACTTGCAATAGGTTTCAGTTGGTAGTCCCTAGGAACGCCCAAACTCAGAAATTAACTTCTGGCGATGTGGTCAGTGCCATGGGCCAGGTGCAGGTCGCGCCTAATGGCCACTATGAGCTGCATGCCAAAGAAGTTAAGTCAGTGGGTCTGTGTTTAATGTTCGAAATAATCATATTACTCTAAAAGTATGGTTCCACTTCAGCTGCGGGGCATCTTCAGGACGGTTTCCCTTTCTCACCCAAACAAACACATCCGCCGGAATATGTGCGAGAATATTTGCACTTGCGTTCTCGCATTGATTATATTGCGGCGCAAATGCGCCTAAGGCACAGAGCACAAAAGGCCTTCCACGATTATATGGACGAGCATGGATTTGTACAGATAAACACTCCAATTTTGACCACGAACGACTGCGAAGGGGCTGGTGAGGTATGTAGGTGATAACAAAACTTATTTACTGGGCTTTACTATGAATTCGTTTTAGGTGTTTCGTGCTCAGCCCGATTCCGATAACCTTCTTAAGCAGATGGCCCGCCCGAATGTGCCACAAGATCAAAGCTACTTTGATAGCAAGGTGTTTCTGACCGTTTCAGGTCAATTGCATTTGGAGGCCATGTCTTATGGACTGGGAAACACATATACCCTGGCGCCTGCTTTTCGTGCCGAAAATTCCAAATCTCCACTCCACTTGGCTGAGTTTTACATGTTCGAAGCCGAGTTGGTTCACATGGAGAGACTGGATTCGCTTTCAGCGTTCATAGAGCGCATGCTAAAAGAAATAACAAAACAACTGCTTAGCAACAGCGCCGCCGATTTGGAATTTTGTCAGCGTAAAGCTCAAGGCAATGAAGCTAATCTAGAATTGACTTGGCTTAAAGTACCGTGGCAAACACTGACCTATGACGAGGCTCTGACGATAATATTGGCTAACCGCGAACATTTTAAGACTGCCGTGAATGCTGATGAGGGTTTCAGCAAGGAACAGGAACTCTTTCTGGTCGCCCACTGCGGTGCGCCCGTTTTTGTGGTGGACTGGCCCGCTAAACAGAAGCCCTTCTACATGAAGATCTCACGTGAAAATCCGACACAAGTGCATGCCCTAGATCTACTTATGCCAACAGTTGGCGAATTGTGTGGCGGTAGTTTACGTGAAAGTGATGCCCAGCTTCTGAGTCAGCATTCTCAGATACCAAAGCATTTGGCCTGGTATGTAGAGTTGCGAAAGTATGGTGGCGTACCAACCGGAGGTTTTGGCATAGGCTTTGAGCGCTATCTGCAGCTACTAACGGGAGTTAAAAACATTCGTGATGTGATACCCTTTCCGAGATATCCGCATAGCTGTAAAATGTAGACTACTGTTTTTATTGTTTAATTATGCCAGAAATTACGAGGGCTATAATTGTATTGAGCAAGGGCACAGTCCAACACAATCTATTGCAAATTACAGATTAATGAGGATGTAAATACAAGCATGCATTCAACAGAGTTTGATGTGGGAAATTTGTCCATTAGGTGACACCATTATCCATCACATCACAAGCTGTGGGGTAGTTTCATTTTGTATCCCAAGATTAGATTACACATCAGTTTGAAAATCAGAATTACATTTCTTATAGCTGACCCAACATCGGCTTGCGACCTGGCCATGCCTCCTTGGCGTATTTCTTTTTCTGCGGTCCCAGTGCATCATTTTCGCCGCTTGTATTGTGTGCGTCTTCCACAAAGCGTTGCACTGCAAACAGATAACCAATATAATACTATTAAACACAATATATTCTAGTTTATTACCATTAGCGTTGGCTATGGCCAGTTTTTGGGCTATTGATGAACTAGGTATTTCGACTGGCTCATCTACTATAGGTGTAACATCTGGGGCTGGATTCGGCAATAGCAATCCTAATTTTGTGCCGATACTTAGTGGTGAAACGGGCTCAAAGTCTCCTCCGCTAGTCTTAAAACCATGTGCATCATAGGCAGTCGCCGGGAGCCCTTGGTATAAGGAGTTTGTAGGGGAGTGGGCGCTGGCATGTGACTGCTGCTGTTGCTTCATTTCCACAATGCTTTGCTGGAACATTTGGTGGCTGGCTGAGAGAGCGCTCACTGCGTGGCTCGCAACAACTATGCTGTTGCTGCTGCCGGAGTGCAATCCCATATGATTGGGTTCGAAGCGCGCACGTTTTGCTGGCACCACAGTTGTCTGCACAAGATTACGAAAGCGCCCCACATTAGGATCAACGTCTTCGGGATTGATAATAATTTCCTCATCGTTAAATGTGACATTGCGCCTTTTGCGACCCTGCTTTTGCTTGCGTAAATTTGGGTCATCTGCAATGCCTAACATGGAGATCCGGCGGTTATGGGCGGTATTGTACTCAGTTAGGTTCTGTAATGTATGAAAAAAAGTTTTGCTAGTTTGCGAATTGGCGAGTTGTATAAAAAACCAACATCTAACTCAGTTTGGCTTTCCGGCAAACCTAGCAGCGTCCCATCACTAATCTCGTTCAACGGCAAGTCCTCCATAATGTTGTGCTGTCCGGCGGATGGCCGCTCCCGTAGTATGTAATTGCGGGTTGAGGCACCGAAATGAAAAGTGCTGTTAATTTGGAGTTGAGTTGGTTTGTTTGCCTCGAGCCGCAGCGTGCCAATAAATGTACCATGTGCTAGAATTCGCCATTAATGATTTCCCGGTGGTGGGTATTAAAACAACTTACTGGAACCCAGGTCAACAAGATAGGCGATGTTGAGGTGTTTGTGGTACACAAAGGCGGCGTGAACCCGTGAGCAGGAAGCATGATCAATGCAGAAATCGTTCATCTGACTGTTTCGCCCAAATAAATAGCAACGCTTTTCATCAACCATTAGTTTTTGCACCAGCTTGTCATCTTTCAGAACATCCAGATGTAGACCAGTGGGTGGTTTGCCGGCCCTGCAAATGCATTCAAAATATATTTTCTGAAGTGGAAAAAACACAACTTTAACTGACCAACTAGGTATATCATAACTATTAGCCATGCGCTCAGATTGCGTCCAAAAAATATGAATTGTTTATAAAATATCTTCGAAAAAGTGTATACCCAGCTTTATTATTGCCGGTGGTGTTTTTAGTGAAAACGAGTAATAAGAAATGTTATCGCTGTGGTGCTGCCAGACAGTAAAAATGTACCTGTGCTCCGAATAAGACACTGCAGTTAATCATACAACGACGGTGGCGCGTCGATGGCTAAAAATAGTTAAAGATATACACATATCTAATTTTTAATAATTAATTTAATGTTCTCGACTTACCAAGTGAGCTGTTTTAGTAAAAATTTATATTTTACCGCGAACTTTGCTAATCCGAGTTTGCATCTGTGATATTTCTGTGACGTCATATTTATAACGTTGATTACACATAACTAAAACGTAAAATGATTTCGTCAACCATTGCTGATCTGTGCATATTCATTCTCACGTGGAATGTAGGCACTCACACGCCTAAGGATCGTCCCCTGAGCTCATTGTTAGCCTTAAATGGCACTACGAATTGTCCAGACAACCGAATGCCAGACCTTTATGTCATAGGAATGCAAGAGGTCAATACAAAGCCGAGCAAGCAGGTGTTAAATCTGTTCCAGGACGACGCGTGGGTGCTGAAAATTGCTGGTTACCTGACGGAGTATGAATACGTCAAGGTGGATTCGAAGCAACTACAAGGCATTTTGATTACCTTGTTCGCACAGCGTCAACATATTCCGCATATTAAGGACATTGAGACCGAGGAGACACGTACCGGCCTTGGTGGACTCTGGGGCAACAAAGGCGCTGTGAGCATTCGCCTCAGTTTATATGGTACGGGTGTTAGTTTTGTTTGTGCACATTTGGCAGCACATGATGATAAGCTGAGCGAGCGAATTGAAGATTATCACCAAATAGTCGATAATCACAAATACCCCACGAAGGGCTATAGAACAATATTTGATCATGATTTTGTCTTCTGGTTCGGCGATCTCAACTTCCGCTTATCGGGTGATATGTCAGCCTGGGATGTGCGTGCTGATGTGGAGCAGGGTAAATTCGCTGAACTACTTAAACTTGACCAACTTGTGTTGCTGCGCGAATCTGGTAATGCGTTTAGTTTGCTGGAGGAACAGTTGCCCAATTTTGCTCCCACGTTTAAGTTCATCGAGGGCACCAACGACTACGACTTAAAACGACGCCCGGCATGGTGTGATCGCATTTTGCATCGCGTTCAACATGACCGTTATCCGGCCATTACTTTGAGTGTCAATCAGTTGTCCTACAGTTCAAACATGGATTACACTCTCTCAGATCATAAGCCGGTCTCCGCCGTATTCATGTACAAGATCGAGGCTAGTAACATAACCGACGAAGAAGTATATGAACTGACCCATGGCTCGGCAAGCACAGTGCCAAACGTTAGTGCCCTTTCACTAGCTTTTATTTACGTTGTCTATCGTCTACTCGAAATTTAAATTCATTTTCTTCGCATCTTTGTAGTTGTTTAATGCCGACCTAGAAGAGTTCCACTGGTAGTAGAACGTGATGCAATATTTCTTGATGAATTCCCTTGTCTATAACTTGAACATGTAAATACGCATTTGAAGGATGTGCAAAAATCTTTGCATCAACTCACATACATTTGTACTTGATTATTTTTGTTTTTGGTGCCAAAGCAATTGCTGAACATTTTGTGCCTACAATTATGAAAACCAAGTCAATTTAATGAATCTCTCTTAAGCTAGTATAGCAAACAGTAAACGGAATCTCAACAATCCGGTCCAAAATAACAATGGAAAAGCAATATGTACCTTAGCAGAATATAATAAGATTAATAGAAAGAAACTCAGTGAAGACGAATACTCTTAAAAGTTAGAGAAATTGTTGCATATGAAAAAAGACATTCTATATACATATGAATATAAAATCACTTATTGCACTCACTATGTACCTGTGCATGTTGTTTAAATAAAGAAACATTTATTTTTCTACAAAAAATTTATTTTCTGTTTTGATGAATAAAATAAATAACATAAATGGTAATTATTTAAATATGCCTGACTAATAATGCATTAATCTTTCATATCAGTTTAATAATAATGTGTCCATATCTTTTGTGATACACACATACATATCGACATAGATTTTTTTTGTATTGCAAATAAACGTTGATTTATATACTTATGTACTTTTTCCTATATATGTGCCGAAGTTATGTACATTCGAACTTATGTAAGTATGCCAATTAATAGGGGTTTTACTTCGAGTACTGATTACTTTGAAATGTTTTCACCGTTAGAACCTTGTGTGAAAAATTCACATTTTCTGAGTGAATTCTGTGGTGCCAATTTGTGATTTATCAGCTTGTCTAACTCGAAATTGACACGATATCTATATATGAACTACATACTACATATGCATGTATATGTATACTAAGTATACATGTATGTACTTACATATACATATGTGCACAATTGTATAACAATCGAAGTTAAGTTCAGTTTTTGTTGATAACATTCAACTCGGCTGGGAGACAGTGAGAAAAAGCACCGGACGGTAATTGGATGAGCAAGCAAATAAATCAATTAATACACTTACACTCACACGCATCCTATACAGAGCTAAAATGTGTAATATTATGGCGATTACAGTTTGTCAACAGGTGCAATTTTTAAGCTGTGCACGTGAAAAGTTAATCCATGGCTAAGGGCTGTACATACATATGTACATTTTTACTTTGCTCACACGTTAATATGCACGCTATTTGTATTGGATACAATATATATATATATATAAAAAAATATTTATTTCCACATTTCGGCAACATGAGGGCAAGTGTGATTCAAAACTAAACAAACAAAGAGGGTTGGGGCTATTTGATTAGCTTGTATTTATTGTACCTCTACAATTGTATTGTATTTCCCCTAAAAATGTTGATTCTTAAAATGTTTACGATTAAATTGTTGTCTTGTTCTGCTGGCTCTGCTCTCAATCATGTTCGTTTCGAGACTGAGAACCTGTTGAAGCATTTAAAGCATTCTCCGATTGAAAGCTGCATATTAAAGTCAGAACATGTGAACACTTTGCCAAGTGTAGAAAGCTTTTATTACCATATTTATTATTTGAATGTTATGCATATGTACATACATACATATGTATATGTATGTATGCTTGTGTGAAATATGTCAATATTAAGTGCCATAATTTTGTTTATAAACAAACTCGATTTTCGCTATAGGAAATGTTTAGCAAGATGATCATACTTTCAAACGTATGTATGTATGTACATATGTATGTTATGTACATATACATATGTATACTTACATAGGTACCTGGGACATATGTACATTTTATTAACACAAAGACCACTTTCCGAGATATTTTACTAACATACATATGTATACATAGTAAATAAATATGTCTGCATATTTCCTTTATCTGATATAAAGAATATGTATATTTTCATTAAATTATATTATATTACTAATTATAGTCATGGCACAAAAATCTACCTTGAATTGTATTCACTACCTAATAGAGCGACCGACCACATTTTAATAATGACAATAAAATCGCAAGTGGAAATTTATGATTCTTACTTCAGCTGTTGTCAATGTATTGCATTGATAAAGAAGTAGTAAAAAATGTTGATGTACCTTGAAAAAATCCTACATAATTCTCTTGATAAGGAGAAAAAAAACCAAATAGGGCAAAAGCGCACTCGACTATTAGATACCCTGCAACATTTAACGTTGACAATTTTTGTTAAATGAACACAGCTAAATTTATTAAATGTTTGAAATGCTTTGGCAGGATAACTTAAGATCTTGGTACTTTTAAAAGGAAATGCTTCAATTTCAGATAATTTATCTATAAAATGTTTTATTATACAGAGCAGCACCGTTGCGTGCTACGTAACCATTAAAACAATAAATATATTATGGGTAAGCCGGTTTATTAACCAAACAAAAGTTCGAATCTTATCAATACAATTGTTCCACAAAGGCAATGAACGCAGAAAGTCAAAAAGCTAAAACTTCGGGGCTGCTAGAATGTGCGAGTGAACAGCGCATTATTATTTTAGCTGCCATTTCACTTTGCTGGCTGTGCAAACACAAGTATAGAAAAGTTCATACCATTAGCAAAATAAAAACCCCACTGTTGGCGGGCCACTTGAAGCTGATATAAAGCCAGCTAGTACTGTGGTATCGTTCAAAACACATTTAGCAAACGTCAAGGCAACACCATCACCACAATAAACGCGAACGGAAAGCAAAATTGAAAATCAAGTTGTTCCGCCGCATCTCCAAAAAAAGCACCGAAACTCGCGTGACTCCCCCCTTAACAACAGCAGACAACGAACGTACATTCATATATCTTTGGCATTGCGTTTTTTGCCCTCAAGAGTCTGAACACCTGTGGAACCAACAACAACAGTAATAAGCACTCATGTTGATTCAATCAACGGCGGTGAAGTAATTCACAAAACAACTGAGAAAGTTAATCAAACGGGAACTTGAGAGTTGAGCTCTCTCTCTGTCCCATTAAATACTGTGAAGGCGAGAGAGCATTACATACATAGTTAGGTCAATGTTGCCAACGCAAACTTGACTACATGGAACGCGGTGGTTTTTTCGTATGAATAACAACAGAAGAGGAAATCATCGGTAAATCACACGCACGCACACATACAAACAAACAGACTCATATACTTATTAGACAATTGATAGCGGATTTACTACAGATAACAATGGGTGTGCGTGTAGTTGAAGCTGATTCGTCCAGCGACTCATTTGATGATGACGATTCATGCTCTACCTGCCAGGCTAAGGCCAAAACGTCGTATCCTAAGCACACAAGTACTGCGGGCGCCAAAAGCTCATTTACGTATGCAAATGCAAGCAAGGATCTCGTGGGCAACTGCAAGGAATTCCGCATTGAGAATAATAGTAGAAATTTGCGCATCATTGGCAATGGGAATCGAGTGAGAATACTCAGTAATACAGGAAGCTTGCAGATCATTGGCAACAATACAAGACTGAAAGTGCAGGATAACAGTGCCCCCATTAAATATACGGGCAATGATGGACGCATCTATTTGGGCAGTGAGTCAAAAAATGTAGCCGTCGATTATATTGGGTGCAATGGCATACTGAAGGTGGTGAAGTCAATGGACTGGCAGGGCAGCCAGTGTAAGACGAAAAAGCAGCAAAAAAATGGGACCCAAGGTGTCGGTATACCAGCTGGCTCTCCACCAACGGCCAGATGCAACTCAAATCTTAAAGCGAGTGGTACTCCCGGCGTGGAGATAAGCAACAACTTAACTATTGTAAATAATATCGGTGGTAACATAGTCATAAAAAATGCCATTAATGTGAACATGTGAATCCCACAATGGTAATACTAATTAATTAAGTTTGTCCAAAGAGAGACTTTTGGCCAATGCATATTGTAATTGTCTTGCCTGATAGATTAACGTACATATACTATGGTTCCTTCATACATACATACTGACAAAGTCTAAAAGCTAAGCAAATCGTAAATGCAGCGCCAAATATAGTCATTAGTAATTAGTTAATAAAAAAAACACACATACATATGTATGTACTTGTACTCGTATGTGGGTCATTGTACAATTGAAAATAAGGTACATATATGGACATACATATGTACACGTATGTATGTGCTTACTTACCTTACCTTTTCGAAGTATTAGAATATAGACTTTATTCGCATGATACGTTCGTATGTTTTTTTGTACTTACTTTTGTACTTGTGAACTCCGTATACCGTCAACTATTAGTCATGCCATTCTTAAGTGGCATGTAATTATAATACATATTTACATACAAACACATAGAAAATGACATAACATTATTAGAAAAAATAAAGCTTAAACAGTTGTTACTAAAAACTAATTGTTTTGTATAAGTTAATGACTTTTTTTCAGCTCGTTTCAATCTAGATGATACTAAAGGTCAATAAAAAAATTGATATTTGAATGTTTAAAAACTAATTACGCCTATACAACATTTTATATGCCTGCAATTTTATACTATACTTTTGAATATACTATTTAAAAAAGCCATTATATAATACAAAAAGGGTAAGAGGTTACATTAAAAAGTCCAAATGCATGTAGCATTTACAACAGTATTATAAAACGGATCGTTATAGGATACTGTATTATTTTAAAGGTTTTTTTCACAGTGCCTCCCAAATTATGAAGTTTAGTTAAAATTTCGATTGCCTGTTACGCGGTACCTAAGGCTCCATATGGCAGATTTAAGTTTATCTTTTATATACATATATTTTAAGGACAAAACTATTCTTTCATATATTCTTCCATAAAGATGAAAAGATGCAAGTAAATAAATTGATGTTCGCGTGTAGTAAATAACGTTTTTATTTCTCAATGGTTATGGAAAATTTTCGCACGTAGTACCGCAATTTCAATCATGTCTGGTTTGAGCTTGATAATGATATCAAATTAAATTTAATTAAACAATGTACGAATAAAAAGCTTTATACCTAACGCCTATATATTAAGCAGTTATTACGTTTTTACGTACAAATTTGATTTATTTTAAACGTTGCTAATTTAGCGCATTTGTGGAATGGAAAGCAATCATTTGAACTAATACATATATCTAAAACTTTCGAAAACGAAATTTATAAACTGAAAAAAGTGATGTAGTCATCGAAATTTAATTGGCGCCAACACTAAACAGCTGATGGAGGCGAAGATTACGTTGCTACGTTTTAGAGCACTGACTGGAATATTTCATCCCTGAAAAGAAGAAGCACGCTAAAGAAGAAACATTTTCGAGACTTAGTAAATACATATCTGAAAATCGCGCTAAATCTAAACGCAAACATTTTGCGACATTTAAAAAATAAAATCATGTTTGGGGCCACAACTTCGACAAATCGTATGAACGATTTTGAGGTGGCGTCGCCACCAGACGATTCCGTTTCTGCTCTCGAATTTAGCCCAAGCACTTTGCAAAAAAATTTTCTGATTGCCGGCAGCTGGGACAACAGTGTGCGCTGCTGGGAGGTCGAACAGAACGGAGCCACAGTGCCAAAGTCAATGAAAACAATGGGAGGACCCGTTTTAGATGTGTGTTGGTCTGATGATGGCACTAAAGTTTTCATCGCGTCATGTGATAAGCAGGTAAAGTTGTGGGATTTGGCTTCGGATCAGGTGATGCAAGTGGCTGCGCACGATGGACCTATTAAGACATGCCACATGGTAAAGGGGCCAAACTACCAGTGCTTAATGACGGGATCCTGGGATAAGACACTAAAGGTAAATACAACCGTTTAAATATATAGCTTGGTTTTGCAATGGATTATTCTGTTATAGTTTTGGGATACACGTACATCTAATCCGCAATTAACTATAAATTTGCCGGAAAGATGTTACTGCGCGGACGTGGACTATCCAATGGCTGTAGTCGGCACTGCTGGTCGTGGTCTAATCATATACTCTCTGGAAAATACTCCGACCGAATTTAAAAGACAAGAAAGTCCCCTTAAGTATCAGCACCGCACCATTTCAATATTTAAAGACAAGAAAAAGGCACCGACTGGTTACGCTTTGGGCAGCATTGAGGGTCGTGTCGCAATTCAGTACGTGAATCCGGTAAATCCAAAGGACAATTTTACATTCAAGTGCCATCGGTCGACTGGGACTTCGGGCTTCCAGGATATATACGCTGTAAATGACATTGCATTTCATCCTGTGCATGGAACATTAGTCACTGTGGGTGCTGATGGAACATTTAGCTTCTGGGATAAGGATGCACGCACAAAGCTAAAATCCAGCGAAGCCATGGATCAATCTATCACAAAATGTGGCTTCAATGCCAATGGCCAAATTTTTGCATACGCTGTGGGCTACGACTGGTCAAAAGGTCACGAATACTTTAATCCAGCTAAAAAGCCACAAATATTTCTGCGCTCCTGCTTTGAGGAATTGAAGCCGCGCGTCAACTGATCGGAAGCTAGCTTTAATTTAGGTTTTTCAAATAATTCATTTATGTACTACTAAAAATTAAAGCGTATTCACAGTTTTATTCAACGTGTATCGATTTAATTAGATATCGCCTAATATGCACTAATGACTTTTTTTGTCGTCGTGCCCGTGTCCATGTCCGTGGTCACCCTGCCCTTTGCCAATGCCGAGCGCATACTCTACCGCGATGGTGGCCAGAAATGCACAGAACCCTACGCCGAGTCCGCGGAACATGAAGGTATTAAGGCGAGATCTATGTGTGCCAAAGCCTTTCTTTTCATAACGCCAGGCCTCATTTCTGTAAGTGTAAGATGGTTAACAATACTTGATTTTAAACCATTTTAATCTGCTCACCTCAACCATGGATCGCTAAGTCCCTGGCGTCCAAGCGCCTCCTTAACTTCCACCAACTGCGGTACATTTTCAACCTTGTATATAGATGGATGTGGCACTGTGTATGGCTCCCCGTGATGTCCTCCCATCGTATACTAAACAAGATCTGAAAATTAAAGTATTGCCTCAATTAGTTAATCGTTTTGCAGCTGATTGCAAACATGATGTTATTTCTAGCAACATCATCGCATTTAGATGGTAATTTTACTCTCTCAACCATCGAAGTCCGCGTCTGTGTCATCCCTGGTTGGAGCACTATTCTGGTGAAGATTACATAAGCTTAAGATAGCGAAATTTAATGATGGATCTAGTCTTTTACAAATCTAACCTATTTGTAAACGTAAGCTTGGCCAATGAACAAAATTCGCTTTGATTTGGAACTTACTTCTTAAAATAATATATCTATCTTAATTGTTTTGGGTGAAAAATACGCACAGTTGTTCAGTGTTGTCCTACGGAATACCAGTGCTAGTGATGCCAACTGAGCGAAATTGACAAGTAGTAGTTAGTTACTACAAAATACCAAAAGCATGCCTCAACGATTTTTTGAAACATAAGCAAATGATGAAATAAAAAATTTTAACGTAATTTCTTCAAGTTTTAATTAAGACCTGAAATAGTGCTTGATTTTATCTTACAACATTTAACTAATAGTAAAAATCGTTTTTTTTTTTAATATTTTGTAATTATTTATTGAGTTTTAAAATGTATTTGTAGAACATTTGTAATTTCTAAACGTGCTAAATGTGAAAATATACATTGTTTTTATCAGTTTTTTTTTCTAATTATAGTTATAGAATAAGTAATACATAATATATACGTTTGCATGATTTATATTTATACGCTGCTCGCTAATTGTTAACTTAATAGGTGATTTTATTTAATGTAACATTAAGTTATTTACCTTTGCTTGTTAGACCTTATTTCACTGTGATTTATGTTGTCACTACAATTAAACAGGAAACAATTTAAAGCAAAAATACAACAAAATACTGGATTACGCCTTGTCATTTTGCATGGTACTTTAATAACTAGTTATAAAATGGCATGTATTGCATGTTATTTTTAAAATTTAGTGGTTGCCATATTTCCAAATGAATACATAATCAAAATTTACGAACGTTGCACGCAAAGTTCAATTCTATCAAGATTAACGAGATTTTTTGTTTTTATAAAGCTAACTTTACTTAATGATTGGAAAATGCAGAAGCATGAATATTCTATCAATAAGAATTAACTCTCAGCCACGGTTTTATTTTATACGTAAATTTGGAAGCAATTTTTTAATTCTCGAATCAAATGTTACCGTCTACTTTCATATTTTTTCTTAGTTTTTACTACCCTTTCTCATAGTTTTATCCTTGCTTGACTGCATAGGATTTAAAAAACATTTCACTTTTTTAATTTCCTTGTTTTTGATTCTCTTAAGTAATTTTCATCCTGTTTAGTGGTAATTGGTTAATTTGTTTTTAGTTGAATCACATTTCGAATTACTAAAGATTAATTTCAAATTTTAACACATGTTGCTACAACAATTTAGGTATTTTTTGAAATCAAATTGTACTTTTTATTGAACGCATTTCCGTCCATTCGTCCGCTTGCTCGTGGGCCTAATCATTTATTTATCCACGTCGGCACCGGCTCGATCCCAGCTTACAAACGCTCGTCGGCCAGTATCTCATTAAGCAGGCGATTGAGGCTGTCAAGTCCAGTAAGAAATCCGGCGTCAGGGCCATGATGAACGGGAGTAGCGGCAGTAGTTGGCAGCATGCTCATGCCACCATTGCGTGGAACAAAAGCTGTGTGCGCAAAGTCAATGAGACGAACATCCACAATGCAACGTGAATCGTCTGTTGGTGGTGCTGACATGTCAAGCGATTTGGACCCATGTCGCAAAGCTGTACGCTGGGTATTGCCTGAGCATGCACCGACCAGTTTCGGTTCAATGCTGTGGCTGGAGTTGTTGTTAAGGTGGTTAATTTTGCCATCCCCTTCAGCATTACTTTTGCCTTTTTCGATGGCATGTGTGCGCTCTAATGAATCCATTAATATGCCAGCGAGCAACGAATTGGATATATTCTCACAGCTTCGCTCCGTGCCTGAAGCGTTGCGAACCTTTGAGGGCGACGAAACTGTTGACACTGGCGTGGAAGTAATAGTTGACTTCTTTGCCTCCCGCGGGTCACAATCGTGCGGAGCATAAGTCTCGTCGTCATCCTTACAGCGTAAACGCTTTACGGCGCCCTTCACAGATTTTAGTGACGATGCACTTGATGAGGCGGGGGATACAACGGATTTGACAGTTGTGGTGCCATTGGAGATGCTCGAATTGCCGGCGGTGTGCGGCGGTGATGTTGGTTCCGTGCACGGCGCCGACACATCAAAGGACTGCTGTGATTTGTAGCGCTTGAACATGGCCTCTGTTGGACCAATAATGCTGCTCTCGTAGTCAGAGCTGGCATCATCGGAGCTGTTATTACCTGTCTGGCGGCCGCTGGCGACGGCTTTGATTTGCTCTGACAGACCGGAAAAATCGTCACTGCTATTGCTGCTATAGTTCATCCACGAGTCACCGGAATGTGGCGATGAGGTCGTTACACTGGGCAACGTGGGCTCTGGATCAAGGAATACTGTCTCTTCTGAAATTGGAATGAATGCAGGTTGTACGCTGTTGCCATTGCCTTTGCTGGCAGCAGCCGCTTTGGCAACCACACCGGAACTGCGCGGTGGTGGCATGGCCCCCAGACGCTCATCGTCATCATCCTCCTCTTCGTCGGTTGTTGTCGAGCTGGCGGCGGTTTGCTTAACACCCCGAGCAGCCGCTTCTGCGAAACCTCGCTTGTGCAGATGACGCCGTGTGGCAAGATTTAGCCTCGAATTGGAGTCATTCGAAGCATCCGCATCATAGTTGCACGCTTCGCCACCAGTACTGCTATTAGTAGCCGATGCATTGCCGCTGTCGGCTGCAACCAGATGTAAATCTTCGTCTGTATCGTGCAGCTCCAGTTCGTCACCACCATCATTGCCCGCATCATCGTCCTCAATATCATCCTCGTCTATACTGTTCTCGGGATGGTAGTCGAAAGCAGCAGTCGATACTGCGGTGGCTGATTTAGGTGTATCAAATGGCCAGTCGTCCAAATCCATGGGATGGGCCATAGGATTCTCCTCGTGGCCCTCGTAAACAATAAGCAGGGAACTATGTTCAAATAAAATTGATATTAGTATTGCGCTTCTTTTATAACCGTTCTGTTAGGACCTACCATGAGTAAAATCTGTAGCTCGATTGCTTTTCTATAACCCGTCGGAGCTGCAGCAAACGTTGCACGATCTTCCGAACAACACGCGTACGTAAACGATAGCCGTTGTAGAAGAAGTCATGGAGCGCCTGCTTGAACCCCGACTCGTTCAACTCACGACCCCAGTACTTGTCCCGCTTGGCATACTGATCGACGTCCGCCTGATAGGTCTGCATACCGCACAGACGCACGCCCAGTGTGCCAGAGGTGCTGGCTGCACATTTTGCCATCTGCTTGGATCGCTTTTCGGCCGAGGCGTCGTCGCCATGCTGGCGTGTGCCCATTTTCAGGTCCAAGATGCACGGATTGCGAAACTGTGAAGTGATGTTCTCGAGCATGAGGAAGTCTACGGGATTACAACAAATCATAAAGAACCAAGGATTAGTCAACATCTCCCAGGGATTAATTAAGTATCATATACTAACATTGCTTATTGGTGTTGTCAAGTTGTGAAATACTTTTAATAACATCAGCTGCATTTCCATTCTTATGAACTTTCATTCTGAAAACAATCAAGATTAGTACAAGTCAGATTTGTGTATAATAATTTGCACCGATCCATATGACTATAAGTGAGCACAAGATAGATGTTCAATTTTCGAAAAGATGTTGGCATAGTAGCCCTCTAATATTGTGCGTTCGATTCAGATAAATTTGACATCAATAATATATGGGACCTATTCCGTCTGTGTTGTGTTTAAATTTTGAAAAGCCTATTCCATATAGATCCCATATTTTTTAAAGCCATAACTTATACGCAGTTCGGCTTTTATTATGCGTGGAGTACACACCTGAGAACCTCTTCCCTCTTACGCTTGGAGGTGCTCATCTTGCGCATAGGTGCGGGTACAGAGGCGGGCGACTCCTCCCGGAAACTAGGGGAATAACGCTTGTCGAGCTTGGCGCCACCCATTGTAGTTGCCTGCATAACGCCTGGAAATAGAATGGGCCCAACCGGCGGTTAGTTCAGTGCAGACTCACGCTCTATAAATTATGTATTTATGTATGTATTGTACTTTAGCTTCAAGTTGATACAAAATAAGTTTGGTTAGGCATACAGTAATAAGTATAGGTATGACAAATGGCTGCAACTGCTGACTTAAACACAAAGTTAGATAATGTGTTATGTGTGTTTATTGTGGTCTTAGATAATGAAAGTTAGGCTTTATATATTGAAAAGTAGAATTATATTGAATGAGGACCGTTGGAACATTCGTCATCAGAAGCAAAATTTATGATGTTATTAGACGAATTTTAAAAAGATTATCAGTAGTGTTAAGAAAAAGTTGCTTTCAGCAGCGGATTCTCATAATTATTTTGAAGGTTTGAATCAATTTATTGATGACGATGAATTTGAAAATGAGAAACAAAGAAGACGCATACATATGTATATATGTATGTATGTACATAAACACATACATATGTATGTATAGACGTTTTTGTTTACAATGCGATGGGCATATTACAAGCCTAGCTTATTTTAAATGTTGATATTGCGAACGAGGCTTAAATAGCCAAAACTATATATGTATGTTTGTATGTACATTGTAAATATAAAATAGATAAATATGTATATCGGGCCCTAGCCGCAAAAATAATAGTAGCAATCAAGCATATAAATTAGATTTGCAATAAATACCAGCCATTTTAACCGTTTTAAGATTTGGAAAAATAAATACAGTATCGAAAGAAATCATTCGATAAATGTTATCAGTTCAAAGATGTGGTCCAAATATTTTTTTGACTAGACAACGACTACCCTAATAATACTTGATTTGAATTAAGATTTTGTCGGTTTCAATTGTATGGCACTACTTTCCGCAGGCTGTGGGGAAACACTGAAGAAGTTGTATGAAAAAGTTGCGAACGGCAGTTAAGCAAAATCAATCATTTGCCAGAATAAATTTGTACGAATAAAATGATATAATTTTCGGCTGTTTTCGTGACTAGGGCTAGATACTTTTGGACATACATGCATACATATGTATGTATGTACATAGAATGTACATACTTCAGTTATTTATACGTATTTATGTGGCTTCATTTAATAATCGTTCGCCTTACAAATTACTATATGTACTACATACGAGTATATGTAAATCCTAAGCGATATAGTACGAGTACTTAAAGAAAATTCTGTACCTTAAAACTAACTGAAAAATGAAGATCTGTTTTGTAATAAATATTTTCTGTATTTTTAAGTGTAATAATTGTGTAAAAATGTGTGTTTTTCATACAAACCCTTTTGGCCATTGGTTTTTTTATGGCTTGTTTCTAATCAGCTTTCGTACTGAGAGTCTCGGAGCGGTCACGTTCACGGTCACGTTTGAGCGTGTGTTTGTGGCATTTGGTTCTCGAGACAGACAGTGGAGCGGAGCAGATCAGATGAGGTAGTTTCAGTATCAAAGGAGGTCTACAATGACGACGACGATGACTACGACAACAACAACGGAGGGGCAGCACGATGTGCGTTCTGAACAAACACATAAAATAAAACTCGATTTGTTTTGCTTACAATATTGAAAAATGCAATATTTGTTTTTCAAAATTTCAAAATAGAAACATATTACGCTATCTCGCTCCGCATAGAGTGGGAGGGAGAGAGTGGAGGCTCCGTTTTCGATTCGCATTGGTTCATGGTTTAGTTCAGCGGCAGATCAGATCACGAGCGGGTCTGTCTCAGTCGTTTGGTTGCCGCAGCAGCACAACACCTCGAACCTTTGGATAATACGAGCATAGAGCGTATATGTAGTGACAGGACACACGCGCTTTGGAGCACCCGCCCGCCCCCTTTGCGGTTCTTAAGAAGGCTCAAGCGGGCGCCAAAGGCGTGCAGTTAAAGGTCATTGATGGATATTTAATTAATACAATAACGAATTGTAGCATTTTTGGCCAACTGTTTTCAATAGAACCGTGGCTGCTAAAAATGTTACAATTTATGCAAGCAGAAAGGGTATTCTTTAATTGAGTTTCATACGTTTAGTTTACTTGATACATACGTAAAATTTCATCTTTTTTTTTTTATTTTCTTTGGAGAAATTAGAGAGATCTTTGTTTTATTGTTGGTTTGCAACTTACCCATTGTTGTCTTTTGATTATAATTTCTGTTTCAAACTAAAAATTGTGCAAAGTTTTAGACATACTTGTTTTTAGGAGCGAGGCCTTGAATTAGGCGTCAGTCAAGGCGGGGAAGGTTTGAATGACGACTAAATATATAATTCTTTTATTCTGTTCTTTTTTTTTGCATTACAATTATTAAAGCTAAAATGTTCCTAAGTATATTAGTATATATGTATATGGTACTTCAGTCGGGGTTTTCTGTTTTTTTTTTGTATTTCATTTTTTTCCATTTATTCTTTTTGTTCTCTCTTTTTATTTGTTTCATTTTAAAGACTTACAAGCTAAAAGTATCACATATTTTATTGGCACATAAAAAATTTAATACTTTAAAAGAACTATATAGTACTAAAAATAAAAATGATTTTCAAATGTTTTGGTTTTTTCTAAGGACGATACAGGAGCGCATGTATGCATGTAGTATGTATGTACGAATATGTACTTAATACATAGTTGGAGCAAATGCGAGTTAGTACAAAACAAAATTTCATTACATCTGCGTTGAAAACTCAAGACACATGACAATGCTAAGCGCTCATTTCTTGATGTATTTATTTTCTTTGTTTATTTTGTTGGTTCAGCATGTATTTATTTTTATTTATTCTTTGTGGTTGTATGAAAATTCGAGTAGTTAATTAGAAACGATAAATCAAATGAAGCGCTTTGATAATTCTGTTTTTTAAGATTTTGTGAATACAGTCGGTATCTTACCTTTGTACTTGGGCACAAACTTCAGTATGTCCTGCGGAATGTTTTGATAGAAATCCAATTCGCGCAAATTCAGGGGCTTTATAACCGTCGACTGATTGAGCAACAGCAAGCGAGTGTGTCCTCCGACCTGCAATGAACGAAACAAAATCCATTCTTTAAAGCGGTCTTTTATGATACCAACAACCAAGTGCCATATAAGATGGTAAGTCCAACTGACGCGTGGCCACCACCATTGCAATAAACCCTTATCTAAAGAACTCAATAAAATCCAACAACGCATACGTCATTTGTCATAAAGATAAGTTCATTTTGGTATTTAGTTTACGTGCTTTAAAGTCCGGGCGTTTGGGTAAACATTTTCATAAGACTTTATGCGACTTGAGCTGTTAATCTTGGGGGCTTTTTGATGTCAGAAACGTTAAAGTATGATGGCGAAAATGTATAAATATATACTTATAGAATAAACTTTGCACATGAAAACCAGCATACACTGATATTATAAATAATGTAGAAATAAAAGCTTCTTAATAGCTTCTTAGTAAACTGTCTGGCAATTTGAGATCTTTAGAGTAAATATAAAAACCTGTATACCCTGTATACCCTGTAGTCGAGCTCCTTCTCCAAATAGTTCTCAAATTGAAATACCATTAAAAAGGTAAAAAAAGAAAATTTAATTAAGAAGTTGCCACTAAAAAGTTATTCATCAGAAATCTACAAGTATAGCAACCTTGAATTACATAAACATTTCTTGACAGCTAAATATTGAAAACGTTTTTTAAAATTTACTTATCCCTATTGTAAAAACAAAAGAAAAAGATTTGCAACACAAGCATGCTATAACCATATATGATGCGAGCGTTAAGAAATAAATTCAAGAAGCATAAGGCTGGAAAGGAAAAACACACAGAAAGCAACAAGGTGCTGAATATTAAAAGTAGTTCGCAAAGCAGTGAGGTGAAGGAACCGTCGACAGAGCCAAACCAAACCAGAAAATCCAAACCTGGGAAAGACAATGCGTTAAATATTACAGTTGCCACAGTAAATGACAGAAGTGCGTCACGCATTGCGACCAGGAAATCTGTTGATTCAAGAAAAAATAGAGCTCACAGACCATCCACAGTAAGTAAAGTCTCAAAAAAAAGTATTCGCTCAGCTACGCCCTCAACGAGAAGCAAAACGTCAACTATATCAGTGGGGTCGAGGAAGTCAAGTAAAGCCAGGAAGAAAGACCGACAGTCCCGCGAAATTAAGGAAGAAACGGAGGAGAATTGGCAGTCCGTTGCAGAGGCCGAATCTAACGTTTTTAGAAATACCCGAAAGCCACTTAAGGTATCTATAAGCGATGAGGTGACAGTACAGGAACTCTCACATGAGAAATTAACGATTGATGCCACTTCAATGCGAAAGGTTTTTATGTGCACGGCTCGTCACGAGGGTCATATGCTAATGCAGGAAAGGTTGCTTTTTCAAGTCGATGTACTCTATAACATGCTGTTCTCCACACCTTCCCCGTTCCTCGCCAAGTTTCACGAAGCGCGCGGCTCTACAGACTTAAGGTTCGGCAAGTGGGTAACGAGTTCTGCCGGGGAGCGTGAGCGGGTAACAAGTGTGACAGTACGTTTGCAGCCCAGCGTGGGTCCCAAAACATGCCGCGTGACCGAGCAGCAAACTCTGCTCAAGTGCAGCCACACGGGTTATTTGTATGCCATTGATGTGGTTAGTGCTAATGCGGGCATACCTTATGCGGACGCCTTTCGGATCCTATTGCATTACTGCCTTGTGCGTTGCTCGGATCATCAGACGGACGTTTTGGTATTCGCTCAGATCCACTTCCTGAAGTCCGTATGGGGTGTGGTTAAGTCATTTATTGAGACAAACACCGTTGCAGGATTGAAGGACTTCTTTCAAGCGTTGCATGCCACATTGCTGGAAGAGTCGACAAAACGACCGTCTAGCCCTATTGCAAAGTAGACATATCAATAAACTTGTGCGACCGACGGGCTTTGTATATGCATTGTTTTCGATTATTTTTACGTCTCCTATTAAACCCACATAAAATTGAATGTTGAAAAGTTGAAAGAGATCCATAGTTCCAATGGGAAAGCCGTAATTAGACGGGTAGAATAATTGGCCAAGTTGGCCATATTAAAATGTTTTATCCCAAAATGAAAGTTTGGTATGATATATATATGCTCGTAAGTATATATGGAAAAACAACGATGAGACAGACCGCCCATTTAGTCCGTCTGATCTGCCAACCTTCTGCTTAGGGGCACGATCTTGTTTATGATCATCAATTGCCCAATTGAGTATACAGAACTCTTAATAATAACAATATGTGCAATCAATATTATAGCCAAGTTGACTAGGAAAAATGATTGTCTCGATTTTGTGCAAAACTATTACCTGATTGGAAAGTGGATGTAGTGCGACTTCATCCTCATTATCCAGGAGATCCTTGCTTAGCTGTGGCTGTGGTTTTGGATGTGCTGCCTTGCCGCAATTATCGGACGATGCGGCAGCTAGAGCCGCCGATTCAGAGCATTGCCTCAGCAGATATTGATGAACTTTTAATGCAGACCCAGCTCCAGAGCCGCCAGAGATGCCACTGTCCACGTGCTGTTGTGGTCTGGTGGGTGTGTTGCAACTGCTGTTGTTATTGCTATTGCTGCTGACCGACAACTGTTGCAGATTTGCGGTTACCAAACTGCTGCTACTGGTACTGCTGCTAGCCACATGTTGCAGTTGTTGCTGCTGTTGCTGTTGCTGGGCAGCGCTGAGAAATGAGGCGTGGCTGCTAAAGTGCAATTGCGATTGCAATTGATTCAGACTTGTTGAGATCTGGGCAACCAACTGCTGTTGTTGTTGTTGCTGCTGCTGTTGTTGTTGCTGCTGCTGCTGTTGCTGCTGTTGTTGCTGTTGCTGTTGGAGTAAATCACGTCCATGAATATGTTGGTGCTGTATATTTGGAACATGTTGCTGATATGACGACAAGTCAGAATCTCCCATGCCCCAGTCCCCCAAGAAATATACCATTCCCTGCCACGAGAAACAATTTATAAATATCCGGTTCTTCGTGTTTTTCCCTGGAAAAAATTGGGAAATCTGTGGGTGTGGACAATTCCTCTGTTTGTAGATGTCCTAGATGTGTCCGCTATCTGAAAAAGAAGACAGTATGAAATTAATTTTATGATAATTGGTTGGAATTGGGTTACGCTTGTTTGCAGTTTATTCCCCACATAATACGTAAACAACACATTACATCCACATGTATGTATGTATGTACATATATAGTATGTATGATGTAAACCGATTGATGCATTATTCCCAACAGCTGAAGTATATTGAACCACCTCTGGAACCGGTTTCAGACTCCCGCTGAACGCATAATACTCCAATTGGCATTACGACCAGATAGCAACTGAAATGCTGCGGTTTGCGTCGGGAGGTTCAATGTTATTTCCGGTAACCCAGGTAGTGTGATTTTCATTGTAAGTGTTTGAAATCAGACTTGTTAATTGATGATGACCGAACATGACCATCATTCTAGATAATAATTCTTTATTGATTACATATTTTTTAATAAAAAGTACATCAATAATAATCAAAGTAAAAGCTGACATTTTAACACTCTGTAGACACGAATAGCAGCGAGTAGAACATCCGGCCACTGCGCTTCGTTCTTTCAAATATTATAAGGAATTATACAACATTTAGAAGAGTAATAACAAACACAATTAACTTTATTATTATATGTATCTTTATAAACCAAAAATTTTGTTTTGGTATTGTTCCGATAGTAGCCACATAGTATAAGATAATAATTTACAGGCCTATTACAAATGAAAAGAACAAGTATTTCTTCTGTCTCTTACGTACACTTATATTTTAAGGATCAAAGTTATTGGAAAATTTAAATAAAACTCCAACCAAACACAGAGTAAATCACCTGAAAACACAACTTGTCGCGGTGAAAAAAGGCCTAGAGTAGTGAAAATAGTTTTTTGGTGGAGAAATAATTTCTCCATTTTCTGCTTATTCCTGCACCTATGGAATTAGTAGCCATGCGTGTTAAATTTAACCCAATTTTATAGGCTCCAATATATGACTATAAATTAGCGAGATAATTTAGTTAATTAGTGTTGCTAGCTAGTGTCAATTTCTAGAATACAAAGGTTAACTGCAAGTTTTATAGGAATTCGACTAAATTATTGTATGGTTCTCGCCCCTGCCAACCAGGGTGATTTGATTAGTCCTTACATGTTTGTCCTTAAACTTCCACATCGAAATCCATAAAGGCCTATTCATCGTTCACGTGACTCCCTGATGATGAACTTTGATTGCTACTATAGTATATGAGCAAATGTTTAATGAAGCGTATTTGAAATATAATTACATTTAAATTGCTTTGGCGGCCAGAGAAGCGTGCGGCACGTGTTATTCTGGGACTCGTATTGCGCACTACTCATAATCAGTCGAGAAATTGATGCTAACAGCAGCAACAACAAAGCCATTAGGCGCGCGTTGTCTCAATTTCAAATGCTAATTAAGCAATCGATAGCATATTATGATTAAGTGGCGAAAATCGCACGATTCCCCTCACATTTGCGCAGCCCAGTCTGGTTCCAAAACTATTGCCTAATTATCAAGTTATAGCCCACTTCCTCGTTTTCTCTGCCTAAAAACGCAAATCGACAGTATCACTGTAGGCGCCATTCAAATAACAACTAAATCTATGTGAATATTTGCCTGGCTTAGGACTTCCGTGCTCCTACAACTTCTCCAAACAGTTCTATCTTAATTTGTGTTTTTGCATTGTGTTTGCTCTGTGCACACAATTTAATTACTTTGGATGGTGTGCCGGCACAAACGTATGTGTACATACATATATAAGACTCCTAATATTTGTGTGCAAATACGTAATAATAATAACAATGACGCCTTCATAAATACTTAGAAAAACTGAAATTGGAGTTACTTGAAAAGAACACCTATTTACATTGTTTCATGTGTATGAATACTTAAGAATTGAATACTTAAGTACAGGCTTGCTTTTGACAGAACTGAAGACGTACAGAGTTTTTCGTAGCTACTGGAAACTTACTTTAAGCCTATCCATCAGGTTTAAGGCTATTGTCATTGATGGATTATAGAAACGAACTCTGTCGCATTTACAATATTATAAAAAAGAAAAGTCTTGAAAAGGGCAGTTAAAATATAAGTATCAAATACTAAATGTACATATAAACATCCCTTTTCAAGACTTTTTTTTTATAATATGGTAAATGCGACAGAGTTCGTTTCTTTCGCTGGCAATTACAAAGAAGTCGGCATTCTTTAAATTCCATTGCCCCATCGTAATCCCAAACGTATTTGACATTTTCTGTCATCCAAAGAGAAAAATGCACAGTTGAAAAAGCTGCTCCAAGATACATATGTATACAAAAGCGGATGTATAATTTGCAAGTTTATTTATAGAATTATTTCAAAACGCCTCGATAGCCACAAAAAAGTACAGCACAAGAAATGCACGCATGATCTATTGGAGCGGTAGGTTCGCGCGACAGCAATTGCGTCGTACTTCGTTCAACAGGCGCTGAGTCATCGCAGACAAATACTAATGCTGATTCCGATCGATTGCGCAAAGTGCTCGTAAAACACTGATGAAAACTATTTAGTGGGAGCAAACAAATCGCATAGTATGTACATATGTATGGAGAACTGTTGATTAACTGGAGCAATGAACTAGGCCAGAAGAATACACAGCTATTTAGGAACATCATTTGCGATGGCAATGACAAACTCTACCAGCCCATTCGCTGAGAAAATGTTACGACGCATTTCCGAAACAAGGTACATGCTTCCTATGCATTCACTTCTTGTGTAAATATTCCAGCTAGCACGTATTCATATACAAAGTATCTTCAGTAAATATAGGTACATTTGTATATATGTATATGGAAGTATGAATGTATGTGCAAGCACAAATATACGTATACAAAGGTACCTACGAAGCTAAAGTAGGTCAAAGCGCAAAAGCCAACAGCTGCAATCGCGACGAGCCTACTTCGCATTTGTGAATGACATTTGGGTCGACAGTATATGAATATATATGTATATCTATGTATGTCTGTATGTATGAATGTTTGTTCATGTACTGAGTATATATCTTGAATATTTCAGCAACGTTTAATTGATCCAATGTGTCTAAAATCTAGATTTGTAGATTTGCCACCTACATTTATATTATATTGCACTAGTTACGGAAACTTTGGTCTAATTACGTTACATTGTGGTAGCCGAGCAGTGTCCTTATACTACAACTTTTTATAAGAAAACATCTTTCGATACAAATTATTGAAACCTTAATTTCGAGCTTCTTTTGTAATTTCAAAATGTTCATGTACAAGTTTCAATTCTACACATAGCTAGATTGAAAATTGTTATTTATAACGAACGACCAGAACAGAATTTGTGGGGTCAGTTCAGTTAATCAGGGCTGGTTTAAATGACTGCATTACAGGCGTGAGAAATAAAGATATTTAAAGTAAATAAGTAGTAATTGGACTAACTGCTGATATTTATTGAATAAGCTGTCAGTAAATTATAAACAATATAAAGATAACAGCGGTCTTTATTAGTAACAAAAAAAAAAACAAAACACAAACACATATAGACACAGATGTATACAATGCGAATTAACAGAATGATAACAAATGCAAAATCTAATAAGAGAGAACGAAATAAAACACCGAAACAATGCATAAATAAATTGAAAGCAACTAAATAGACAAATTCGTTTTTGTTGTATTCTGTATTCTGCCAACAATCAGCTGACAGCTGTCTAGCAGATAGGCAGTCAGACAGACAGATAAATAGAGAGGGAAGAGAATCGCAACGCGCCAGACACAATAAAATTAAAGCGGACAATATCAAAGTATTGTAGTCAGAGCGGCAACAAAGCAACACCCAGTACCTGCCGCCAGAAGCACACTCATATAAAAGTGTATATACTATGTATATATAAAATACTACACACATACATACATAAGTATGACGGAGCGTTTGATAGGCAACCTTAAATAGACCAAAGTCGCTAATTGTGACGCTTTTCGCATTGTGCTGCCGATTTTGGCCAATAAGCGACAAATGCAGGTCTAAAATGTTCTGTAAATTATGGCTGTTTCACATGGGGTTGAACATTTTGGCTCTTGAATATTGGCATTCTCATATACAAGTACTATATACATACATCAATAACATTTCAAATATTCTTACCATTTTTTTGAATGTATTTAGAAAATTTTGATATTGTTCACCTAAACGTCTATGTTAAAAAAGTAATTTTTCCTTAGGCGATATAAATGTATTTTAAATTACAGATTAGCTAAAGAAATATAATATTATATTTGATATATTTTTTAAAGCAACCATTCACAGATAGGTTCTGTTATATGTGATACCCATAAAGATAGCTTCACAGTAAGGTGAAAAATATGATCAGTAGAGACGAGTCGCTCTAGAAACAATACAACGTTCTGAAAGATCAAGAAGCATTTCATGCGGGTATTTTAGGCCGTCGGCCAAACGTAGAATCACAGAGAAAATTTAGACTTATTGGTTTTACATTGGAAATCAAAAATCATACTTATGTCCATATTTCATAAAATGTATACAAATATGCACATTTTTAAATAGTTTGTAAAACTATTTGAAAACAGTATGTATGTTATAACAAGAATGATTTAAAATAAAATAAACTAATAAAAACTCACAGAAATATCATGGAATAATGGAAAAAATAATTTATTTTGGGCGTGAACTGTAGAAATAAAAACTCATGATATTTGATAAGATGTGTGTTGATAGAGAAAGGAGGCTTGCCATTTTTTCAAATACACACTTTCTAAAACATACATATGTAAGTATGCATGTATGTGCATTTTATACATATACAGCACATACATATGTACATATAGTATATACACATATCGGACAAGCTGGTGAACTCTGCCTTTTACCTGATAAGCGCAAATCGGACCTAGCTAAATAAACAAACTCTGCTAACCATGGCAACCGCAACAAGTAATCAGTTTAATACAATACAATGAATTTTCAAATTGGTTTTATGATTTTATAAATCATCACAGAGTTTATCTGGAGGTGTGGATTTGGAAAAGAAAAATACTTCTAACACTTCTGCTATTTTAGAATCCCTCTTAAAAGTTTAAGTTTTAGGGTTATTTTAATTAATCATCATTATACTATAATTGTAGTACGATCATTAAAAAGGCACATAAATGAAAGCCAAGTCTGGCGATAAATGGCACAGACATAAAATACAACAATATATTGCTATACAAATAATACGCCAATTAGTCATGCAATTTTTCCAGCTGTATCTGAGACTAAAAACAGACGATTACACGTCACGGGCCATAACAAAAAAAAAAACATGAGGTTAAAAACAATTAACAAGCTAAAAAGATGGGTAAACTTTTTATTGTTTTTGTATTTCATTCGTATGGGAATTTTTTAAATTCATCTTCATTTCGCATAAATTACATGATTCGGGTTTCTGCGAATGCCAAAAACTTGTTTAAATTGTTTACCAACGCAAAGGTATTAATTATGTATGCAAAGCATTCGCACGTACGCATGGAAGATATACAAACTGACAGATGCGACGGACGGCAGATTTCTCGTATCAAAACAAAAAGCAGCTGTAGGTGGTTCTGGAGAATGTATTGTCACGAGCTGTCCGAAAAGTACCAACAACTTGAAACAACAACAGCGTAAGAACTATCTTGCAAATACAAAGAGCAATGGATACATAGACCAAATGGCAAAATGTATTCAAAACAAAAGATTAAAACCAAACACAGATACAGCTACTACTGGCAAGTCAAAGAAAAGTAAAAAAAAAACTGAAACACCAAAAGAAACGCCAATTGAACTCGCACTGGCACTCTCTCTCTCTCTTTGTCTCTCTCTCTCTGGTCTCTCTGACTAGCCATCTACGCTCTCCCAAACTGAGCGTCGCTGCCCATTTTTTCTTTCACACGTATACACGGCTCGAGACGATTGCTATTTTTTTAGGCTATTTTTAATGGCCAGAGCACAAAAAGGAAAAAATAATAAATTAAATTGACTGCATGCTTGCATACACACAAACACATAGTGAGAATGGGGAAAAGGCAGCCAAAAATTGACGCTACTGATTTGAAATTTTCACTTTTCCAATTACCTTTTTTCGAGAGACTTCTTTATGTGTTGCAGTAGCTGTGGTTGAATTTCAAATTAATTTTCATTCATTTGCAGCAAATTCTCTTTCTTCAATTTTTCACATTCAATTGTATGTGAAAATTTTGTATTGTACAAAGCTCAATACACACACATACACACTAATATATACACACAGAGCCCAGCGAGCTTATGCGCGCACTAACACAGATACACGTTTGCTTATGTGTATGTACATATATATGTATGCAACATATATATATAAAAATTTTTTCTCAATTAAATTTGATTTTCTCACACGCGCGTTAAATTTTATGTTGCGCGACTTTATTAAAATTTTAAGCGCTGAACACGTCCGTACTGAACCAGTTGAGAGGCTAGACTAAAATATCTGCTGCTCGCCAGCGTCGAAGTTCCCGTGGCCGAGCAAGCGACTTGTGCCAACGACCCGCAACAACTATGGGTGCAAGCGAGACGTCAATATTCTGTGCGACACTTGTTCGCTCACCAGCGTAATTAATGAATGCGAGAACGACTACACTGCGAGTCATGCGAGAGTATCTCTGAGATACTTTTTGGCCACAGCAGCTGTGCACCTCTCTCTCTCTCTTAAAAGCGAAGCGCCTCTGGTCAATGTTCGGCTGAAGCTTCTGCAATCATACCGTGCATGGGCCGCACCTCGTCCTCAACCGTTCCGAAAATCTAGCAGAAACGACATTCACCACAAGACAATGCGCAGTATAATGCAATTGCCCGTAATGGAATGGGAAATTAGTAAGCCATTCGTATCTATTCAATTGTAATTAGCAGCGACATGGGTCGAATGCGTTAACCATTGTTTTGGGCTGATTAGCTTTTGTTTCTGCTTTGTTCAGACTATGTACTCAAACTACACAAACATTCGTTAGACAAAGAAGGAATCTTGGGAATCATAGACATTTGCAAATATTACCTGAGAAATATGATATAGGCTTTACCATGTTTGAAGTCAATTTGTAACACACTGCTGAATACATGTTAGATTTCATGGTGTACTCTTAGCGGTTCTCCGTTTAAATTACGCTTTAAAAACTAATGGTTTCGCCCTCAATTCTGCAGATTATCTTTCAAAACACGTTAAGTAGGTCAGGCCCGCATATCTTATATCTTTTTCGTTGCTGAGAACTCTACATTTTGTATCTTTTAGAAATGAAGAGTAACACCATAGTTAAGTGAAGGAATCCATTTTTTTTTTGAGTCGGGTACATGTATCTTTGTACTAGATCAGAATAATAAAAACATCTACTTATAAGTCAGATAAAACTTGAATATTGTTATATATATTGAGTGTCCACAAAATAGAAGTTACATTAATTCTTAAGTCCACATTCAACAGCACATTTTTGCATGCGAAATAACTTAAAATGTGAATTAAAAATTATCATACTCGTATATCCATAAATTCTAAAACGCCATTTGGGTTTGGATTACGTGCACGTACTCATCTTACAAATCTTATCAATAACATTAGATTATCGAATAAGCTGTACAATTCCAGTTAACATAACAATGAAATCATCCGGAGGAAAATAATACAGTAAATAGAAGCTTTACGGCTTCAAAGCCAAATGTTGTCCACCTTTTCAAAAAATTCCACGGAATTTTCCCAGGTCGTAATTGCATTATTTTTTTTAAAAATGAAGTGTTTTTTCCTCTCAATTGTTTGTCAAGCTAAAATCCAATGAGAAATATTTGTTTACGGAAGCGACTGTTTGCCTGTATATCTTTTTCCCTTTTCGTTTTTCTTCCGAACGGAGTTTATGAATGGCTCTAGTAACTGAGGATTTAATTAATTATTCCAAGATTGTTTCAGTTTACAAGAAAATGTAGCTATTGTTGACAGTCTCAACTCTTATCTTTCGAATCTTATCGGTATATTCAAAAACATTGTTCATAGCCGTACCATGATAAAGATTGCAATTCTTCATAATGCTTATACAATTGTCGATGGCGAGTCGTTGAGCTTCAGTCTGTCACACAGGCATGTACTTATAGCGGGGATTTCAATGAGTGTTTCGAATGAAAAAGTAATACTATATTATAAGGCCAGGGCTGTTTTTAAAGCTAGAAGCTTATTAGTCTAATGACCACATGTACAAAATGGAGATATATTGCATACGCGTATACAAATGTAGCAATCAATCACATTTAGAGATGACAAGACGTAGCAATGTAGCCATGTCCGCATGCCTCATTATTTCAGTAATCAGTAATCAACGCAGTCTATATTTACAATTTTAATCATGTATATAAAAAAAAAAGAGGAGTACAAGTATATGTTTCAGACTTCATTTATCGGTCCTCTTGCCAAAGAACAGCCATCACTGAACGATAAGCAGGAGAAATTCTCTTAACTCGTAATTAAACATAGTTGTGTAAGAATTTTTTTTCTTAGAGATGGAAAGCGTGTGTAACAATATTATTTCATTAAAAATGGAGCTTGCAAAGATATTCTCATTAATGAATATGCTTAAAACGGTCCTTCCTACAACAGTCAGTTTTCCTTTCAAACTATTTGACAACCCAATAAGGTGTCACCTTTTTTTTTTAGAAAAACCTTCATAGGGCTTGCGTAATTGGGAATACTCCCTTATATGTAGCTATAATAAAAAAGCTGAGAAAGCTATACTCGTACCAGATACTGGGCAAAAATTCAATTGCACGGCATTATCAAAAGTGTTGGCTTCGGTGTCGGGCCTACCGGTGATATCGCAATGGATAACAAAAACATCGCGTGCCGCGAAAATGCAAACGAGCCGAGCTCAGCTGCTCACAATTGACATGGCCAGGTCTACTTTTAGCTCGTGCCAAAAATAAAATCATATCTAAAGGTCTATGTATCTCGACCTGATGCGTGGGCCAAGCAAATACCATTCTCGTATAGTAAGCAAATGTGACGCAATAGTTCGATATTTTTATAGCCACTGGCCACAAATAGATGATGGCGGCACATAAAAGGCCATTTCTGAATTTGTTTTAGAAAAAACAGTCCAGACGGACGGTTCGCATTGATAAAGAAATATGACGCATATGTCATAAACAGCAGCAGAAGCATTTCGGAAATTGTTTCCAGGGGAAGTCCTCGAGGCATTGTACTGAGCAGTACTGAGCGGGGAAAAGAAACAAAAACGGCACTCGAAGCAACGTATGTAAATACGAAAAACCCAGAAAGTTCATATCGTACCAAGATAACTGAGTTCTAGAATATGAGTATATCATTAAATTCATGTCATGCCCTATTCAAATTATTAAGCATTTAAGCAAGGGAGAGCCCCTTCTCTTGGGGTCTCTAGTGCGCGTTCAAGGCGAAATTTGGTGGCCACGGTCACAACTCTGTTGCCATTGTGTCTGGCCTGGCAGTTGCCATTGTGGTACGCTATAAATTATTTATTCAAAGGCGCAGCTCGCTGAGGGTTTTGAGCAACCATTGTAGGATCCACTTGCAACCACCAAGTGGGCGCCTCCATATAAGCGCTGCGCGCAACCATTGTTTGTGAATTTATATCCTTGACATTGACATTGGCTTTGACATGAGTAAAGGCTGAGGCAAGTGCTCGTTTCATTTCTGTTGAATATACATAAGTATCTTGCGAATTGCTTGTCAAGATGTGCTAAAATCAAAAATGGGAATTCTACACAATGGTTTGGATTTCAATTAAAGCCCAAATGAATATTTAAGAAATCATAAACTGTTTATTATCTGTAGTTCATAAAGCTGTCAAATTAAAACGATTTATTCAATTATGAGACAAAATTCACGCATGTAGTACAATAGTAAGTACAACTAGATAGGTAGCTTAACAAAGATATAATTAAACTAGTGAATAGGTAAATATAATATTAATGTATAAATTGTAACACTCTAGCCAATATGAGAAAGATTGAAAATGAAAACACATATATAATTACGAGGCCTTCACTTATTGTATAAAACATAATCTATTGATCTTCTTCTGATTTTTGATAGAGGCACCCTTTTGCAATTTGTATTGAATGTTGTAATGAATGTTGTGCCTCATTTCATTAAAATTCCCAAAAATGCACTGTTCCTGCTATTTTGATGTCTTGATTTTCCCAGCCAGCCGCAGTTTGTCAATCAAAATTGTCGCGATTTTAAAATGATTTGTATTTATCTGATGTTTCCGCTTCGCCCAGCAAGCATATACAAGTACATACTCGTACATATGGCGCTGATTAGTCATTCTCATCACCCATTGTCTAGCTACATATAGTATGTCTTGATTGTGCAAAAGCGAGTGCCCCGCACCAATTAGATGGGCAAACAAACACACAGCTCACCATGGGAATTAACAGCTAATGGGACGTTAAATTGGGCGCATCAGTCCGCTTCAATGTTTACAAGGTTGGCAGATAATATACTTAGATACATATGTATTCAGATTCTACAATTTTTCTTTTCCACTTACTTAAATCAAAGAGAACAAACAGAACAAGTGATGCAAAAATGTTTGTGTACAATGTTTTTTTGCAAACTTGTATGATTAATGAACACTTTCAACAAGCAACAATTTTTAAAATATGAAAGGCAAAAGCAGTTGTCATACTTTGTCAATCCTGCTGAACATATTTAAGTTGGCCGCTACTTCCTGTTACTGTTCAAATTAATGTTTTACTGGGAAGTTCGAAGAGATTTTGAATATTTGTGATTAGTAGAAAATCCTGAAAAGAATACTCTTGAGGCAGTAAAATGTTTTTATCCTAAATCAATTTAATTTATTAAAAGCAACTGTTGAATGACGTTAGGTCTCCAATATAATTTGTTTTTTGAATATACAAAACTATGCCGATGCTCTAACAATAAAGTAGGTTATAAGAAATGTGTATGTCTCCTAACTAAATGTCTTATTAATCCTCATTAACAGCGAAATCTTCGTTATACATATTGCTTCTTGCAAGCCAAATTTAGCACATCCATGCGAATATTCAGTGTTTTCTCATTGACAAACGATTGGTAAAAAAAGCACAGCCCATGAGGTGAGAGGAACTAAGAGGAGAAGGAGTCTGAGTTGGGAAATTTGAGCTCCAAAGGGGGGAAAATTAGTTTCCAAGTTTGTTTGGAAAATCGGTATCATGAGACTATAGACTTTAAACTAGCTTCTGGTCCTATAGAAGTGAGCTCAATGTGGGAATGTGAGAAGGGGAAAGGGGAAGGCTGGTATTTTATAAAATTGTCATTTGTAATGAAAAGGGGAAAGGCTAGT